CATACCTCAGAGGTTGATTCCTCTAGCCCATTCTTTTATCGTTCTTTTCATGGGTGGTTTCAACTGGGTCTACTTAGATGGCAAGGTCCCCCAGTAGTGCCCTTTCTCACCCCTTTTGTGGTTGGGAGGGTTCCCCTACTAAAATAGACTGCAGAAAAAAGGGTAAGGCAGGGAAGGAGAATTGGAATGATACCCATAAACCATGCAACTGGCGGATTTCTTGATTCGGCACTCCCCAAACGGTTTGTTCCCACATTCCCTGCCTATCGCACCAGCAAAAGCAGATGACTCATTCTCCAGGGGATCCTCCCTGGTATCACCAGCAAAAGCAGATGACTCATTCTCCAGGGGATCCCCCCTGGTATCGCAGTGGCCACCAATCCCCCGATGCCAAAACAGATCCAAAGCCAGCAGCAGCATTAGGTGCTCCAGTAGAGAGATCGCGCGAGCGAGTTTTCGGGAAGACAAACATCAAAGTGGCAAACGACAAGTCACGACTTTTTGTTTTTTTGCCCTATGAGCTCAGGAAGTGAGTATGTGCAATGTGTCGCATAATATATATATATATATCACAATTTCAATATAGATATAGATACATATGTGACATATGTAGCAGTGAATTTGTTTGAGGGGTACGTAACAGAATCGCAGCGGACAGTCGTCACATGCCCAGCTGCATACCCTCCACAGCTACTGCACTTGCATTGACTAGTTGCGTCTTCGAGCTGGAGCTGAGGAAATGTAAAGCCCGTCGTTTCCCTCACATAGCTTTATAAACTTTGTAACCGCATCGGTGCCCAGTTCCATGTTACATACCTTGAGTCAAAACCAGTGCCATAGTATGTGTATGTCTACAATACATGTATAAGCAACACATTTGCAGGGATATGTACACTATGTACATACACATATGTTATATATACATATATATGTATGTGTAATGTACTAGCCTTTGTGCAGGGGCCTGACCATGGACATTGTCTCGGTTCTTAGCCGCTTATTGGCTGCACAATGGTCGTTTCCTAGCTTGGCGTTTGCCCAGCACCTTCAAGCAGGCGGCCCCTGAATGGAAGATGCAGCGGATTATTTCGCAAGACGTTCAGTCAAACCCCACTAGCTTTCTCATCGGGCATGCTTTCCCACTGGCAACATTTGATTCCGTCAAGATTGAGTCTCCTGTAAGGTTGCGAGGCCTGGGGATTCGACAGGCGAATGGACACATGCTCCCATGGAGACAACCACAATGGCAATGAAGCAAAGTAGAGTCGAAGCAGACCAACAAAAAACCCTTCTTCGTCGGAAAGAGCCTCATCTTCGCAAACATGAGGGCCCTTCCGAAACCCTTAGCACCAGGTCTATCTATTTGTTCGAATTCTTTTCAGCCATATTTTAAGCACACAAGGTATTCAGCCATACTTCAAGCACAAAAGTTGCATGTGGTTTTAACTGAGAACGCGGCTCAACGCAACCGCGGTGAAAAACGCCTCCGTCAGGAGCTCTTTGATGCGCCGGCTCCGGCTGCGACAGGCAATCCCTCGGGGGTTGGTAACCGGGGGAGCTCGCGAGCACGAAGCAGCGCGAGAAATATGGCGCAAGATGATAGGTGAGTTTGTTTTAAACTGGACCCCTGAAAACGAAGATCATATGAAGATGACAAGGTGAGTCTGTCTCAATCCAGACCAATGAACATGTCTGGTGTCTTTTTGAACTTTACTCAGCACCATCTCCGGGCCTCCCGGCTCGTTTTTGAAGCTGCAGCGCCCTTCCGGGAGCTCTTCGGGGAAGGAGCACGAAGTTTCTGGAGGCTCCCCGTCCAAATCAATTGGTTGGACCCTGAAAAGCTTGGTTTTTCAGCCGTCCCCGTAGGTTTTAGTAGGTTTTTGGGGTTCAGTGGTTGCGTTTCCATTTAGCCCGCAAGTTAAACTTTCAGCGGGGGAGCGGCATTTTGAGTTGAAATCCGTGGTTCTGCAATTTGGGGGCCGCATCCGGAGGTATGATCTAAGCATGGGCCAGGCAGCACCTTCCGATGTTTCAGGGACCCGGACCCACCGTTCGGTGCTTAATTTAAGAGCATGCAGTTTGGTTTGTGGTTGCATGCGTGGTCTCTGATCCCTAGGGTTCCACCCCCATTCCCAATTTGGATGGCAATCCTTAGGTAAACCCTTGTGGTTGTGTGAGCCCCGATTGTGTGAATGGTTTGAATCCCAGGGTCTTAGGGTTTCAGCTGGGTTTTAGATGAAGGTCTTGCCACTTACCCCAAGCAACATGCTGCCGGGCACAAATTGAGATGAATGTTCCCAAGACACGGAACTAAGGGGTAAACCACTGGATGCGGCGCTTTTGGCCTTTCGGGCAATCGGAACATGTTTGCCACAAAAAATGGTCTCCCCAGATTGTTTGAAGACCAGGAACTCCGGGAGTAAGCTTACCTCTACAAGAACCCGGGCTTTAGCTACGGGTCCCACCCACCGCTGGACCTTCGAAGGCTCTTGTTACCATGGAACTCCACAGCTAGGTCCTCCAGTAGAGAGGTTAGAATAATTAGGGTAACAACTTTTTTCTGTAGTCTATCTTAGTAGAGGAACCCTCCCCTCAGAAAAAGGTAAAAGGACACTACTGGGGGACCTAGACAGGCATGAGGCAGTGCATCCGTTGGCGAGAAACGGACACGTGATTCTGGCGCCCCGTTTGGCGTAACTTGGGCGAACACAAAGAGGGAGGAGAACGAGCGACCTGCCATGGAACACGAATTCGCGCGAGGGTTCAACATGTGCTACACACAAAAGAAACTCAGGGGGCCTACTGCAGACGATCCTTTTGCTGGCCGACTGGGAGTGCTTAAAGAAGCGCTTGCCATTGAGCTTGTACACTTGCATGAGGAGCCACGCGAATTGGTGGCCTACTTCTGTCTGCAGCTGGCACAAGCACTTTTCGACTTGAGAAACGCATTGAGGGAAACGTCGAAGAGAAGAAGAGATGGTATCATGGTCTTGGACGTGTCCTTCTTGGGGGCACAGTATATGCCAGCAAGCCGTGGAATTTTCTGGCCTGCCACGGGATCTTTGGCTTAAGCCATCAGAAAAACGTGGCCCTCTGGGCGGCCGTCGAAAGGCAGTCGGCGATGTGAAAGTCCACCCCTCACGCACGAAAAGAACCAAATTTCAGAGATTTGGACCCCCGAAATGGATGTCGGCTTGCCTTTGGCTTCCCTTAATTAAAAAAAAAAAGAAGAACCGCCCCACAGAGGGTACCCTTAAAAAGCATGCACACGCGCGCACACACACATAAATATATATATATATATATTATGTGTATATTCATACACATACATGTGGATGTTTCCTGAACCGTGGCTCCTTTGCTTGATAGAAGTTTGGACTTGTTTGGACGGTCCACTTGGGAAGTGAGTAAATGGAAACCACCCAAAACACCACCACGCCACCAATCCAAACCACCAACAAGAGGGAAGCTGAACCATCGTGGCAATTATCCTTGCGGTTTGCGAGACATTTCCCAGGCCCCTCACTGCCCGGGGCCAAGCGAAGGGTGGGAGTGTTGCGGGGCGCGAATGTTTGTTGTTGCGAAATGGAGAGCTTTTTGAAGATTTGAAATCAAGCAAAGCATGTAGACAGTGTTGAGCGATATAGCCAGAGTTGCTTTTGGCTTGCTGTTCGTTTCCCTTTGCACATCCAAAAGGGCCGCCCCGATTTTTATTAGCTAACCCCATAATATGGTATCTACCGACAGTACCGCTGGGTTGGTTTAAGTGGGGGGCAACGAGAAACCAGCCGCCTATTCTGGATTATGGGTAAACTTTATCCTGGCGGACACTTGTTTGGTTTGCGACCTGATGACAAAGGTTTCTGATCGGCAGACTTGTGTGTAACATCGAGTGGGACATTTGGACTACTTGTGCCAAACCAGTCCTGTAGTTGATGGTGGCTCTGGCGTCTCGTCCAAAATCATATTCTATTTTAAGGTAGACTGAATGGATGAATCATTGTTTGCCAAAACTAGCCAAGTTGTGCAACATTTTTTTGTTTGCAGATACACGCGTAGGAATGCGCGCTGCCTATGTCTAGCGAGGTCTGGGATGCCCTTTTCTCAGAATTTGCTGGCCTCTCGGGGCTGGTTACTCGTGCGATGAGTTCCGCTTTGGGAATGCCGGTGACAGTTTACTTACAATTTGACTACAAACCAATTGTTCAGCGAGGAGGATCTTGAGTTTTGGTTGAGTGTTGCTAGACCACCACCCACTTGCTTGGTGGCACCCGTGTTCCCTTTTTCTTTGATGAGTTCCCCAATAAGCAAAACATCACCTGAAAATTGGTCCTAGGGGTGAGACGGCAAGGAATGCAAAAGGGGTATCTTAAGCCGGCAGATGACATGTCAGCTACTTCCCACCAGCTACAGATTGAAAGCAGCGGTCCTCGCTGCACTTATTCAATAACTTTGCGTGAATGAGCAATACGATGAACCAAAGTACTGTGATATTGTAGCTGGTCGAACCTTGTGGGCTCTTGTTTTTAGTTCTACAACCTGTGTTGATGGTTGATGGTCCCTTCTGGGGGCTTCCAGATTGGTGAACTCATTCCGGGAGTATATGCTGACGACTTGCATAATATGTTTGTTTGATTGATGTTGTATTATTGCTGTTGCTGCCGAGGTTTGGCGACCTGGCATTATTGGCTCTGCATGGTCCACATGCATTTGTCTGCGATATGGTGGCATGCAGCCTAGGATGCCTTTATGCAACAAAGTCAAACCGGATATCTTGAGTGTGCTTGCAAAGTGACGCGGAAATGTCTGGAACTCAGCGTAATGGAATAGATTGACCCGAAATTCCGGTTGCCCTATGGATACATGTCGGTTTTACGAGGCCAAGTTCTGCTTTGTTTAACTTGTAGGGAGTACTATGTTTCAGGGGGTGTTGGCTCTGCCAGAAAACAGACCTGTCCAACTCATCTTGGCAATGCCACTTCAAACCCACGTCTTTGGTGGCTCTCTCTCTCTTTTTCGTCCGGTTTGTTTGCCCATGTGGAATCACCCCACCAAGCCAGGCCCCCGAGTGGCTTCTCGCCGCCGCGCGGGCCGCGCGGTTGGGCCCATGTCCGTGCCTGCCTTCCTTTGGCTCAGACTCCCCCCCCAAAAAAAAAATCCACCTCGGGCGTTGCCTGAGCCGCTCGGCGGGAGGTTGGTCAAAGCTCCAGGTCTCAAAGGTGTGGGACATGGCGAGGTGGCCGTCCCCAAGGGTCTCCGCCCTCAACCAAAGGGCCGGACCCTCCAGTTGCCGGGCCTTAAGCCAAAAGTCGCACCTCGTGAGTACAACTCGCCAGGCAAGAAGCCTTGAATCCCGGCAAGCCGGAGGTGGTGTTTCGAGGGTCGGCATGCTTTTCTGAAGGAAACGGAACATGACTGGGTGCCTACTACAATGTACTACTACAATACATGCATATCCGCAAAGGTGGGGATCTCACGTATTTTCACGCTGAGTCTCTACTCACATTGGGTTTCTCGTTGTGTTATTTTGCGTGTTTCGTTTTTTCCGACTTCGAATCTTGTTTGTGTCTCAGGCACAGAGGGAACCACTCATTTGAGTTCCGTATTTTTACTCTTTGGTTTATGGGCTTTTTAGGGGTCCTCCATTTCCGTCCTTTTGGACCTATCGATCAACTTTTGAGGTGAAATCCGTTGACCCCTGGTGTACTTGCACGACCGGATTTACCCTGAAGGTGCCTCAAGTTCTCATGGAGGACACCAACTGCCCTTGTCAGTTGATCCGAAACGGGCCTCGCGGATTTACTCCCAGGATTTAGTTCTGTGACTCTACAGGTGCTATGGTGAAAAGGCCAGCCCCTTGGGCTTGACAGCGATGGTCACCCAGCTGGTAGTAAGGATCAGTAGTCGCCATTACAACGGTTCCTGTTAAGGTGGCCATGATCCAATCGGCCAAACAAAAGGAGTTTGGACCACATATTGCCCCGACCAGGATCATGACTGACATGCACATTTAACAGATGCTTCTTCTATTCGAGGCCTGGTCAAATAAGTTGGTGCTTGGAACCTTGAGCCTTGAGCTTGCCCAAATCACATCAACTTCATTGGCGCGCCTCTTTTCTTGGTGGTTCTCAGCCATCCGGTTCCTTAGCTTTTTAGCCTTTTAGTGTTTCGTGGGGATTTTCATTCAACCCGCTAAACGTTAAACTTTTAGCGGGGGATCTGAGGGCAGCCCAGTTTTTCAACCACGCCCTTGACTTGTTTTTCGGGGTATGCCCCCCCCCCCTTGGCTTTCAATGGAAGGGCCCATGTAGCGCCGCCCAAGCTGTTTTTTTTTTTTCTCGTTCAAATCTAAGGTCTTGGCTTCTTCTTGGCTGGGTGCTAGATCCAGAGCAAGTTGAATATTCAAACTTAGTTTGGCTGGAACCAAGCCACGTACAAACTGTGTAGACGTCAAACAACTAATATAGGTTTTGTGCGAAGTAAAACGAGCAAGTTTGTGTTGTTGAAGCTATTCCGTTCAGGTTGATTTGGAGGGACGCCATCTTTTTACGGGCCCCGCATTTTGACGCATAGTAGATTGCGGGAAAATAGTATAAATAAAAACAACCAATATTACATATCCCATCATGAGGTATCTAAATAGTGATTACAGGGCACCCTATATTTCTTATGAAGGTAGTTTTGAAGCATGTTCAGATGATTGAAGGGCCGCTCCCCCCCCCCCCCCCGGTTTTACCCTCCCAAACCCAACAAGGTGTCCACCATTTTGACAAATCCCCATAGTTTCACCTCCTTTATGCCCCAAGACCTTTTTTACCCATCGCGGTGATTCCATTTCCCTCAGGTAACCACCCTTCAAAAGCCAACTGGACAAAAAATGCTGATTCCCTCGGACACCACTGGAGTCGGGCACACCGCTCGTTGACTCGGATTTGGAGAAAATGCGCGCCGAGGTGATATTATTATTTTTTCGCAGCTCGGCGCCTTTCACCTCATGATCTCCTCCTGCCACTGCTTCAGCAACGGCAAATGGCGCCTTGGATGGGAGGGGGATACCCTAGACTGGCAAGGACATACGGACAGGTACAAAAAATATATAGATGTATACATATATGTATAAGCACATACATACACATAAATTGTATGTTTCCATGTAATATATATATATAGATACACATACATATTATCATGTTGTAGGGAAAACAGCAAATCTTCAATCTTGCAATTTCTTAATTCCTATCGAAATTGCTAATTGAATTTAGATCCAAATCAATTATCAAGATGCTCCATGTCCTTCCGCAGTTCCGTTTGCATTCTGATTCACCTCAGCCCACCTAAACTTTGGAACGCACATATTCTCGATTTGTCGTACTGTTTATCTACTGTTATTGATGTTCTAGAATACTGTGAATAACATGTATTGAACATTAAATGTGAGAACAATGCCCATAAGTGCCGTTGTAAGTTCAACCCAAAGTGGAAACTCAGATCAACATTAATTTGAAAAGCTTAATTGCCCTTGTCTGAGTTAATGCACTTTGAACTAAGCACGAAGTGAGCCAATCAAATAACTGGCATCAACCAACGTGGATGTGCTCCTTGTCAACAATTTCAGTAAAATGCCGTATTTTCAGCCTGTGTCAGATCATCGTTCCTCCCCGCAAAAGAAAGGTCAGCTGCACAGTGCATGTTATTGTTGCCCTGGGCACCTACCAGATCGAACGTGAAGGCCTGTGCAAAGTTTCTGGAAACACTTAAAAGTTGTTCTGGGCTGGACCCAAGATCCAAGATTGCACAGAGAAACATGTTGGGAATCTTGATTCCATGCCACCCAACAAGTATAGCAGTATTTGAACAAAGCGCAAATGTTGCGACACATTTCCGAGACGCTCAGCTTGGTTCGCCAAATGTTGCACAACATTTGGGACAGGGACATGTTGCGCAACATTTCCACTGGACCAGAAAACCAGAACAACAACTGCAAAAAAGGAAACTAGCCATGGTGGGGGGGGGGGGTAGGATTTTGTTTTCGAATGTTGGCCAACGTGTTGGGCATCGTTTGGGAAATGTTGGGCAACATGTCCATTGAACCAAACGCAAAAAAAACAATGCACCAAAGCTTTCCAGCCATGGTTGGGTAGGATTCCTTGTTTTTCCTCTTTTTGGTTGGTTTGCCAAATGTTGGCCAATATGTTGCGCAACATTTGGGAAAAATGCGAATATTTGAATTGGACCCAAGAAACAATCAATCAACCAAAACGTTCCAGCCATGGTGGGGGTAGGATTGTTCCCGAAAGCATTGCGAAGGGTTCTTCCGGTAGAATCGCCAGCCTTATCATACAGCCTTTTTCTGGTAAAATCGCCAGCCTTATCACACAGCCAAACTTGCACAGCCAACTTACACGAGCCAACTTACACGAGCCAACTTGCACGAGTCAACTTGCACAGCCAACTTGCACGCGCCAACTTGCACGAGCCAACTTGCACGAGCCTGATCACACAGCCAAACTTGCACGAGCCAACTTGCACGAGCCAACTTGCACAAGCCGACTTGCACGAGCCAACTTACACGAGCCAACTTACACGAGCCAACTTGCACGAGTCAACTTGCACAGCCAACTTGCACGCGCCAACTTGCACGAGCCAACTTGCACGAGCCTGATCACACAGCCAAACTTGCACGAGCCAACTTGAACGAGCCAACTTGCACAAGCCGACTTGCACGAGCCAACTTGCACGAGCCAACTTGCACGAGCCAACTTGCACGAGCCAACTTACACGAGCCAACTTGCACGAGAACAACTTGCACGAGATATCACACAGCCAAACTTGCACGAGACATGTGGACACGAAAGTAATTGGGTCTGTATATCTTTTGCCGTGACCATTCTTTAGTCTACGCGGGAAGTGGGACCTGGGCGAGCCATACCCCTGAATCATACCCTTAGCAAAGTAGGGCCTGTCCTCGGGTAACGCAATAAACTGCTTGTCCCCAAGCAGCGTTCTACCCTGGGCTTCCAAAGGCGGTTTATTTTTCATGTTTTCTGTGAAAGGCGGTTTTTTGCCAGGAGCAGTTTTGTCCAAGCTCAGCTGATATCATTGAACAATTCGGGGGCCGCACGTGCTCAGGACCAAAGTGTGCAAAGACTTGACCTCCGTTCCCACAAAACAATCAGAGGGATTACCAAACGACAGGCTGAAACACATAGATTCACCGGTGTCAAAATTCACGGCAGAAAACGTGCTTTCATGCTGGAAAACAGGCTTTCACGCCAATTTCACGGTATTTTCACGGTGATCTCACGGTATACTTTTGCGTACATCACGGACCGCTATGTTCACACCAAAATGGTTGTGTCAAAGACATGTTGGGGTGGAACAGGCGTTGTAGAATCTAAACGTGGCAACAGCATGAATAATCCATCAAATACCACGCCATGGCTCATTGCGGGCGCAAAAAAAAGTCTTTAGCTGCAAAAAACAGGCGAGGTGCAAAGGACGTTTAAAACAGTCGTGGATTTCCAGGGTCTACTCTAAAGAGCTACAGGTTCGCTCACAGTCGAAGCACTCTCGCTGTGCGCCGTGCGATTTTCTTGCGCGCGAAATGGCCTTTGGAAGCTGTCTCGTGGTTTGCGCGCCTGCTTTCGCAATCCCGCGGTCGCGGGTTCGATTCCCCGGCTCAAGAACTTGCTCGGGGAACTTACTCGTGGAAACTTGACCCGAGCCGAGAGGGGCAAGATGCAGCTAAAACCGTGAACAGGTAGGGTGTTTATTTTTGCGTAGGGGTTATGATATGCATATATATGTATATAAATACACATCTGCATTGTGTAAATTGATGTAAGTTTCCGTTTTGGCTGGTAATAGCAACCTCTCGGGACCATGTTGAGTTCACTTTAGGTGTGCTGAAAGAGGACAACCTTAAACTTGTCTCACTGCTGAGGGGCGGGGATCATGCTGCACAGAGAGGGGTGCCTGGAGTCCCAAACCGCGCTATAGCATAACCAACAAATCGAGGGGGGGGGGGGATTGCCGTAAATCGCTTCCCGAAGTTAGACATGTTCGGGACGTGAGTTGTTCAGGTTGGGAACCCCGATCAGCCACGAGTCTTGCTATAGTGGTTCTGCCGCAATATGCCGCAGTGGTTCTTGGACACTCCCAAGAACGGCCCTGCAAAACCCATTCCTAGAGTCTCCATGACCCCCGGAAAAAGGGATCATAACCTCTTAATCTTGGGTAATGGCCCCATTTTCAAAGGGTCATGGAGACTCCAGGTTGATGTACAAAAAATGTTTTGAGCAACTGGATTGAACGATGCTCCTGACCCGCGCCCTGCCTTGTGGAAGCCGGTAGACGGCTCCAATTTGCCTGGGGCATTCATGGGGGGCCCTTTGAACAGTGTTCCCTTGGTAGTGAGTGTGACGACTTGCAGGAAGCGCGCTGATGTGGGACAACTCCCTCATCCAGAGAGGGAGGTATGGGTATGTGAAAATCAGAGACTTCAGGTGGCTGGTTTCCCTTTAACACCAATTCCGGAAAAAAAACAAACCTCAAAAGGGTTGACATATACAGAGACCGCTGTTTTCGATGGTCCATGGGTCTGGCAAATTTGTGTTTTCATACTCCTTTGCCCCAAATGGCTGCCACATTTCCCGTATAAGCTGGTACCAGGTTGAAGGGAATCACTGGTTCGAGCGCCTTCACCCCAGGCACGCAAAGATCCATATGGCTGCTGAAAAGAATGGAATTCCCAAATGGCACCAGACGGTATCTGGAAACAAAGACAAACACCTGCGGTTTGCAGCTGCGGAATTTTGAGCCACACCCAGATATGAACCCGGCCGGCGTCCCTTGCGGCTAGATCTATATAAATATACATAGATGTATGATTTCAATTTTCCTTTGAGGTAGGAAACGAAGGCCCCCCCAACCCAGGCTTCTTAGAACCTTACAAGTAAAGCTAAGATTGGTGTTAATCAATAAACCGGCCATGACCATGCCCCTGTGGCTCACAAAGATGGTTAGTCAAGCAATAAAATGGAGAGTGTTCCCTGAAGTAGTTAATTAACCAATAAACTAGTTAGGTAGCCAGTCAATGTTGGTTAACTAAGAAATCCATGGGTTCACTTAGGGGCTGGATTCTTTTTCTGTCAGGTCCTCTCGCCTCGTAAGCTTCACCTTGGAGCTGGATACCAGCCCGGATGATCGCGCAGCAGTCCTGCTAGCAACGACTCAGAAGGGGCGGTCGGACTTCTTTTTCCCCAACAGCTGAAAGCTAAGGAGTCTCAGCCCAGATAAGGTTTGGGGGTAGCTCGCGGGAGCTTTTGAGTCAGGTTCGAGCAAGGTTCCGGAGGTTCAAGGAAGGTTCCGGAGGTTTCGGGGTGGTCTGGTGCAGGCCAGGTGAAAGGTTTAAGGGAGGTTCCGGAGATTTCGGGGTGTTTGTGAGGTAAGGCTGCGCAGCAAGGATTCTGCAGGGTTTTGTGCGGGTTCTGAGGTAAGGTTTCGCAGGGTTCTGCGAGGGTCGAAAAAGAGCGCCCATGCTGTTGGGGATATCACCTGAGCTTATTTTCTTGGGACGGGCAACCCCCCCCCCCGTGCCATGGACGCCTAGAGTCTACTTTGCAACCAAGAACCCTAAAAATTAATATCCTAAAAGAAGGAGGTTGCAAAATAGACCCCAAGTGTCCACCATACCCCCCCCCCCCGCCCGGGAGTTTTGCCCGATTTTTGTTGGGGGATTTTAACCCCTTCAACTTCTGGAGCCTCTGTTTTCTTTGGGAGCCTATGTTTGGGAACCCAACTTGTTGAACCTGGCAACGCTTTGGACCGGCTGATTCACAATGCCGGGCAAGGAAAGAGCCATATGCCCCAAACATGGGCAACACATGCTTTTAGTGATGCATTTGGTTGGCGCTGGCCTGACAATAGAGAGCCTATCCCCCCCCCGCGCCAAAATCCCCCCCGCCAAACAAACAGAAAACGACAACGAAAGCAACACAACCACAATACGCTTTCTGCATGCGGGTATTGGAAGATATTGAACGGGATGCTCGCGAATCCAGCATTTGTCTCCCAAGGTCGGAGTGGGGATAGCTCAAATCGAACTGTTTCGGCTCGACTTGAGTTTTTGGGCGCCTCAGGTGTTTCATTCTGCGGGTGAGGCCATGACATGATGTTTGCGCGCTTGTTGTGGTTCCTGGCATCCGGTTCCTTGGTTGTCTTTTGTTTTGAGTTGGTTTTTGGTTTAGTTTCACCACTCAACCACTCAACGTGTTCGACTTATAGCAGGGGATTTGAGGACAGCCAAGTCCAAGAGTCTTTCTTTTCGTTGTAAAGCCGTGGCTGGGGCCCTCATTGCTCCCGATTCGCTTTGCAATGAACCCTCTCTCCCCCCCGCGTTCTGAAGACTCGTTCAACAGTTGGAGTGCCTCATGGTTCTTTCCCAGCCAGAGCCAAGAGGGGATGAATGATGTTTTTGTTTTTCCCATTTTTTCCCTGCTCCCTTCGAAACCCGGCGTGCTATGAGATAGTGTTTATGAACTCCTCTCAAGGTTCCGACGCAAAAACCAGCGGTTTGGATGCCAATCAAAGTGGTTCTGGATGCAACAGACAGTGCATCCAGATCCATTTGTTCTGAGCTAATTCGGATTTGTCCTAATATCTGCTTCCTAAGGAACCCCGAGCCTCCCGACTTTCCACCTTGCCCTCCCTCAATTCTACATGTTGATGCGTAATATGTGGGAACTGCCGCATGTTTAGTTAGAAGCAAGGTTAAGGACGGCGTCTGTGTTGAGGGTGCAGTCTTGGGGACTGCTTAAATGAAGTTCACGGGGAAGCCCATTTCATTTGGTGTTCCCTCATATCGACACACACACAGAGCTCTGTATGGAAGCCTTCATGTGCTTCAGGCGCCCCAGTTTCATGGTGATGGAGTATCAGGTTTCCAAATTTCGGGGCACCTCGTTGAGAATACATGTGCCAGCGCTAATTGAAAGGAGTTGAACAGAGGATGTGCCTTTTGCTGATCTTTGATGTGTTGAGCTGCAACCTTCTGTTTGGAAGAAAATTCCGCGGTTTGTCTCCTTGCAACTGGGTTTCGTTTGGGCAACTGGACTCCTCAATAAACTGTTTACTTTTGAGCCGAACCCAAATGGGTGCAGCCGGCTTCTTAATTCTTTACATGGTTCCGGGTGGGCCAGTTTATGACTCACCTGAACCAGCTGAGCTGGTTTTGGTCTCCCGCTTCGACTCCAAGGTAAAGAGCACTTTCCTGGAGTTCGGCGATGCTTGTCAGCCGGGGGCAAGCCAGACACGTGTTTAAGGGGTCCACATAGATTGAATCACCTTCGGCACGGAGAGCGTGAGGTGCACTGAGTTTTCGGTCCTTCAGGGGAAGGCTTGGGGTCCTGGAGGATAAGAGCACATGAGTTGTGCTGAGTCTTGGTCACTTGGGATTTCTGGGATGGTCATCCAGCCCTTGGTAACTTTCGAGGCAAGGTGCTAAGAGTTCTTGTCCAGATATTGTTTCACATCAGGGTGTCAGCAAGTCCCAGCGTCATGGCTATCTGCAACATGAAGCAGGCAGAATGATTTGCTCTTGCTCGGTTGTCCTTCCTCAGGGCTTATACATCCCTTGAGTACACGCTTTACTTTTCAGGTCCGTGTTGATTGAGCTCCCTATGTTTCGAAGGTCCGTAGCAATGGTCAGAATCTCCTTGTGCTTGGGGTGAACAGAGATGGTTACCCACCAGGTTGAGACCCAATCGCAATCGGCCAAACAAGCGCGGTCTAGACCATGGCTCATATTTGGCCAAGCCTTGGCTGAGATTTGAACCGAACACGGAAGCTTGTGGATCTGCTCCGGTGGAAGGGAAGTTCATTCCCGTCCTTCCATATTGTTGTGCCCTCCAGCCATCTCGTATGCGATCGGAAGGGGCCCTGGGCATTTTTATATTCTCTCACATGGCCACACGGTCGATGTTGAAACGCATGGAGAACTGGTTGCTTTCTGAAAAGTGTTCATGGTCTTCGATTTACTTGCGTATCTCGGCTCGGGTTCGGAGTTCGGAGCCCCAAACGAGTTGCCGAACCAACCCCAAAGGGGCAGCACACCCAAGACCCTCCGCACGACCTGCGAGCGAAACCCTGGAACACCACCGTGCTCGAAGCTCCCTTGCCACGTGGCGAAGTGTCAGGTCTCGGTTTTGGAACGGAGGTTACCTGCATATGAGAGACATTATTAATGTAGGTATATAGAAAATATACACATGTATGATGAGCCGCTGACACAAAGTTTGCCAAGGCCACTTTCGTCAAGGAGGGGCATCACCCATCTATGCAGATGGGTGTTGTTTGCAACCCATGCCTTCCAAATTCATGCCTGAAAGTGGCTTGAAGAAAACAATACCGAATGGACCTCGGTTTGTCAAAAATAGGGGCGTTTTTGACATCCGCTTTTTCATCGGCGGCACTTACTGGCGGCGCCAGATCTGAAAAAGGTCCACATTTCATGGATGCGGGGGGGGAGAGGCCCGAATAAGCTTATTTTGCGGCGAAAGAAGGGCTTAGGCTCCCCTCCCTCCCAGCCCGCCCCCCCGCCTCCGCCTCCCCCCCCTTCCCCTTGAATATTTTTGGCACCTCCCCAGACCTCAGGATGGTTTGAGCCTGAAGGATCGCAGCTTGGCTCAAAACCGCAAGCCGCAAGCTTTGGGCACGAACTTTGGTGGTTACGTCTTTTGGTTCCCCACGAAACATGGACTAGAACCTGCGGCTTGCCCCAGCTGTGTGCTCTTCGGTTTTGAAGAGGATGGATAGACCTCTCACAAATCCTCCGGACAGCTTCCATGATTGTTGGAAAAAGAGTAAACATGTGGAAGCTGCAGAATGTACGATTGTGTGTTGGAGGAAGCTCAGAAATGGCGATCACTCTGTTTGGCTCGTAATCAAGGGCAGTAGGCCCCCCCAAACAGGGGATCCCCGCCAAACCACGAAGGTTGGTCCGGCAACATGAGGGTCAAGACCAGCGAGCAAGCAAGCAAGCAAGCAAAGCAAGCGAACAAACGCACTCGGGCACAACCCCAGGATAAACAGCAAAAACAAGAGCCATGTAAGCCAGGAAGCGTGGTTTCTTCCCGGCGCATGCCCTGGCACCCTGATGTCTCCTAGTTACTAGCACGTCCCAAGAAATCTAATCAACACAACAACAACCCTGGGATTGAAGCCACCATTGGAACAATGGTTGGCTCAATACAACCACCACATGTGTTTCACCCAAAGAGTTTCCAAAAAAGTCCCATGCAAGCCATAGAGGGCTAATATAACTGCCACGATTCCTGACGAGGTTCATCTAAATTGCCTGGGGCCATTTTCATGGGGGCGAGGAGCCCTGACAAAACCCGGCTGGTTCAAGTGCCTGGATGAATGATGCCTCTCTCGGGGGACCTTTGAACGAGACCCAGCGCAAGGACTTGCGAGCGAGCTGGCGCCCAGCGTCGCTTTGCAAAGTCCTGGTTCAGAAAACGCCCCCTTCCAAGCTTGTCGGGACTTGGCGGGTGTCGATTTTGAGGATCCCCGTTTTAAGGGGGGGTTAAAGGAGAGTTATTTTGGCGTGTGTTCCTCATTTTGAATCAAATATGTGTCGGGTGGGAGGCCTGTGGTTAGTAATTGGCAGCATTGGAGCTCGACACATCATACAGTCGTAGATGGCAACTATGTTCCGTTTGGAAGAACCGATAGGACATAGCACAACTCGTGGTTTTTGTACATCAGGCAGTTTCCCTGGGATTTCCCTTTTAGTGTCCCTTGAAAGCCGCAAAAAAGGGCTAGCCTCAAAAACGACACACCCATTTCAGGCTGATCGATTGCAGTTCGTTCAGAGTGCTAACTTCTACTCTGACTCTCTCCAGATCGAATCCTTCGCGCAAACAGTGCGCCGCATGGAGCAAGTCGCACCCAAGGCTTCAAGCAAGTGCGCAAGGCTGGCTGGGGGGGCGAGACTCGCATGTTCAGAGCATCAGCGGCCCGCCAGCTCTGAGTCTCTCGGTGTTGGTGATCCTATTCATGCGATTCATGTGTTGCCCGGTTTTATTTGCAGCATCAGCAGTAGCAACAAAAGTTGGCAGCAGCAGCAGCAGCAGCAGCAGCAACGACATCCTCAACGACAACAGCAAGAAACAGAAATAAACGTCATGAATCATAAGTGTCTATGTGCAGAGCAGACAGAGAGCGCTAGGACGTACACGTTTTCTTGTGAGCAAGGTGGCTTTATAATTAGGAAGAGTTGAATGCATGGAAGTTTCAGGGAGAACACGCTCGGATCTTGGCACTATGCGCATGGGGCACGTTATTTGTGTTCCTGCCGCGCTGTAAGCATGGAATTCAGGATGGGTTGTTTTTTGGGAAAACGGCCCCGGCCTGCGAATGAATGCGTGGGAGGAACAACAAAGTTCAGACGTTGGCCCATGCAATGGACGAACTCAGGTTTTGAGTACCCTCTCGCAGTGTGAGCCTTGGGTCTGCCATTTAGGATCATTCCTGCTATGTGGTTGGAGATCTGTTTTGTCTTTGGGCAAATGTGTGTTTTCCCCACAAATGTTGACCCCGTATTAATCAACCCCAGCTTATGAACAGGGGGGTGTTCCCTCCAAAAGTGGTTTGATTCCCCACATCTCACCCAGGGAGAAGCACCCCCATAGCACTAAACTGGTTTGTTGATTAAGAGGGTCAACATCAAGCAGAGCAACACACGAGTCACTTCGTTCCCATGGGCTTCCAGCTTCGGGGCCTTCGAGCCTTGCTCCGGGTTTTCGGTGGGCTCGAGGCCCTGACAGATCCGATCTTCGAAAGGGAAGAAGATCTCTGGGTCTACGAGCCGGGCGTTGATCGCTTTGAGCTGGATGAGGAGGAGGAGCTGGAGTTGATCATAGCCCATCCATGCAATATTTGTCCACATCTCCCATCTCCGCCTGGGTCAAATGTTGCTAAACAGTACCTACATGGGTTATTAGGGGATAGGTGTCGAGAGTTTTGTTCCAAGCCGAAGTGCAGTCTTGAATATTTGCCCTCAGGCCAGGCATCATGTCTCTTGAAAAGTGAGGTTCTCTCGTGATGTTCACTTTGACGGGGCCAAGTGCAACCAACGTTGCTGCATGCCACAGCCCCGTCGAATAGCCTTTTGCGACAGTGCACATGGATGTATCGAAGCATCATGGTTGACGGGTGCTTATATTTGGACGAACGGCTTCCAGGACACACATATATCTTTGAGTTAAACCAGAAGATGCGGCATGTGTCAGAAAAATGGGAACCCGTTCCAGTTGCCGTGATGCTTCCCTGACTGACCGATCCACCGCTTTGTGTCTGCCAGGAGCAAAGCGAGCGTAAGGAGTCGGATGGGGAGATGAGCAAAGTGAGCGAGCCCATGAGCGAGCTGTCCAGCGAGAAGAGCAGCCAGAGCCAGGCAGGGTGCGGGGAAGCTTTCTTGCAAATGCTCAAATTTGGCTGTGGGTGAAAAACATGCAATGGTACCCCTGGTGAACATCAAAGTAGGTGGCAAATGGATGTTCCTCCACCCGAAAATGGAGCCATAGGTTATGCCCCATGGCCATTTGGGTTAGTGAATTCCACTCACTATACCAATCCATGGTTGCCACTAGTGGCTAGGAATACTCATTGTTACTCCGGTGTGAATTTGTTAGCGCATCCCCATCATTGCGTCCCACCCTTTGCCAGGGAATTTTCCGAAGTGGTTGCTGGCTCTACTCATTGGTTGGGTTGCTAAATAATTGTTACTCGCTACACTGGAGTGGTTGCAAAGGGAAGCCACAAGGAAAGTCCCCCTGGGGGGGGGTTGGGTTGCGGAAAGCTCAGCTGAGGCATTCTCAGCTTTTCCCAGAGAAACGGCCCAAGTTAGGACGACTTGCCTCTGAATACCTGCAAGTGGACTCTTGCCACTGCAAATCCTGCGATACGTGGAAAATCGGCGCCAGGGGATTCAAGAGTCTGTTACAAATTGGTGCTGTTCGAAAGCTCTCGCGTCGGATATCTTGAAAAAGCCGGATGAATCGACATCAACTAGACTGCCACAATTTGACTAGCCCTGAGGCTCGTTTCCAAGTTCAGAAGCTTCTTCTCTCCTTGTCCGACGTGCCAGCCCAGCACCATCCGCAGCAGAACTACTGGAAACGGCTTGAAAAAGCCGCCAGCGTGAGGGAACTGGAAGTCCGAGACAGAGCCCCCACAGTTGCGCTGTCAAGTATATGTCTTTGATCAGGGTTTCATGGCTAGGCTTCCCGGGTGGCCCTCCATTGTGCATACACTTTGAAAACTGTCTCAAGGAAACCCAAATCGGATGGGTGTGTGTGTGTGTTTGTTTTTTTGTTGGGGGGGAGGTACCCCTTATTGCTATTTCTTGGGAAACTACAAGGAAAAACCTGGATGTGGTTGTTAGTTTGTTTTTTTTCTCCCAGGAGCCCAGTCAGGAGCCAGACGCAGAGCCGGAGGTGAGGCACAAGGCGGGTTCCATCTCAGTGCCTCCCCTTTTTCCATTTCACGGTGCCGTGTATGTTTTTTTACCGGGGTTTTCCGGTGTTTTCTTTGTTTGGTTAGCCACACTGGTGGTTTTGTGGTTGGGTTGGTTTCCCAAAGGTGGCCAACTAGAACAGTGGCAAAGGGTGACTCCCTTTACTGGGGCGGCCCGTTTGACCGGGTAGTCAGAGTCCCTGGGGACCTGAAACTCTGGGGGGGGGGAGGCGGTGTTTGGGTCCGAGGGTGGACTCCTAGTGGTTTGTTTGCCTGCAAATTCCGGGCAACAGTTTTTCCTTGGGTTCCTGCGGCGTCCCACGCCTCACAAGTGGTTGTCGCCCCGAAAACGTGCTTTAAACGGACCAAGCGGCTCCTAAGACAAGGGTCGCCAGGGGATTTCAAGGCGTCCCATGCAGTTTGGATGCTGATTTTTGGGACCTGCACTGACTTCCGAGGTCCCTCAGCACATCCCAGCGAGCTCCTTTCAGTGCCTGGCACCCGACCCCGGACTCGCTCCCGTCATGGCTTGAGCTGTGCCAATGTGGTTTTAACAAAGCTCCCTTGGTGGTCTGTGGGAAATTCTGGAAATGTTTGTGTTAGAAAACAAAAGCATGGGGACTAGTGCCTGTCCCATTCTTTCAGGCATCCTTCTTTCTAGAACCTCCGGAAACCCAGGGCAACCGGCTGAACAGAATGGGACCTCAACCCCTAGATTGTTGGATGCCCAAACAAGCGGAAACCAACTCTAACAAGTCCAGCATTTTGGTAGCTTAGCGGCGAAGTTGCTAACTTTGGCCCGTGGCTCCAAACAGGAAGTTGGTTTCCCTTTGCCCCCCCCCCCCCCCCCGCGGGTAGCCCCCCCCTTAAAAAGAGGAACTCCATGTTGATCCAGACAAGTCAATCCGCTTGGCTTTCTCCCAGCGCAACGGACGGCCACTGGAAAACTGGAAAGCAGCAGCCCCGGTGTCGGTCTGCCATCCAGTCCTACACTAGCGCAAGGAATAGAGGGTGTTTTTTTTTCCAGACCTAGGTCCCCAGTAATGCCCTTTTACCCTTCTTTGGGGGAGGGTTTTAGACTACAGAAACACGGGTACCCTTTTAAACAGGACAACCACCAATTTGACTTGGGTCCCCCATTTTGAGACTATCCCATGCCCATGGATGACTGGATTTTTTCTCACATCGGCGCAGGGCAGACGGGCAAGGACGACCTTGATGCTGCGGAACTTGCCCAACAACTACACCAGGCCGTTGCCGTCAATTGTAGGGCTGATTCTGAGACGGGCGGACTGAGGGCCTCTCCCCGTGGACCATAGGAGGACATGGAAGTTCTTCTAGGGGTGCATTCTTTTCAACCATCGTTCTTTTCAATAACCAGACGTTTCCCCAGGGTTTTGGGTGGTTTTCTGGAAAGAAGGATCAATGGAAAGAATGGGGAATCAACCCCTAGATCAATGTGTGTTGTTGTTTAGGGTTCCCCCACAATGGTATCGGTTTTTCTGGTGGTTTCCTTGTGGTTTTCCTTCAAGAACACAAAACAAAGGTACCCTTTAGAAAAGCCGCACCCTTAGAAAAAGAAAATAATAGTTGTTTTAAGGGGAAACCCAAGGGCACCATTTGGGGTTCCCGTTTTTGTTTGAGTCAAATCCACATGCCGAGTTGCCGCTCTAAGGGTTTTCCGAGCTGGCGACCCAACGCTCGGGCAGACATTCGGGAGGTTGCCTCATGGATCCACTGTGCGACATCGTATGACTTTGCACACCTAGGTCCCCCAGCTAGGTGCCAACTTTTACCGTTTCTTTTTTGTGCGAAGGGTTCCCCGTTACAGTCAACCAACGGAAAAAGGATACTCACTAGGTCCCCTTTGGAGGACCTAGACACTGAAAGCCGCAGTTGCCTCAAGGGTCATACAAACCCCGACAATCCGGGGTGCTCAAAAGCAGCAATTTTGCTTCGATGGGTGGACAAGTGTCAACTCGAACTCACCAAAAGGAACACATGGGGTTGTCTTTTTTTAGGGACCCCCCCTCGAAAAAATGGGCTTGCTTTTGGTTTCCCTTTGAAACCAACCAAAAGGGGGCACCCTCCAAAACAGACTCTGAGCAATGCTTGGGGTCGAACGTTTTTGGCATGTGAGGTGCATGTGCCGCCATCAATGCACCGAATCTTTGAGTTTGTTTTGTCAAAATCTGGTGAAAATGGCTGGGATCAGATGGGCGTGGCTCAAAATAGGAATTGCCCCAAAAGAACCCCTGTAAATGGAGAAGACTCCAACCTGCAGTCCGGATGGCTCTTAAATGTTCAGGACGCCCAGATTGCGATCACTAGTTGAAGGTACACACCCAACCATACATTGGGAGCACTTGAAGTTGGTGGATAGCATCGGAATAATGACCTCCGCCTGATCCATGCGGTAATATTTCCAGCAGATGACCGAATCGCACGTCATCAGATTCCGTTGGCAATCTAAGGCCTTGGCCTTTCGCCAAGAATTTTTGCAGATTTGAACACATAGGCCCAAGCCATGAATTTCCTCGTTGCTCATTCGGTGGAATCTTTGGGTGTGCCAGAACTGTGAGCCTTCGACCCAGAATTCGAGGTGACAAAAAGCATGTGGGTGTGGGTCAAAATTCAACATTAAACCACCAGGAATTGGACCTCAGGTCAACTCTTCTTGGTTCCATTTACATTTACCGATCGGGTAACCCATTTTGGGTACCTGGACCCGCAAAATCCCAACTTAAAAATGGGTTGTTGCCAACTGTAGACTTATGGTTGGTGACTTCTCTGTTAGAAGTATTTTTTTATCGGGTCTAGGTACCCGTTTTTAGCCGCCACAGCCATGTTTCAGGTCAATGCTTCTCTATCTATTGGACAGCAACGGCTTTGCCAAGAAGTACGACTTCGTGTACTTGCCCATGGACTTCGACCGGAAGGCGTTGGGCCTGCTTAGCAGATGCCCAAATGGGTGTGTTTTCCTTTTGGTTTCCCTGTAAAGCCGCCCCAAGAGGGGCTTCTCCGAGAAAATGACACCCCCCAAAAAAAGCCACAAGGTTCAACCCCCATTGAAAGAGTGGACCCATGGATGATGACAATCAGGAAGGGTAAGCAATCCTGGCTATACTAGCCCAACCATTGTGTTAATGGTGGCCGGCAACTGAATCCCAGTGGTACCCAACAAGATTGGTTCAGAAATGCTTCAGCCCACCTCCTCACTAGTGATGCATATTCACGGGCCAGCGGGAAAAAAAGGAGAACAAAGAAAACACCGTCTTTGGTGGATTTGTTTCTGGGATGTCTCATGATGTCTCCGAGACATAGACATCCGGGCCTGGGGCGAAACGCCTCGGAAACTCCTGGCTTTAAAGGGCATCCATCACTACCAGAACCCCACCTGCTTTTTCCCATGCCCAAACTCCCCTTGCTATGGTAGCCAAAGAGCAGTGGTAGCAAGCAGTTGGGACCCGGGTGCTGGTGGACATGTGCTTTTCATTTGGCCGAGGTTGTCAACACCAATGGTACCATTGGTTGTCAAATTCAATGGTACCATTTTTGTTGCTAGGTGAATTCACCACCCATTTTAGGCTTTGTTTTAGTGGTTGGATTGGGATGTTCACCGGGGGCTAACCGATTTGGGTTTTGACCCATCGCCCATTTCTGGTCCAGGGGACTTCAGCTTTGCCGATGCCAGGCCAACCTGGGCTATGCCTTCGTGAACCTCATAGCTGAGGACTCGCCAACTTTTGAAGAGTTTGGGCCACACATTCAGGTTGAATCTTCTAAAACGACACCAAAACTCTTCAAATCGACACCAAAACGACACCAAATCCTTCTAAAACAAGTCGACGCCAAAACGTTGGCTGTGTCAACAGTTGGGGGGCCCCAAAGTGGGATTTTCCCGTTCCCTTTTCCGGCAAGCTTTCAGCAAGGTATCAACACACATTCACCCAAAGAGGTATGGGTAATTGTTACTCCCCTGCAAATTAGAATGGAACCCAAGGGGGGCTCAAAAGCCTAAGGAGACTCCTCTACACTTGGTGGCTCCCAGCCATCCTCTTAGCTTTTTAGCTTTTTAGCCTTTTAGTGGTAGTTTTCATTCAACCCACTAAAAGTTAGTCACTTTTAGGGGGGGATCTGAAACCGGGCAGCCCAGAAAAGGACAGCCTTGGCTGTTGCAACGAGCGCTGGGCAAAGAGGGCGTTTTGTTGCTGTCTATTTGCTGTGATGCATTTGCCCATTTCCAAGAGGAAAGTCGTCTTTCCACAGGGTTTGTGCCGAAGCCATGTTAGTCGGTGGGAGGGTAGGTAAATCCAGTAGGATAGGCCGGCTCAGTCAGGACTTGGTGCAAGAGTTCTGGCGAGCCTTCGATGGCTTTGGCGCTTGGTCCTTTCCCTCCAGCAAGGCAGGGCTTGCTGCTGAGGCTTTGGCTGGTGTGTGTGTGTGTGTGTGTTTTTTTTTTTTTTTTTTTTCGCTGTTCTTCTGGAGGGGGAGGTATCATGTTTGCTCATCTTTTTGGGGGTTGGAGGGAGAAAGCCTTAGTGGAGCCACAGTGGATGAGATCAGGAGTTGTGTTTCTTGACATGTTCTCGCTGTTTTTTTTGTTTGCAGGGAAAATCACAGGAAGCTGGCCCCCTCTTTGGAAAGCAATTTCGGCACAAACTCATGCGGCGTTTGCTGTTTCAAAGTCGATGAGGCTCCATGCTTGCAGTACATTGAATGATGCCCCTCTGCCTCTGCTTGCGGCTTGTTACCTGAGCATGCCTGGGCATCCATTTCACTGCCAGCCAAGTTTCGCAAGCTTCACATTCTGAGTTCACTTTGCATGAATGCAGAAGCTCGGCGGTTTTTGGGGCCGGGTTCCTAAATTGCAAGCCTTTCAGAAAGCCAGACATGTGGTGATTGGAGAGGACATATCTGGGTTGCTTGCTGAAAGCTGTGTAAGTGTGCGCGCGCGCGCGTGTGTGTGTGTGTGTGTGTGTGTGTGTGTGTGTGCGTGTTGTGTGTGCTAAGGGTATCTTTTTGTGGGGTTAGTTTAAAAGGAAACGGAAAGGAACACCACCATTTGTAGTATTTTTTGCATATGAAGTGAAGTGATCGTTGACAAAGTTAGATGCATTCCCCGGACTTTCCATGGGATTTCATGTACAAAACAAGGTTCCTCGGTTGATGATTCCCCAGCCACACCAGGGGTGTACCTGTAATTAAGAGGGGTTGCCGAATCGCTTGTTCTCGTTAGGAAACATTTAATTGCGTATGTCGCTGCACCCCTATGCCACATCTTAAATCCTCTTATGTCGCGGGGGTAAATGGTGAAACTTTTTGGTAGTGGAGACCCGGTATTCAGATAAGACCTAAAACCAACACGAACAAAATTAGTATTAACGCCAAGGAAACCAAACGAAACAGAATGCGTCCTTCATTCCCACCAAGATCTCCTTGTTTTGATGAATTTCATAGGCTTCACCGGACTTCCAGACAATATCCCTAAGGCTCAACCCCGAATAAGGAGTACAAGGCTAAAGGAAGGGTAAACAAGCCACACCTGAGGCTCAAGTCTTGTATTCGTGCACTTCTTCTTTTGGACGACCTGTCTTTGGGTTTTTCATGCCTGGGCGAGAAAAAAAGCAAGTATGTCCAGTAGCAGTAGATTCCGATTGAAACCAACAAGTGAAAATCATACATATTCGTTTTGGAGGTCAACAAACAGGCCTGGGTTTTGGACAGTTGGACTTCCCTTCAGGTGTGCGAAGTGAGCTGGAGCGGCCCCAAGCAGGGCCTCAAGGCGCACGTGGACAGATACAAGAACAGCCCGGTGATGCACAAGTCCCCCGGACAAAAGGAACAAAAAAAAAAAGAACAAAAAAACTGGGACAACAACGAAAAACAACATACGTTGGATTCGCCCCGGCGAATCAACGATGCCTCGAATTTGATCCGCAAGACTTTGGCCGGTGTTTGTGAGGGGTTTAAGGGTCCAAGACTTTGCAGGATTTGCTGTTGGCCAACTTTAGTGGGGCAGGGGGGGGGGGGCTTGGGGGGTTCTTCTGTTAGCCAAGTATGGAGCTTTTACTCCCTGGTTTAGGGGTTCCTGAGCCAACCGTTGATGAACAACAACTTGCTGGTGCTCAGTAGGAAATCACCCAGGGTGTTGGCAATGAACCATTTGGGATTTCCTTAAAGGAAACCATGGGATGGATGGTTTATAGTATATAGGGGGCATCCCTTCATTCCCTGCTGAGAACAAGCAAGATCCATGAGGGGTGAACGTTGACCCGACCCAGGGACGCGGGTGTTGCTTTTAGACTATTGCCAAATATGTTGGCACCCCTATGCCAAGCACGTCCCACAAAAGGTAGGAACCAGGTTCAAGGCGAGGACCAGGTTGGATCTTGTTTCAGATGTGCGCACTCAGCTTTGAATCAAAGTGGAATTTGCTTCTAGAACGGGTGGAGTTTGGAGCGGTGTCCGCGTTTCGCAAAAGCGTGGCAAAAGCAAGCACTATGACCCGAAATGGCTCTCAACAAGTTGAACAGCCAATCTGTGGGGTGTTTGGGCGACACAAGCCGCGACCTTCGGCAGTGTTGATTCCTGTTCAAGTTTCGGTGGCTAATGTTAACCCCGGATTAATAAACCCCTGGTTGGTTGCCCCGTTTCGTGGGGATTAACCCGGGGTCAACATTGTGCTTCAGAAGCTGTGGCGACTGGCTTGCAAATATGCCGAATATGCCAAATATGGCATCAAACCGGTGCCTGGCTGGAAGGCCAAACTCAAACAAGACCTGTGCAGCGTTTGATGGGCTAGGCACGCAAGCAAGCCGCATGCAAGCAAGCCGTTTCAAGTCCAGCAGCTTACAAGTTAGTGGGTCAGCAACCGCTTTTTCTGCGCAGCTCACCTTCCCCCCATATTCTGGACTTTATGCAGGCCATGTTGGTGGTAAGCGCCCCTCCGCGCAAGTGAACTCGTTAGTTGGTATGCCACTCCAGTGGATGGGTTATCATCTCCGACTGCCTCAAAGGATGACCCTGGAATAGATTTGACTGATGGCTTTGGTTTGGTTCCACACTTGAACCGCACCAAGAGCTATGTTTCAGCTTTGCATTAGTGGGGTGGAGGAAGTCCAGATGTCAGTGTTGTATTGCTGCGTCGACGCTTGCCAACATTGCACATCAGTTGGGCCTTTGCACAAATCGTGGCCAGAAAGATGTGAATCCCAGGTTTGTGGTTAAACAATGACAAGGATTGGCTGCCAGTACAACGGAATGAACTATTTTCAAGCTTTACACCAGGGCCCCACACTCCCATCTTGGTAGGTGGCGAAAACGATCCTTGCCTCCTGCGCTGTTTGCGTTTCTGTTTCTCGTTCGGGGTCCAAGGAGCGTGCCGGACGAGTACAAGCCCTTGATCTTTGTGGATGGGGTTCGCAAGCGCTTCCCCCCACCAACCATTCGGATCCAGCATCCCAAGAAGGCGGGCAAGTAGCTCCTCGGCTGGGTCAGACGTCCAGATGGATCGAAGGGTTCGGACCGCTCGAACACGACCAACGCTACGAGCTCGGATCTGGCCCAAGGTTGGGATCTTCCGGACACCTCCCCATGTGGCGATAGACATGTGTTGGGGTTTCCCTGATGGTCACCCCATGTATCACGGACCTTTTGATCACCCCCCAAATGTCCGCTTGGGGAATGATACGTGCCTCTCAAATAGGTACCCGAACAAAGAAGGATCCCTCCCTTCTGCCAGGAGCAACTCGGCTTATTCCCTTCAGCCACATACCCACCTACATATCAAATATATATATATATATGTATATATTATATATATATATATGGACAAATATGCATATGTGTATATATATATATATATTTAAACCCCTGTTTCCGTATTGTGTTTGAAGAAAAAGAACACTTCATCCCGGGATTCACCGGTATTGAGTACTTTGAGCCTTTTGGACGCCTCAAGACAAGCTCAACACGGCCTTCCAATCTGGCAGCTTCGCAGACAAGAAGCTCTCTCGGACTGAAAGAGTTTTCTCCGAGAAAGGGTGAACACAATCCCATCTCTGTGTCCGACCTGCAAAATCCGGAGAAACAAAAACGCAAAACAATTAAATGCTCACTCCCTTGGGTTGGGCGCTAATCACTTTTTGGGAAGATCGTTTTTTGTGGCAAAGAGAAAGTTCGGACTTTTTTCTGGCCAGTCCACTCAGAAAGGGAGAAATTGTGTCAATGCGAATTTGTCATAGCTCCTGCAGGTTGGAGCTGTGAGCAATGGGTATCTCTTCGGAGATTCGCAGGATATGCTCGTTATATATCATATTGCGACTTTGCCAAAATGTTGATGGAATGTCGGCTTTAGAACCCTGTAATATTTGCACAAGATATTCCAGACATTACAAGAATCCATGCTATATATCTTCGCCTTTCAATCCCCATGCCACGACACCCGAGGAGACTTGTCCCCATGTTTTGCCGGTTTCGTAGGGCATCCTTCTGGGAGGCAAACTGAGAGGGACACTGCGGATTGGATTTGGAGGAGTTGTTTTCTTTCGGGTGGGGGTTGCATATACATACACACGTATTTACACATGTGTATGATATATATATATACACATGTTATATGTACATATGAATAGATAGCTAGCATATATATATACATGTTATATGTACACATACACAAAGAGGACTTCCCTCTGTATATATATAGGTGTAGTCAGTGCTACGTTTGTTTCATTCTACTTGACTTGGCTCTTGTGTCCCATAGTGCTCGTGCTTTTCACGTCCTTTTGGCAAAACGCATTCAAACTATAGACGTTTCCCATCCCTGCTGCTTCACGCACACGTGCTGTCGCTGAATCGTCCTAGGTGTTCAACATGTCAGTGGTCTACAACAGACCTTCAAAGAGCTAGTCAGAAACGCGTATGATGTAAATAATGAAAACTCGTTGCAAATCATTTCTTTTCTGTTTAGGGTGTGTTGCAAGTACTGGCAACCAGTACCTAGCGCGTTCTTTCTCTTTGGAGCCCGAGGCAGCCAAAAGCATCGCGGAGGCTCTGGGAGATTCCTCGGACCGAAATCAGCGGTCAGGTAGGCCAGCAGATTTCCCGGGGCCTCCAGGGACGGGGGGCTGGGGGATGAGATCCCTAGGCCCTCTTGGAGCTCTAGGAATTTGTTTGGCCAAATGCCCTGCGTGGGCCTTACGGGGGGCTTGCGGACTGGACGAGAGCAAGTTTTCCAGGTGTGGGTGTTTGAGATACGGATACATACCACCAAAAAATGCTTATTACGCTTGTCCCTTGTGCAAGTGGTATGTCTCCCCTCGAAACCCTCCAAGACCCATACCTGAAAATTGCCTGGAGTCATGGTCACTTGCCCAGTTGCGTCTGGTCCCCGAATTTCTGTAAAGCGGGTAGGACGATGAAGTTTTATTTGGCTCTTGTATAGCTGAGCCAAGCCGCGATCCAAAAGCACCACCGAGTGTTACGGATTGCTTGGGGGCACTAAGACATCCCTCTTAATTCGCAATTCACCAGAATTTACAGCCGGCAGGCCGGCCTGGTTTTTGCCAGATGCAAGGCTTGCACATCCGCCATAAGGGGTGTTTGGTTGTTTTGTTTTACACACACATGAGTTGGATGTATGTGTCTGCTTTTATTTTCCTTTCAAGCCAAGGACCCAACCCATTTTATATGTCGGATGAGTTGCAGGCTCGGATGCGAAAGTGCACACATCTTTCCTCCCGCTCATCACAAAAGGATGTCGGAATAGCTTCGAAAGCGCGACCACTGCTCCCACTTCCTCCAAGAGAGGAGGGGTGTTGCTGTGTCGCCCGCTTCGATTCGCAGACAGAGGCTCAGGGCTTCGCGTAAATGGGGAGGGGGTGGGCGGCTTCATGGGATATGGAAGGGGATACAAGGGTACCAAGTATTGCAAAGATATGCCATGCATGGGATGTGGAAGGGGTTCCAGCGAGGGTACCACTTATTGCAAAAGAGACGCCATGCATGGGATATGGAAGGGGTTACAAGGGTACCAAGTATTGCAAAGATATGCCATGCATGGGATATGGAAGGGGTTCCAGCGAGGGTACCACTTATTGCAAAAGAGACGCCATGCATGGGATATGGAAGGGGTTACAAGGGTACCAAGTATTGCAAAGATATGCCATGCATGGGATATGGAAGGGGGTCCAGCGAGGGTACCAATTATTGCAAAGATATACGCCATGTTACTTTCCCTTTCAGTGGAAACGATACCTTTCAACCCCGATCATTGGTGCTGGGGTTCGTCGCCGGAAAGGTTCAAACAAAAATGACCAAGCTACCTTTGAGGTGACCTTTTTGATCGCAGGAAAGTATGGCTGCGTTCTGGTTTTGTTTTTTGCCGGCATCGGACCCCCCCAAAAAGTATGCTTCTTCAATTTGCTTAAGAATATGGTCACGTGTTCCTGGTTGGTTTCACCGCGTGTGTGCAATATCTCCACAAACTTCAGCAACTGGAAGGAGTTCGGTTTTTGTAACGTTTTCCCTTTACCAAACACGGGGCGAGCTTAGAATGTGGGGCTCCGAAGGCTGGTCCAAGCTCTCAGGGAAAAGGAGAGCTGTTCCGGTGCTGAAGTCGGGACTGGTTCAGCCTGAACAGTGTCTTCGTGCTTCGCAAAAAGGGGGGGCTGGAAGGGGGGAAGCTTCAACAAAAGACCATGAATACCAGGTTGTTTTTGGCAAACCCCTTGTATTTTGTCTATCCACTCCTCGCTAATGGGTCTGTCATCCGCGTCAAGGGAAGGCGCTTCATGAAGCCGAAGGGATGGGATTTTTATCTAGTTCTGTGTGTTTTTGTGCGAGTACCCTTCTCACCTTGGACCACGGAAGAACAGGCCACTTAAAGGGGCTGAAAACAGCAAGCATGAGTCTCCCATGATCATGAAGTAATCTAGCTTGCCCCATGTTGCGATGGATGAACGCGTATGAAATGGATAAACAACCTACAAGTGCAGGAGTTATCAGGATTTCGTTCATAATACCCCCCAGACAAACATGGAAGCTCCCAGGACTTTGGAAGACTTTCGATTTTCAGAGGCTTTCCGGGAGCTTCCATAGTCTGAGGGAATGACACCTCCGTACCCAGAAGATTCTCACAGCACCTTTGGCTCAGCGGTCGGCGCATCTCGCGGTCGGGATGATGGAGTCTCAGGCGTGTACGCGGGACGACCGTCCGCGCTGATTTTGTCCGGGGGCATTTTTTTGCCTGGTTGTGGGGGCAATCAAAGTCAGAAACTGGGGTTGTTTCCCTTTCACCCACTTATGTAGGGGTTTGAGGGAGGAATAATGAGGCCACTTTTCTTGGTGGCTCCCAGCCATCCCCTTAGCCTTTTAGTGTTTAGTGTTTTTTCCTATTTAACCCACTAAAAGTTAGACTTTTAGCAAGGGATCTGAGGGCAGCGTGTTTGTTTGCGCTGTTGTTTTCGGTTCGTCGTCGCTGTGCTGCTGTTCTGCACCTCCCTTCGCTACTGGTCAACCTCCCACGACCGAAATGTGTGGAGAGCGGCCATACCCTTACAGCTGGGTGAAGGACCGCACAACTTCCCCATCTTGGTTTTCTCGCCCCCTTCACTTAGATAGGAACTGTGCCATCTACGTTCACCCTGGTGTACTACACCATTCAACATCGAATTCATAGAGCACATGGAAGCCATGGAAACCACAAAAACCATAGGAACCATAGCAAACCATAGGAAACCATAGATTGGAACTGTGACACCTGCTTCCAGGGATTCCAAAGGGAAGAAGGGAAACATCATTTTGGGGTTCCCGAATTTTGAGACTTCACAAAGGGATGGAGAACGTAGCTTTTGTTGTCGCCAAACCCAACCTGACGTATCAAGCCGACCATCGTTACGGCTGCGTCCATGGTTGACCTTTTTGAAAGTGAAGTTGCGAATCTGGGCAAATCAAGTCGCGACCTTACAAAGCTTGCTGGTTCCCAGGCATCCGGTTGCTTACGCTTTTAGTTGTTTTTAGTGGATTTAGTGGTAGCTTGGTTTTTGTAAAAACAAGTGGAAGAACGAATACAAGTTGTATTATTTGAATTTGTTTAAATGCATTAGTCACCAGAAACACAACCGCTAGAAGTTTTCGACTTTTAGCAGGGGATCGATTTGGACAGCCCAGAAAGGGATTGATTTTGACCCCCCTTTTCCAAGGCGAGCTTATCTCAGGTGAGGAAACTGAGCTTGTCCAGAAGTTCTGTCCATGTTGCCATGGAGCCCACCGGAGAAATGGTCCCTTTTAAAGGCAAACGGTCTTCCAGGATCCCTCAGCCAGGTTCCATGTTAGTGGACAGGGCCAATCAACTTCTATTATGTTTGAGAGGCAGAGGGCGGGATGTTTTTTTGAACATGTTTGTTATGCTCATGTTTATTGGGCGGCTGTAGCAACAACGCTCTGTTGCTGACATACCGGGATTTGGGGAGGTGAATGTTGCATCACTTGCCCATTGGCAACTATAGTGTTGTTGTTGGGCCTCATCAAAGAAGATCGTTACAACGTTATTATCAGCTTGTATTGTTTGTGATCAAGAGTCACTGGGGAATCAACCATGTTAGAAGAGCATTAGCAAGGAGTACAGTTGGGCAGAAGATGGCGCAACTCTTTCATGGTTTAGTTATCCTTCTTCAAGGCTTCAGCAAGGCACGTGCACACACCTGTTAGCACCATCTCATGCGTTCTCGGATTGTTAAGGCAGCAAACTGCTCAAAGAGCCTCCAGGTACATTCAAACATTTGCTGCCACGATTTCCTGGCAGGTGTGGGCACGTGTGCAGAAAGATACCTGAAGTTCTAGCGTGCGCGCGGCATCGCCAAATGGCTGTGGCTCAAAAAACCGGTACCAAAATGGAACCCTGGTAAGTGGAAACATGGACCAAAACCTGCGTACCACTCATGTTTAATTTTGAGCCATACCCAAATCATGTTTTTTGCGGCACTCCTCCAAGAGTACCAAACTCGCGCCAAGCGCGCTAGCCCAGCGCGCTCGCCCAACCCGCGATCCATCGCAAGGTCCCGTTCCCTGAGAATTTCCAGGTGCCATTTCAGGTTCTTTCACGGTTTACTTGGTGATGGAAAACCTGCAATTTCACGGGTTTTTTTCCACTGTTCCTAATATTTACACACCACAATTTTCCAGACTTCTACATTGGGCAAGACCAGATTTCTCGAATAATTCTACGCGTTCGAAATGTCGCCAAGCGTTGATCCCACAAACTGGGCTCAGATATATGTATATATATATATGTTGAAATGCTCCCATGCAACTTAGCAAGCAAACGTTGCTTCACGCACACATTTTCACATGACCTGCAAATTTATTGCCCAATTATTTCATGGTACGGTGAGAAACACTCGCGCCAACGGACACCAAACTTGAGTATTGCAAAAGATGCACATTGCTCGAAACGTTTGAGCCAATATCCTTGCAGAGTAAGCGTGCTTAGTTGTGAGTAAAACTCGGTCATATCGGGTGAGCACGTTAAACTTGGTCAAGGAAGGCTAGAGCACAATTTGTTGCCCGCGCGCGAATGGAAGCGGGATCGCCTTTCAAACCGGAGGTCATGTGCTTCTTTTTGCTGCAAACACAAGCTGAGATCAATCATGGAAGCTCTCAGAAGGCCACTGTACATGGGTGTCCTCTGTGCAAGTTCCTCTCTGCAAGTTTCTCTGTTCAAGTTCTACTCGCAAGTGCTTAAAGGTGGCTGTGCACCAACTTTGCGGAGCTGTCCTCAATTTTGCAAAATAGGTTCCCTCCCAGACTTCCATGGCACCTCCCTGGAAATCAGGTGTTGGAATTCCTCCGCTTAGATCGCGTGGCATGCCAGGCTGGAAGCATCAAATTGGTGGCCGGGGGCCCATGAATTGCTTGGACCAGAAAAAAAACCGCCGGGCTCCCGCACGAAAATTCAGGAGCTCACCCATAGTGCAGGGTGATTTTCCGAAAATTTCAGAAGCTCGCCCATGAAAAGCTTGGCGATTTTCCGAAATGTGTGAATTATGAAGAGTAGTTTGTCCAGATGCCATATCTGCAATCACGTGTGTTTGCCGAAAGGACCATCAGCATGTCGCGGTTGTCACATGCGTTCTGTTCGGTTCAAGACATTCACCTTCCGCCCAGACCACAAGAAAACCACTTTTCGTGGCAATGCTCAGGTGCATCACAAACGACCCCCTGCTTGGGATCGATTCTTTTGTCCCAAAACGAGTTGGCCAAGAATCGTTGTCCGAATTCAGGGGGTGTAAAAACACTTTCCTTCAGGCCTTTTCTTTGTCAGGCGCCAACTGATGCTTGGGCTGGAAGCAAAGAAGCACTAGCAGATACCTCACATTTGCTTCTTTTACCGGTGGAATCAAGCCGGTCTCATCCTGTTCTTTGCTTTCGGGGCGGGATCCATGGTCGACCTTGGCTCAAGTTGGGGTCCCTCCCCAACGCGGCACACTTTTCGGAGAAGGGAATCCCCTAACCTTAAGTGGCTGTGGGTCAAACATAGAGATCGGCCCAAAATGGGGTTATACCTTTGCAATTCGACAAGTAGAACAACCTGCGATCTTCTGGCGCAATCACCTCGCATATGGCGTACGGAGCTCCCAAAGAATGGTTGAGGGTTTCCCTTTCAATTTCTCTTTGAACCAAGCTTGAATAGAGGGTACCGACAAAAGACAAGCACCCATATTCTTTTACGGGTGAATCCAAGAAAAAGAACGTGCCTGGATCGCCAGTTGCTGTTTCTTGTCCATGCACTTTACCCCAAAAACCTGCAACAGTGACTGGAACAAAGGCGCATCTTGGCTACCTAGGTAAAAACTGGCTGGTGGCACCCATTATTCTGCAACCAAACCCTGTCCTTTCAGCTGTCTGACTCATGTGAGCCACAATCAAAACCCTAGACGAAGGTTAGTAAGGGAAAGTCCCAGCCAGAATTCGTTGCGGCCGCGTTCTGAATTATTTCTATGGTTCTGGGATTACGACCATTTTCATACCGGGTTTTAATTATGAATTATGACTCATTCGGGTTTGTCTCTTTGTTGAGGGTACCCCTCCTTTGGTTCAAAGGGAAACCAAGAGGAAAACCACGAATTTGGTTCCCAAAACAAGACACATCCAACAAAACCCTGTCCCTGAGAAGGGCTCCTCAAAAGATACTTTTAGCCTTTTCCACCGAAAATAACAGGAAACCACCATTTGCAAGGCAATGTTCCGGTGCATAATGGAAGGATCCCTGCTGAAGATGTCCCTTCCTCAGGTGAAAGGCACCTTTCTGGACCTCACCGACTTGGACATGGCCGAGAAGTTCCAGCAGCTACGCCGCGTCAAGTCCGCCGCTGGGCGGATTTCGGCGGTTTTAGCGAAGGCACAGCTTGCAACATGTGGCAAAACCGTTTTGGATCTCATTTTGGGGGATTGGTGAGTTCACCACCCATTTTGGGCTTTATTTTAGTGGGGATTGGGATGTTTACTGTGGGTACGGGATGTTGACCCATGGCCATGTGAGTGGTCAGGCTTGGTTTCTGTTTCTCCCATGCTCACAAGAGGTGTGGTTTCTTTGTCTTTGTTTCGTTGCCGTGCTTCAACAAAATGTCTCTTTTGTCATGGGGGGGGAAGCGGTTTTACATTGTGTTGCAAGGGAACCACAGGCTTGGCCGGGCCTCTGCAGCTCAATTTGGAACAGCCAGCAGAGGATGACGTGTTTGCCGATAGAAGCAAGGACTAGGGGGAAATCTGGAATCCACTGCCTTCATTTGAGCTGAAAGGATCCGGCCTTTTGGTTGGCCTTCGCGCATGGTTTCAGCCATCCAGTGCCCGAGTTTCGTTTCTTTTGGGGAGAGTTTCCCCTCTGAAATTGTTCACCAAAACACCTGGACTGTCCCCTACACTTCAACTGGGTCCCTTAAAGTCGATACTCACGCTAGGAGTTGAGCCTTTTTGATTAGACCATTATTGTGGTAGATAAAAACAGGGTTTATTTAGACTTTTGGCCAGTGCAATCAGGAAGTGAGATGAGGCGTTCTCAAAGTTTCTTTTGAGGGGGTGGTTTCCCTTTTTTCCTATGAACATCGAGTGGTCGCAGGCTACTTGTCGTCGCAGGAATCGATGCTTCACGTGCTTCTCGAAGCAGAAGTATACACCCCGGGCAAGTACAGCGACGAGCAGGAGGATCGTCGCCAAATGGCTGTTGCTTTTTTCAGGGTTCCCCTTTTGGGATATTGTTTAAAGGTAACAAAAGGAAAACCGTTCAGTTTGAGCAAACCCCAAATGTTGAGGCTGATGCGCTTACTGGGTCCCTTAAAGTGGTTGCGGTTTGAGGGGTCTCAATTTTCAATCTATGTGTGGTTTTCCTTACACCCACCGGGAAGGTATGCCAGCATATACTAAAGATTTATTGGGGTGCGGGGCTCCTGGTTTAAACTGGAGGTTCCTGGTAATTGTTTTGCCTTCCCCATTGGCAACGAGGTTAATTTGAGTCAACGTGTTCGTTCGTCGCCTATGATCGTTTTGTGGCGTTCGGGATATAGGTGACCCGCTGACCTTCAGCCGTTGCGCAACCAGGTTGACCATCCAGTCGAAAAGTCGCCCAACACAGGAGAACTCGTTCCCTCATTGCTACACGCTTACTTGGGGTCGCCCTAAATTACTAAATGGGTCCTAGCAACAAAAAAGGGTTCCTGTCGAATGCTATGTGGTACCGATCGCGACGGGAAGCCCTTTGTTTGAACGGTCTATGGTTCAGATTTCGGCCGAATGGCTCAAGCCTTTCCGCAGGAGAGTTGCAGAAGGTCCTCGAAGGCAAGCGCAAGCACTGTCCGGTTGCAGCTAACATCAGGGGACCTGCCAATGCAATTCATTCCGAAGGTCTTGATTTTCCAATGGCAAAGCAAGCCCATTAAGGGACGGGTTCAACGATGACCGCTCTTGTTTTCCAATAGCAAAGCGCATGGCCATGAGGGGGAATGTGATTGTTTAGGTAAATGGACATATTCCATCTTGGATTTCCTAGAGTTCCGTGCAACTACGCTTGAGCCAGTGGTTGCTTTTTGTATCATCGATGTTCGAAGGCCAGAAACTGCAGAAAGGACAAATATCAACGACCAAGTTTGCACTACAATAAAGCGTGCGCCTGAGGATTGGAGGCAGCTGCTCTTGTGGGGGGGGATGAGAGGGTGGTACAAGTCGACTAGCTTGGAACGACGCGTGCAGGAGATTTTGGCCCCAGGCTTGGGCAGCTGGCACGAGGGTAAACTGTTGAGATCCCAGAAGTGTGGCCTTTGTTTTCGGCGGACTGTCTGTCTTTTGGAGAAGGCATGTTTTTGGCATCCGAAACCCGAAGCAACCATTGGCTGGGCATTCCTGTTGTGGGACACCCAATTCCATCGTGAAATTCAGTCAATTCTACCAGTATTTATTTAGTTTATTGTGAGAGTAGGGAACCACTAAAATCGTCCCACGAAAACCAGGAGGTGAAACCTAATTGTCCCAGTCCTTTTGGGACGTAATGTCCGCGACTCGACAATTTTTCTGCCGTCTTCATGACCCTTGCAATCAGAGGCTATGACCCATAGATAACAGGTGGTTTTTGGGCTAGTTTGGCTAGAAATAGACGGGTTTCGAAACCCATCCACTTTACCAAAGGGCACCTATGGCTATGAATCCTGATTTAGAGTAAATCTTCCATGTTGGTCGGTGGAACTGAACACACGACTTTCTTATGGGTGTGCTCATTAATAAACCCTAAGCCTTAAACTGTAAACCCTAACACATATGGCTGTCAAAACCAATGGGATCCCATTTGGGGTAGGTGCGCCACCCATTTTTGGCTTCCTTTTTAGCGGGCATTGGGATGTTCACTGGGGGTACGATTTGGCTTTTGACCCATGGCCACGTCTGGTTGACCTAATTTAGATGATGACAATCCTTAGGTAAATCGTGGTGGTTATACAAATCCCGATTGTTTTAATGGTGGTTTGAACCCCAGGGTTAACTCTCTCTATGCTACTAGGCTCATTGAGACTCCAGGTACTTGTTGCTTCTGCTCCCGTCGCGTCTCGCCAGTCGAGCGTCAGCACCTGCGAAGAGACTCCGCGAGCGCCGAAGAAGCCTAAGCAGCGGCCTGGCAAACCGCCGACGGGGGCTCCTTGTGGAACCTTCTGCCTGAAGATTGAAGCATTCTAGGGGAACCTTCCCCATTCTTTCCAGGGATCCTTCTTTCTACAAAACCTCCGGAAACCCAGGGCAAACGGATCCGGTGTTTGGACAAAACGATGGTTGAAAAGAATGGGGAATCAACACCTAGAGTACATATTCATATGGCAAAGGAACAACATACAGCTTTCAGAAACATACACCGACATGCATGAGCACAGCGACATACATACAGAATATATATATATATATATTATACACATACATCATCGACACACGCAAAGCGTTTTCTGGGGATGTTTTGTTTTGAACCCTGTGACCTAAGCATAACAAAAAGGCGCTGACCATAGGAAGCCTTTCTCGGTCAGGTGTCCCTTCGTTTGAACATTTCCTGGCGATGTACATGACAACTGGCTGGTTTTGACAGAGCAAACGAGGATCATTTACCCTCCCAAAAACAACCATGGAACCCACACAGGGCTGCCCTGAAAAGGAGAATGGTCTTGCAAGAACCCCGTGCAGGTTCTCTCGCTGTTTTTGGGGATGGTACCCACTCACCAACGGGCAACCGAGCAGAACGGAGGTTTCCAATCACTGGCCTCGAGGGCTCTCAGGCGCAAATGTCCAAGTGATGCGGATATTCACCATATGAGTGTATGTTTTGGTCAGACCCTATTTGGGGTGGTTAAAGGGGGAAGAAAGAAGGAAAGCCAGGAAGAAAAAACACTAATCCCTAGGCCACACCTATTTTGAGACATGGGTGTTTCCCACAATGGGGGTCCCGAAAATGGTTGGTGTTCTTTTGGTTTTCCTTTAAACTTTAGAGCCTCCGGCTCAGTCCGCCAACATTGTCCTCTCCCTTTTCTCCTTCTTCCTCTCTTCCTTGTCTCCCTTGTGTGCTCTCCCTCCCTCTGCTCCCATCCTCCCCATCCCCCCAAGCCTCTCTCTTCCCAATCTCCCTCTCTCGTATGTATGCATGCATGTACATAAGTATGTATGTATGCATGCATGTATGTATGTATGTATGTATGTATGTATGTATGTATGTATGTATGTATGTATGTATGTAATGTAAGTAAGTAAGTAAGTAAGTATGTATGTATGTATGTATGTATGTATGTATGTATGTATGTATGTAATGTAATGTATGTAATGTAATGTATGTAATGTAATGTAATGTAATGTAATGTAATGTAATGTAATGTAATGTAATGTAATGTAATGTAATGTAATGTAATGTAATGTAATGTAATGTATGTATGTATGTATGTATGTATGTATGTATGTATGTATGTATGTATGTATGTATGTATGTATGTATGTATGTATGTATGTATGTATGTAATGTAATGTATGTATGTATGTATGTATGTATGTATGTATGTATGTATGTATGTATGTATGTATGTATGTATGTATGTATGTATGTATGTATGTATGTATGTATGTATGTATGTATGTATGTATGTATGTATGTATGTATGTATGTATGTATGTAATGTATGTATGTATGTATGTATGTATGTATGTATGTATGTATGTATGTATGTATGTATGTATGTATGTATGTATGTATGTATGTATGTATGTATGTATGTATGTATGTATGTATGTATGTATGTATGTATGTATGTATGTATGTATGTATGTATGTATGTATGTATGTATGTATGTATGTATGTATGTATGTATGTATGTATGTATGTATGTATGTATGTAATGTATGTATGTATGTATGTATGTATGTATGTATGTATGTATGTATGTATGTAATGTATGTATGTATGTATGTATGTATGTATGTATGTATGTATGTATGTATGTATGTATGTATGTATGTATGTATGTATGTATGTATGTATGTAATGTAATGTAATGTAATGTAATGTAATGTAATGTAATGTATGTATGTATGTATGTATGTATGTATGTATGTATGTATGTATGTATGTATGTATGTATGTATGTATGTATGTATGTATGTATGTATGTATGTATGTATGTATGTATGTATGTATGTATGTATGTATGTATGTATGTAATGTATGTATGTATGTATGTATGTATGTATGTATGTATGTATGTATGTATGTATGTATGTATGTATGTATGTATGTATGTATGTATGTATATGTAATGTATGTATGTATGTATGTAATGTATGTATGTATGTAATGTAATGTATGTATGTATGTATGTATGTATGTATGTAATGTATGTATGTATGTATGTATGTATGTATGTATGTATGTATGTATGTATGTATGTATGTATGTATGTATGTATGTATGTATGTATGTATGTATGTATGTATGTATGTATGTATGTATGTATGTATGTATGTATGTATGTATGTATGTATGTATGTATGTATGTATGTATGTATGTATGTATGTATGTATGTATGTATGTATGTATGTATGTATGTAATGTATGTATGTATGTATGTATGTATGTATGTATGTATGTATGTATGTATGTATGTATGTATGTATGTATGTATGTATGTATGTATGTATGTATGTATGTATGTATGTATGTATGTATGTATGTATGTATGTATGTATGTATGTCATGTCATGCATGTATGTATGTATTTTGCAAAAAAACAAGTTTTCCAGTAATTAAGAATGAATGTAAAACATGAAGTTCCAGATTTCGGAAAGGATGCAGGAAGTAAGTAATGCGGTACGTGGGGGACCCCCCCCCCCCCCCCCAAAAAAAAACGTAATAGACGTCGGCGGGGGGGGTTGGGGGGGGGGTATCCTCTATCCTCTAGTAAGTATCCGACACGCCGAGCAATGTCGGCGGACACCAACCACACGAGGGTTCGCCATTTCGAAAAGATCCCAAATACTTGTATAATAATTACATGATACAACATAGTGTAATCATTGGATCAAGGGGAGTGTCTCCTTTTTCCCTTGGCTGGTGGTTTGGTAGCGTAAACCAGTTGAGTCATCATCAAACATCCAAAGGCGAAAGGACAGACTAGAAATAGAAGGGACTGGTCTTTTTAGTCATTCCATGAGGGTAGGCCCCTTTGATTCAGGTAGCCCTCAGTTGATGGTTTGGATTGGCGGTTGTGGAATTGAACCCCTGGCTTTGTAAATGGGAATCCACCCCCTGACCTCCAAACCGCCAATCCAATTCACCAATTGGGGGCAAGGTGATTGATGACAGAGTTGCCTTTTGATGTGACGTTGTTGAGGAGTTGCGAGATAAGGACTCGTGCAATGCAGGATGCCAGCGTTTTGTCTTGAGCATTCAGATGAGCCAGATGTAGGGCTATCTGGAGAGCTATTAGCAGGGCTCCATGGGAGCTGGGAACCAGATGTTAGATGAAAAGTGACGTTTGGGAGGGTTGCTGGTGAAACTATGGACCGTGACCACCCACAGGACATATGCGGACATGTTGAGCATATCTGAATATGACTCTCGTTTTCGTTCGTTGGCAACATTTGGCTGCAGGATGCAACCCAAGGCTTGTTAGGAAGCTCAAGAGACATAATCAAAGCCCAGGTAAGTGAAGGTTAAGAGAAAGTCCCAGCCAGAATTAGTTGGCCTTTGTAGTTCTTTACATTGGTTTGGGTACCATTTTCATTTCGAGCGGTTTTGAGCCAGTGACCGATCCAACTTTTTTCCGGGTGGGGGGATGGTGCCCTACCCTTGGATTCCTCAGGCCGGCTCCGCAGGACTTGGCGCTTTGCCCGTCAATTGCGCCGGCCGTTCAGTGTGAACTGTCCGGTTTTTTTTTGAAGGGACGCCCGCCCCCGCCGCGCCCCCTCTGGTTTGCCTTTTGGTTTTCCTTTCAATTCTTTGCGCCGCGCGGCTAGGAGTCCCAGCCTGGGCGCACCACGGTGATGATGAGGAATTTGCCCAACAACTACACCAGGCACGGGGCCAGCCGGCCGGATCAAAGATTTGGGTATGGGTCAAAATTATACAGCAGGAAATGGACCGCGGGTTTTAGTCCTTGTTTCCGTTTACCAGGGCAAGCCGTGTTGGGTATCCAAGTTTTGACCCACTGCCATTTTTTTTGAGTCGATTTTTGGAGGTTTATGCTAGTTTCTGTGGTTGATGGATTTAGCAAGGGAAACCAAGGTTTTTCGGGGGTTGACTTTTGAAAGAAGTTAACCTCAAAGACGGCTTTTCTTTTCAACCATCGTTCTTTTGAAGAGCCAGCCGCGCCCCCGGCGCCCCATAGATTTGTGTTCTGTCAAAAAGAAGGATGCCCGTCAGGATCTGGGAATATACCTTGATTGCCTACACTGCGTTGGGATTTCGGATGTCCTTCTGTGGGTGTAGACTTCCTCTTCCCCCCCCCGTCTCTGAATCCGGCATGATGTTTGGAGGGTTTTGCCAGTGGCGGGGATTGGTTGCTCCAAGCCAAATGACCAAACCCGGTAGAACATCAAATATAGTCTGGCTTGCGATGGTTTTGAGACTAAGTTCTGCCCAAGTTTACCTAACTCTGAGTTGCTCGCCTTTTGAGAAGACCGTTTTTGTGGCAAAGAACAAAAAGTTCGGACTTGTTTTTGCCAATCGACTGGATCGCAAATGAGTTGGGTGTCATTGTGGCCGTTGGATCCTTCGTGATTTGTGGTTCCCACGTCTCGGCTCAAGCCGAAACAGAGTATACCTCACTTGTCGGCTTGAATTGACCGGATCTGTGCTGTTGGTTTCCCCTTTTTGGTCGACGTTCAGTGCTCCTAAAGGTGATCACCTTCTGTTTCTGGCCCCAAACTGGGCAACTGAGTTCATTTTCCCTCTAGTTTGGAGCCCGGTGATTCGGAGGTTTGGGGTGGGAAGCCGGAACCAGGGATTCAATTCCAACCACCAATCCAAACCACAAACTCAGGGCCGCCTGATATATGTCTCATCTGCAGGCAACACACCAAATTTCCCTCAGGAATCCTTGTTGCTACATTCCCGCGTCCATGCCCATCGATAGTAAGCAACTGATTGGGAAACGAAACCACCGAGGAAATGTCTGGGAAAGGATACGTGGCAAGAGACTTAAGACACGAAAAAGGCTCCTCCAAATCGGACCTCTACAAATGCGTCAGGCTCCATGCTGGCTTTCAGGTGTGCAGAGTTTGCATCGACCAGTTCTGTGCGTGGGACAGCCATTGCCACGTGCACAGACCTCAGGAATGAAGTATTGACAAGGCGGCAACATTCTAGCATACTCCCAGTAGTTTTTTTTTTTTCCTGTATGGTAGGTAACTTGTCACCCTTCAAAAGCCAATCGGAGAATTCCTGGTTACCTACTCTAGTGGGTTGCCTGGGATTCACTGGGCCATGGGACGTGTCACCAAAAATATCCGACACCCCTTCCGTCCGCACGAGAGGCAGATGCTGCTAGAGCTGCTGGATCGATATGGCTTCCAGGGGCGTTATGACTTTGTTTATCTGCGGCTCGCTCCGCAATTTGAGGCCTTTGGCCATTTGGGTTGGGCTGTTCTTAGGGCTGGAAGGAATGGGACCCGATTTCTCCGGATGGTTGGGAATTTGGCTGGGCAAATTTCAGTGGATGATTCGAGTGACAAAGTAATATACCCCTACTCCCAAGTTGTGACTATTTATTCCCACATTCCAATGTGCCAAAAGTCGGTATTACCTACATGGAGTATGTGGGAAAGCTTCCTTTCTCATGGCGCATACGGGTGATATTCCATGTCCAACGCCCAAGAAATGGAGGCGGTCTGGTGAGCTGAGAAGCTGCCTGGAAATCTCACAGAGGGGGGGGGAACTGTCCATGGAGTTCAGTTCCGGAAAATGAGTTGTTTGAATGGTAGGGGCAAGGCTTTTGCGTTCTCAAGGGCAGAAAAGTGCTCCAAGCACCCTACCCCAAACACCCCTCCCCCCCAACACATCTTCAGTTTCAGGTCCGTTTGAGGTTCCAAGGAGTTTTGATTTGTTTTTTTTCTTCGGCGGGGGCCCAGGGGTCGCTCAGAGTTTGAGACTCCGCTCGATTTCGAGCTGCGCGCGGCGCAGCGAGGCCACATGATTTCGAGCGCAACGCCAACCTGGGCTATGCCTTTGTGAACCTGACCAACACTGAGACTTGGACAAGTGCGACTCGCTGAGGGTTCTGTGATGTTCCTTTGGCGTGTGAAGTTCCTTTTCGGACCGGCTTTTTGGACTTTTTGGTACTTGGTTGGATTCAAGACTCACGTCCTTGACTGGACAAGTCTGTGCGACTGAAAGGACTATGTGCCTCTCACACTTCAAATCCATCAGGACTCGGTCAATGAGTCAACAGCGATCGGTTTCTGGTCAGATTGTCGGGTATTCATTCGTATCGAAGCCTTGATTGGCCATTTGCGAGGTTTCTACGACCTGGCGTGATGGGAAGTATAGCCAGGCAATGTCAGGCTATATATATATATACACCTTCGTACGAGTGTAGAACTAAGGGTTTGTGGTCCGTTTCGGAGCACCACGAAGATGCAGTCCGTTTGTTCGGGGCAGCCAATAAGGCAAGGGTCCCTTGCCCAGCAGTTCGGGGAATGTATGAAGGTGAGGACTTGCTTGTTCTCAGTTGGGGCGATCGTGGCTTTGAACCTTTGATCGAACAGCTTAGGCCTATAGGGGCTGGCCGGGCCCTTGGTAGGGCCATTGCAGACAAAAAAAACCTATAGGGAGTTTTTCGGTTCTTGTGGTTGCTTCTGAAGGCCACCATGGGGCCGACCCTCTTCAAACGTGTTTGACCAAATGTTTAGGCCTTTTTGCTTTCCATCTCAAGACAACCGGCTGGTTGTTCAAGAGTTTGCATCCTCTGAGTTCTAATTAGCATCCCGGATTTGAAACCAAACAAAAGCACGGTGGATTGGTGGGGTGGCCAAATTGAACCAACCAACCCCGGCAGCCATGAACCCCCCTCCCCATCCCCCCCCAAATCCGAGGATGCGGTCGCTGCTTTCTGGAAAGCCTTCGACGGTTTCGGACGGTGGATGCTGCCGACCGCGAAGGCGATCGCGTTCGGGGAGAAGCGCTGGGCTCACCTCTTAGGGTTTTGCACCGAGCATGGCGTTTTTTGGGAGTTGGTACTCCCTTTTTCGGTAATTTGTTTAAAGGGAACCAAAAGGAAACCGAAGCCTCTTCTCTTTTTTGGGGGAGAGGGGGTCCACCCTGAAAAGAGTCACCCAAGTAAGCGACTCCTCTTAAATCTGGCGGTGGACCAAAACCAATGGGATCCAAATGTGGGCTAGGTGCACCACCCATTTTAGGCTTTATTTTAGTGGGGATTGGGATGTTCACTGGGGGTACGGGATTTTGACCCATGGCAATATGGCGGGCATGTCCTTGTTTGGAGTTGGTACGCTAATTGTTTGTTCTTGTTAAAGGGAACCCAAGCCTTTTTCTTTTGGGGGGGGGCCCTAGGAAAAGGCACGCCCAAGTCACTTTTGTCCTCGACTTCCCTTCAAACCCTCCTTGTCCAACTTGAGGCCACTGCACTGTGCGAGCCTGTTGGTGGCTTGTTTTGGCTTCAAGAGTGTTTCGCATGCACGCAATCCATCGGAAACGACCATTAGTCAAGCGCAAGTCCATGTGGTGTATGCACTTGACTGCGTTCATTGATTCCATTGGCATGGTGGGAACTTCAGCAAAATGCTGCCTTGAGTTTGTGTCAGGGAAGCCCCAAGAATGACTAGAGTTCTTGTGGTTTTCTTTTGAAGCCGCACAATGTTGGAAACAAGGCGGTTGCAAAAGCACCCCACACTCAGTCAGGCAGTCAGTCAGTCAGCCAGCCAGCCGGCCCGCCAGCCAATCAAACAGGCAGGCAGGCAGGCACAGTCAGGCACGCACAGGCAGGCAGGCAGTCCGGCAGGCAGTCGAGTCAGTGTGAACTGCCCCATGTCACAGCCTGCAAGCCCACTAGCTGTCCACCATTCGCAAGGAACTCCCAACGCCTGTCGTTCCTGAAAGAAGGCGAGTGCAAAGACACCTCGCGGGACCAGCATTTGGGTCTGTTTTTACTGGTACCCTTCCTTTAGTCGGTTTAAAGTGAAACGAAACGCCCCCGTTTTTGGGCTAGCCTCCAAAACAGCCACATGCCCATTCAAGCCGAAGAACTGGAAATCCCAGACACCCGCCGGCACCGCGGCACCGGATGTCGGATCTGAGGTTTGTCAAGTGAGCTGGAGCGGCCCTCACCAGGGACTCCAGGCGCACATCCAGCGGTATCGAAACAGCCCGGTGATGCACAAGCGCCGGCCTCAGCAGTAGAGCTCGAGAAAGCCCGCTGGCATCTGGGCTTTGTTGTGTGTGTGTGTGTCTCTGTGTGTCTCTCTGTGTGTGTGTTCTTTGTTGTTTTTGTTTATATATATATATGTATAGATTGCTTGAGGGGAGCCCTATTGGGTGGTTGTTCAGGGCAGCCAAAAGGAGACCAACGGTTTTTGGAGGTTCCCCTAGTTGGAGACACCCCCTGTGAGTTATGTTTCAAGATGCACGAGATAGGCTGTTTCTGGTCCGTAAGAGACACCTATCGGGGATATGCGCTCAATTTTCTCTGACATTGCAAGGTTTGCAGACTAGGTTGTTCTGATCTCGTGGAAAATTATTCTAAACTTTGTGTTGAACTGAGTTTAGATGTTAAGTTTCACGGAATAGCTTTTCTGACCCGTACTAGGTTTTGTGGGACATGTTTTGAAATAGCTTCAGTGGTTAACACTCACGAAATGGCTTTTTTGGACGCGTGGTAAGGTTTTTTGGGAATATTGTATGACATGATTTTAGAGTTTAAGGTTCACCACATAACCAAACACAATCATTATTTACGAATGTTTATTGTAATGCTGGGCCCCTTTCGGTTGGCATTCAAAGGTTACCAGAAGGAACCCAGGCATTTTTGAGGACCAGCATTTTGAGAACCACTGAAATCTGATTTGTGGTAGGGCACATCTTAGGTCGTTTTGGTTGCCACATCGAACATGGAAAACGCCCAGGAGCGTGCCTGAGGAGTACAAGCCGGTGGTCTTTAGGAACGGCCACCGGCATCCCTTCCCGAGCCCAAACCGCAAGGCGGGAGGCCTTCAGTTTCAAGAGAGAAGTCGTTTTTGGTGGACCAATCCGAGTTTTTGTTTTGTTTGTTGTTTTTGCGGCAATTTCTTGGGTTTACCCTCCGGTCCAATATGGAACCCACCCAGAAATCGATCCCTTTTGAAGGGATAAGACGGCCTTCCAGGCATTTTCTGTGAGGTTCCATGTCTATTTTTGGGCGGGTAGGGTTGTCAGAATCTGTACCAATTTGGCGTTTCCTAGGCGGTCGCGTTTTTTTTTTTTTGCCTGCCTCATGTGGCTTCAACAAAGCACCGTTTGGGCAAGTTGAAAGTGAGTTTCCTTTGGGTGATGTTAGGGGAAATCAATCGGGAGCCCTGTTTCTTTCAAGTGTCAATTTGGTACAGAAGGGTTAGTTTGACGGTGTTTCTGCTGGGGGGTACCAAAGTCAGCCGCAGGGGTTGTTTCCCTACCCAGCACGTGATTTGATTGGGCCTGAAGCGCTGGGGTCGAGCTGCTAACACTTAAAGGGCCCCTTCTTCATACCCAAACAATCTGGGTGGGTCTTTTTTTTTGTGCACCCCAAAAATATTGCCTTGGTTTTCCTGAATTGTCCCCTTGAAATTCAGCAAAAAGAGGTACCCTCAAAAGGGCAGACCCTTCTATTGCAACTTCCTGGGTCCTGGGTAGAACCAAAAGTCAATGGGCTTCTGGTCCAAAGTGGACGGACGTCGCAAGCCAGCCAAGTAGGGAGCCCGAACTGGTTGGTTTCCCTTCCGCCTTCCTAACCTAATATCGTCCAGAAGAAAGCGTGGGCGGTGTTTCAAAGCGAGAAGGTTGTCCACTGTCCAAAGGGCGCACTTTAGCCTAATATGATTGGGCCATGACCATGTGGTTGAAAGACCGCTTGACATAGAGTTGGCAGGGATGATCCTCAACCCCTTAGGGTTTTTGTGCTAAGGACTCCTATGAAGGGGACCATGACCCATAGCTCACATCAGGAGTTTTGGCCATCATGTGACTTGGGTGAAAGATGTATAGCCGCTCTTGGCACAGGGCACTGGTGATACTTATCGATTGAGGCCTCTTTCAAGCCTCGATAACCATCCATGGCAAATGAAGTGTGCCCATGAGGAAGGTTCTTCTCAGGCATTCTCATTCAAACTCGTGTCACGGGTCCCTGAATTTCCATCCAACACCGCCGCGTAGAATTAAACTTCTGAGAGCACCAACCTGATTTGTATCAATGCAGATCCATGGACGGGGGAGAGGTTCAAATTTGGGGGATTGGCCCAGAATCCGGGAAGCAACGTAACATTGAATCCCGAAGTGTTGCAAATCAACCACATACCCTTCTCCAAACGTAGGGATATCTTTGTTCCCTTAAAATCAGGGTATCAATCTTCTCAGGCTTTGCTGGCTTAAGTCTTCATGCGATTTGCGCCTTCTTTTTCCGGCCTGCCATCTCCTCATCCATGGATCCGTTTTCTTGGGGCGGAGGATCTGCCTTCCCTCGTGGCAACCGCTTTTCAGATCTGCGCAGGCGAACAGCGGCTTGTGTGTGTGTCTTGCGGGCCATGAAGGTCAATGGGAGATCTGTGAAAAACCCTGTGCATCCGAATGCGAATGATGCCCACACGGTCCGAGCTAAAATTGCAGACCCACGTGAACACGGTCCGCCAATTCATGTTGGGGCCCTTTGTGACTGGTTGTCCAATTGGCCCATGGCCTAGAGGTTTATACCAGATAAGACATGGACCATCATGTGCCGCTTGATCAAGCACCCTTCCACTAGCATGCAGCCAGACCATTTTCTTGAAGAGGAAACAGCCCTGTCGCTGTTTCTTGGTCAGAGTTCTTCAAAGGATGCGTTTAGGCCGATTGCAAAGTTACTGTCATCAGATGAGGTTTTTCAGGATTCCCTAGTACCTAGGGCTTCAAGAACCTGTAAACATGTCGTACCCTGACTATGTTTTGCTGGATGCAGCTGGTGGTCGGACGTATCCTTCAAGGAACCCAGTTCGACCTGAACCAAGCCTCACTTTCGCCAGATCAAGCCGCCTCCGCCCAAAGCCCCGGCGGCTCCCACCAGGCGCGAGCTTGGTACGAGGGATATGGGGGTTGACCTTTTTTTCCTGACACCCAAATGACCATAGGTAACTTCTCCCATGTAGTGGGAAATCATTTTTTGCGGTTGTCCCCAATGGTCATCCCATGTAAAGGACCTTTTGATCAACCATTAATATGTATTGGAGTGGAATGGGGTGAACACCCCCAAACACGAAGGCGAGTCGTCAAAACTAAGGATGATCATCGTGGATTTGGCGGCTTCTGCAGGGCGCGAGCAGGTCTTGAAACGAAACCCAGACAAAGCCTTAAACGAAGCCCTTGTTCACCAAAAAAATGGGTTTGTGAGCATTGACTCTTTTGACTTACCATAGACGAGAAGTAACCGGAAGACTTCGGGAAGACCACGGGAAGACCACGGGAAGACCACGGAAAGACTACCCAGACTACAGGAAAAATTCGAGAAAACTATGCAACAACTACTGGAAGAATACGTACGATCAGCAAAACCCTCAACCAAAGCGAAGGCGAGTCTTTGAAACCAAGGATTTAGAGATATTCCAGTTTGGCACATAAGGGTTTTGGCGGCGGCTCAGATGGAATAAGTATGACAGGATTCTCCGCATGCTTTTCTCCTTTAACGCCACCCCACCAAAAGGAAACTCACTTTGAATCGGCGCCAAAGGTGACGCTTAAAACCCTTTTGAAATGGGGCAGTAGGGAACCCTGTATGAGTTCAATGTATTGCTTCAAAGTCAATCCTTCCTTACGCCAAATGGCTCAGTTTCTTTTGTCTCACGGAGGCCTTGGGATCGGATTAGTTGGCCTGGAGCCCCTTGGGCCCCATTTTTTGGGATATGACCGCTCAGACTTGAGATCTCAATGCAGTCGGCTTTGCAGATGGAGAGAGAAGACTTGCGCAAGTGTTTTGGCTTAAGATAAGACGAACAAATACGTTGTTCACCTAGTCTACATGTTTTTGCTCTTAAACGAACTCCCAACTACACGATGTTTATCCATTTGTTCGAGTCACCAAGGGTTTGGGAGCACCCCGTTTAAAGACAAGCCCAAGTTACATTCCTAGCATAGACCTAGGAGATATATGCGATGTTAATAACATCCTGGACAGGAGCCTGGGCGGCACAACCGCTATGCTCGAACTAGCTTGGTCATGAGAAGACTCCTTCTCATCTACCATTGGTTTTTAGCAAAAATCGCTTTGGTTGGAAGGACCCCCCAGTGGGTTGGTTTTCTTTTGCTTTCGGACCATCCAACAAGGGGTCTCCCCATACAGATCCGTGGAGAGCACTGGCTTCAGGTAGTTTTCCGAAGATGAAATCCCCCGGTGGACGGCACGCGACACCTCCTGGTGTCTATGAGCGCCCTGGTAGAATTGTGAGTAAACCTAATGGCCGCGTATGCATGGCATGTCCGGATTGTTTTTACAAGAAGTCCAAAACCTGAAGTAAAAATTGAATCCCCAAATACAGGATCTTTACCGTGGCTAAAACGCTTGTTTTATCCCCGAATCAGTGAGCTCGCCCTGCCAGATGGCGCGAGCCGAGTTTTGCAGTGGGCATCACATGGGTTACTGATTAATCAAGTTCCCCCTCCCTCGCGCCCCACAAATGTCGACTCAATAGAGAGAATCGGCAAAACAATGGGGTCAGGTTGGCCTTTCCGAAGGTGAGTACTGCTTAGTATTGGTTTGCATTGATTTTGTTTTGGTTTAATTATTCTTTGTGCTGCTTCAGTACGTCGTATTGATTTGGCATTGCTTTGCGCTGCCTTAGTACTGGCACAGTCTTGGTTTGCTGTTGGTTTAGTATTGCTTGCCTTGTATTGGTTTGCATCAGTTTAGTATTAGCTTAGTTTTGCTTCGGTTGTCTTCGGTCCTCTTCGGTTCTCTTCGGTTCTCTTCCGTCTTCTTCGGTCCTGTTCTGCCTCTGTACTGGCTTTTGAATTGTTTTAGTTTTCCTTTGAGCTAATGGTTTAGTACTGGTTCAGTGGTATTTTGTGTTTTCGGCTTGCAACACATTTGCACAATTGGGTATTGGTATTATTAAGCATGTGGGGTGGCCACGTACTAGCGCTTGGAATTTGGACGGCTGAGCACTTTTATATGCAGGAGATGTAAGCCAATCAGCGGTTTTGTTGTTTGCGGATATTTTTTCTGACTTTCTCAGTACTCAAAATCAAGAACTGGTGGACACGAAGAGAGATTGGAATTGCAAAAAGGTCAGGGGAAGGACGGTTGCACAAGTGGGCCCCCCTTTTTGATTTCTACTATTGTGTGTTTGGGGTGGCCATGTACTGCCCTAACTTCTTGGAAGTTTGTCGGCTGAGTTCTTTCGTATACTGGATATGTAAGGGAATCGGCAGTTTGGGGGATGGGCGTGGTTTCCGGACAAAAATTAAGTCCGAACAACACAAACTTGTCGTTCTCCGGATGAAGTCCCAGTTGTTTTTTCTCCGAGCCAAAAACACATATTATATGAGGTACCCGTTTTTTTTTCTTTTGGGGGGGGGGGGCTGAGAACAAGTTTGAACAAACTTTATTGTATTTGGTATCCTTTGATGAATGGGGTACCAACATTATTCTGCATTGTCCTTATTCATCTCCTCTTCTTTGGGAAAAGAGTTGAAGGGACTCAAGAAGATCGATGGGAAGAGCACCAAACGGCCTATTCAGCAGCTTGGCAATCATCGAATTATCCAGATTTTGTTCAGCTGTGCAAAGGCGCATTGTTTTCTGTCGCTGTCCATTCGCTGGCTGTAGGTGAAGAAAACAACAGCGCAGCCAGGATCGCTTATGGGAGAAGGAGCCTTTCAGGTGTAATTTGGTATCTTCAGAGTTTGGACCCAATTGGTTTGCGTTCCGACGTGGCTCTGGGCTAGACAGAATACACGCGGCTTCCAGACCGCCTGTTCCTTTCGTTGGTTTCAAGGAAGGGGTACCCTCAAGAAAAGACACAGCCATTTGTCGCAAGAGCACTAGGGTACAGTATCACAACCACTAACATATGGTATTTGGTAAATTCTGAAGTCAATTTGGGTCCGCCATGAGGGACGATGTGGGGACATGACAGGAAACGTTGACAGCCAGAAGCAGTTTTGTGCACATTCGGTTGAGCAGTGGGCTTCATTGTGTAGATCACGACGGTGAGAGGGTCTGCAATTCGTTTTCCACGTGCTGCATGACCAACCTTGTGTCGATTCCTGCGAATCCTGGTGTGCTGTATCATGAGACCAAAAAGTGGCTGCCTTCTTTTGATTTTTAGCTCTTCAGCTCATCCCAGGCCAGGCCATCCAGTGACCTAAGATCAAAGAAATGCCCCGCCTGTGCCATGGCTGAGGCTTGCGTGTGGCCGGCTCGGCCAGCGCAGGCCCTTTATGTTGTACAGTACAGGTGCTCGATTTTGTCTGGGAAGCGGCTTGGCGGCACGGGTAGCAGGACGTGATTCGATGGTGGGGGCGTGGAATTCCCAAGAGAAGGAATCGGAGTTCCCAAAATGGAACCTTGCTAGGTCCCCCCCAGTAGTGGCCTTTTACCAACCTTTTTTGGGGAGGGTTCCCCTACTGAAATAGACTACCAAAAAAAGGTACCCTTATTCTCACCTCTCTACTGGAGGACCTAGCCGGGCAAATGGAAAAGTAGACTACACGTGTATCTGTCAATCTCATTCACGAGGAACATGCCCCTTTTAAACCAGAATCAAATCATGTCCTCAATCCAATTTACTCAGCATTCATGTCAGAGCGCCCTCTTTTGTCTTGTTGGAGCCCTAATCGCGGCCCGTGGATGATGTTGAGGAGAACACCAGATGGAACATAGCCGCCGGCAGTTGTCCTTTTTCGCGCTGCTTTGATTCGCGAGAACTCGGAGCCATATCTCTGGCAACATACTGCGTTGATGGCGATGGCCGTTCTCATGTGACCACATTACTTCTCCCAAAATGGGGTGTTTCCTCTCAGTTTGCCTGTAAACCAAGCCGAGAAGAGTAGCCTCAAAACAGAAACCCCGCCCAAGCCGCTTTCGTTGCCTTTTTTTGGGGGGGGGGCATTCTTTCAAAGAATCCCAAGGCTTACGGCACTCACTGTGAGGGTTTTTTTTCTGGTGCGGAGGCTTACGGCAAGGGCATGCTGTTGCCATGCTGTTGCCTGTGCTGTTGCTCACTCGTTGAGTTCCTGGGCTAAAGGTCACTTTTGGCTTGGTGAACAAAACGTTCAGACTTGTTTTGGCCAACTCGATCGGAAGTGAGGTTGCCATGTGTAAGAAGTATTGTGGCAACAGTGGGCAAGAAAACCACAGAGAGGCTTGAAAGGTTTACCAGACCTCCAAACAGACCATTTTTCCCCCCAAATCCAAGCAGAAGGGGCCGCCATGGGGCCTGCGTTTTTGAAGTACAGTAAAATCATTAAAAAACAGAAAAAAAAACACAAAAAACAACAAAACAAATCGTGGAAAACCGAAAAAAAAAAAAAAAAAAAAAAAAAAAAAAAAAAAAAAAAAAAAAAAAAAAAAAAAAAAAAAAAAAAAAAAAAAAAAAAAAAAAAAAAAAAAAACAGACAAGCTCAGGTAAGTCACCTCCTTTTATTTCCCTCTCATGACTGTTGTTTGGGGCTTTCTTCGAGGAAACCCAAAAAAACCAAAAAAAAAAACAAAAACAAAACAAAAACAACCAAACAAAAACAAAACAAAAAAAACCAATCTGGCAGACAAAAGCTCAGGCAAGCCACCTCCTGTCATTTCCCTCTCAGGATTGTTTTTTTTTTTTTGTTTTTTTTGTTTTTTTTTGTTTTTTTTTGTTTTTTTTGGGTTTCCCGGAGTGTTTTCCTCTGTTGCACTTCTTGCTCCATGCTGCGTCTGGATCTGCATCTACTTTTCCCTCTTCTGGTAGCCTGCTCAAGTAAGTCTCAGCTCATTCCCTCTTCTTTCAAGTAGTCATGGCTCTCGAGGCGGAGGATATGACCGTGGACCATCTCAGGGAGGTGCTCGATGGCATGGTTTGCAGGAACTCCACCAGTCCTATTACCTTGGCAGAGCAACCGCCTGGCTCTTTCAACCCGGTCAACTTCCCCTGTGCGGACTTGCTCCACACAGACAACGCGAGCGTGCACCTCTTCGATGTCATCTTCAACTACCGCAAGGAGATTGACTTTACCGTGTTGGAGCGCGAGTACAAGCGAGACATTGAAAATGAAGATCTGGACCTTATTTCTGCACCCTTCGGCTTGCAGAAGAAAGTGGGCAAGGATGTAAAACTCCAGATGGTCATCCTGAAAGCATTGGATGGATCTTATACCATTTGGAAGCACTTCATCTTCCCCCAGAAATGCAAGGCCCCTCTCTTCATGAAGCTCGGCTTCGGAGTTGCCAAGCGCGCCATCTGGATGCAGGAGCCCAAGCTCGGCAGAAAGATCGTGCAATACTGCATTGAGACCATGGGTGGTCGGCAGTTCAAGTGTGCGGAGCTGTCGAGCAACGCCATCGTGAAGTCCAAGACTGTTTCCTCATTCGAGGACAAGACAGATGAGGAAGTGGATGCGGGGTTCGATTTCATTTTGGCACATGGCCCCAGGAGCTCATCTGAAATGCAGCAGCTGCGATGGATGACAAAGGAGTTGCGCCGGAAAGCTTCTCCCATCCATGGATGGCCTCAGGCCTTGGTTGGCCGCGCTCTTCGGAACTTGGCTTCGGATGGCGCTTTGGCCCGCAAGGAGTTCGATTGGCCCATCCCCTTGACGACCAAGTATTACCATTCCTGGCTCTTGGAGATCATGGAGGAGATATGGGACTTCGATCTCTCAGCCTTCACCATGCTGGGGGAGGCGGGCGCGGGAAAGAGCCCGTTGGGTAGGAGCGTCCTGATGGCACAGGTGCGCCACAACAAGGCGCGCTTCAACTTGTCGGGTCAGCCTTGTATCCGCTCTACGCCGGAGATTGACTTTCTTCGTGGCGAACAGGGGTCCGTGCTCATGGGCGATTTCCTGGATGACACATCCTTGCACATGCTCCCGATGAAGTTGCTCAAGGCATTCCTGGATGTCGGGCTCTATGAGAGCATGTGTTGGGCTCGATGGGGTGCGACAAAATGGGTTCAAAACGAACCTCGTGCCGTCGCAGATAACACCTATGATGATGGTGTTTCCGAGGAGCCTGCGTATGCCAACACCGTCAGCTTCGAGACTTTCTTCAAGCTCATGCGCCCCAGCATTGTGGAAAGTGCCACTCTCGCCCACATGGATGCTGTCTTCAAGAGAACTTGCATCTTGCTCAATACGAAGACTCACGTCTACTACAGGAAGGCGGGCATCAACACCGAGGCAGTGCCGCGTGTGTGGGAGATCAACGCGGAATATCTCACCGAGGAGGGCAAACGTCTATATGGTCTTCACAAGGGTGGAACCAAGGAGATCACAGATGACTTCGTCGAGGAGGTGAAGAAGGAGCAGCTGTGGGTGGAGGCGGTCATGCACAAGCGCTTCGCAGAGAGGAGTCGCAGCAAGGAGGATGAAGAGGAAGATGCCAAGCGCAATCGGATTCGGGAGCAAGTTTTCGGAGAGAGGCCAGCGGCGGTTCCTTCGGTGACTCAGCAAATGCAAGACAAGCAGAAGCGTGCCCTTGAGAAGTCTGCAGTGTCGGTCAAGAAGGAGAAGTTTGAGATGGAGCAGGAGGGGGTCTTCAAGAAAGCTAAGACATGGAGCTTGAATATGCAGTCTTCTGGCAGCGTGATCGACTTGGACTCTTCCCCGCAGAAAGTCGTGTCACCTTCACCTGTTGCCCCAGACCACGCTCAGCCAAAGGAAGCAACCAGAGCAGCAAGCTCCTTGTTGTGCAGCCAAGAATCCATAGAGATGGACCAAGCAGCTGAGGAGATGGATGAGGCCTGGCTTCATCCTGCTGGCTGCGGTGCTTCGAACGAGACCTACTCGGAGGTGTGCCTTTGCAATTCTCTTCGCAGCCTTGGGTGCCCCATTTCTTACGACAAGAATGGCCCGTTCACTGCGGCTGATGGATGTGAGATGTTGGCCCCCTTAGGTGCCACTTTGAAGTTAGTGTCTACAAACAGCAAGCTGCAGCCAGGCAAGTTTATCGTGCTGGACACAACAAGAAGCCATTTCTTCGCTGTCATCAACGCGAACGGGAAGGTGCAGAAAGTCGACGATGGCATGCATGCGTACATCTCGGCGGATGTCTTTGCGGAGTTCATGAAGAGTCCGATGTACCATGTTTTCAAGCTGACCTTCATGTGCGCTGGTGCCTCAAGCCTATGCCCTGCTTTTCATATTCCCGGTGGCGCGCTCTCCAAGCCTGTGTACAGCACACACATGAAGAGTTGCTCGTGTGGACACAAGGCTTTGTCCAAAGCTCATGACATCGAGGCGGTCGTCTATTCCAGGAGTGGTCCATCTGATGCAATCGTCCGGACTATGCGCTGCACAGCTTGGGGTTGCAGGAAGACCTACGGCCCCAATTTTGTCAATGTCGATGGATGCAAACTGAACACCGCCAACCCGCAGGACATTCAGAAGGTCTTGTTCGTGAACGTGAAGCGTGGCTTCAGCTTGGAGTACTTGCAGTACCACACCCAGCTTGAGTTCCGTGCATTTGTTTCATCCAGAGCCATCCAGGATGTGTACGAGAATGTCTACGGCACCGTGGATGATACGGACTTCACTCGCTTCCGGAAGGCTCACGCAGATGCAATTATGTACTGGGCGGCATTGCAGGAGTTGTCTTCCCTTGGCATCAACCAACCCATTGAGATCGGCAACGAACTCTCCGAGATCTCTTTGGCTGCGTATGACAAGCACCTGCACTCCAAAGGCTTCCCCCCTCGAAACAAAGCTTCTGTCACAGAGCTAGTTGGCGATGGACATGCCAAAGTCCATGTGAAGTGCTCTGAGGTTGCGCCGCACCAAGGCAAGCCCCGCAAGAATGGAAAGGGCAAGCCGTACGGGCACGGGTGGTTCATGATCGTCGACCCCAAGAACTTGCAAGTGCTTTCGGTTTCCTGCATGAGCAAGCCAGAGAACAACGAAGTTGTGAAGGACTCACTGTTGAAGATCTTGCCCATGTACAAGAAGGTTAACTGCTTCGTGCTGGATCGGAACTGCGCCTTCATGCCGCAAGCCCTGGAGGTGAAAGAATTCAAGCAGGTGAAGTATTGGACCATCGACTGCTTCCATGCCACTGGGCACAAGAAGACATGCAAGTGCAACCCTCTGCATGTGCCGCGGTTGGCCAAGCGGTTGAAGCACGTGAACACGTCTGCGGCAGAGCAAGTGTTCGCGTGGTTTCGGAGCTACGCACGTGTGCTGAACGAATCCTCTCCTCTCCGGCACGCCTTCAAGGTGCTCTACTACTGCAAGATGCATAACCAAGCGATCCGCAACAAGAAGGCCACGTACATCAACCAGCACGGCCAGCAGAAGCGCAAGCGTGTGGCCAAGCCCTATCAGTGCTCCTCCGTCTACAAGAAACCGTCCGCCAAGTGAGATCAGTTTTGATTCAGCCTAGGGCAGCTTCAATCTCTTTCTGTCACTAAATTAGGGTGACATAGCATTTGATTTGGCAACAGTCCAGCAAACAAGTCTACAAAAAAAAGCTGCCTTGCACAAAGACATGCCCGTGTGTTCTGGCTCCTTGGTCTAACAAAGAAAAACACAACATAAATACAAATCCTGTTTGCACCACTAAAGGCACTACACTGGAAAAACACAGGCCCCAAAAGGCACTACACTGGAAAAACACAGGCCCCATGGCGGCCCGCTCTCAATCCAAGGGGGTAAGGGACCAAGGAGTCCAGAAAAAGAATTGGGCTTCAGATTCCCGCCTTGCGCGGCGGTGTCGTCTTTTTTTCGACCTCGGATTGGCCTGGAGTTTCTTGGAGCTGGACTCCCCAACCGCGCACTCGTTACATGAAACTATGGCCGTGGTGGTCAAAACCGTTAAACGGGATCCCATTTTGGTTGGGATAGGTGAATGCACCACCCATTTTAGGACCTTTATTTTAGTGGTTGGATTGGGATGTTCACTGGGGGTGCGATTTGGGCCGTGACCCATAGCCATATGGCAGATGACCCAAGCGGTTCTTGCGTGTGGCTCACAACCTAAGCAAAGCAAACCAGCCGCACATGCGTTTCTGCAAAGTGTCGGTCTTTCTGCACCGATCATGCGCATCACCATGAATCTTGAGCTCGGCTTTTACCAGATGGGCTTCTCTACATGAGTCATCCACGGGTTCTTGTCACTTTGCATAGCAACCGTCCAAAGGGGTTCGGAGCCTGCGTTGCACGAAATTGGTGTTGTTTAACATCGCCGGGGTCATGGTGCACTCATGTTGCATGTTGCATGTTGCTTTTGTTTGTTTGTTGTTTTTTTCTTTTGGTAGATGTTCCACCCCTTGAGCAGGCGGCACACGGGACCACGGGGCCCGGGTAGCCGCATCTCAGCAAGGGTACTGATGGAGTACCCGAATCGAAGCAACTCTTGGAACGACGTTGCGGGTAAGAAACTAAAGCACTTCCAAGGGCTCAACCACCGGCAGGTTCCCGCGAAATATGTTTAACACATATACATAGTATGTATGAACTTACATACATACATACATACATACATACATACATACATACATACATACATACATACATACATACATACATACATACATACATACATACATACATACATATATGCAAAAATGCATAAATGCATAAATGCATAAATGCTATATATATATATATACACATATATATATATACACATGTATGTATACATGTTCATTATACCAAGATGCCTCCAGTAGCTAATGCGAGCATAACGGAGACATGGAGTTGCTACCCCAGGCACGTTGAGTTACCGAACTCATAGAGATGAGGGACATGTCGCAAGAAGTGCCGCCAGGGGGGTTCCTTTAATGGATTCGAGTCAGACCACAATCGGCCTAAGGACAGACCTGACCAGCCAGTTGCTCCTCCATTTTGAGGCTTTTCACTTTACCATGGTGCAAAGCCCTGAATTCGATAGTTTAAACAATATATGCATGGCAGCATGACAAGCAGGATGTCAGCTAGTGTGCCAGGCGCTTCCTGCCGTTTGCTCTGAATGAAGGTCCCAAACTGCATGAGAGCCGCTGCATTGATAGTGTTGTTGTGGTTGGTTCGTGATGCCTGGTACTTCATATCTGTTAAATTCACTTGTCTCCCCCTGTTGGCAAATCAATCTGTTTTCCGTGCTTTCAATTGCTTTTGTAGGATGCACCAGGAATGCTTGGCATGACAGTGGCGTCTAAGCTTTGGCTAGCAAGTGCCAAGCCTGCATAGGCGGCCAGCGGATGTGGCTGGTCTACACCTGTGTCGAGGTCATGTGGTTCGCAGGCGTTGTCTCTAGCTGATGTTGGCCACGTGAGTGCATCTAGACGGACACGCACATGAAGAGAAAGAGGGAGAGCCAGCAGGCGACGGACAGACACAGACAGACGGAGACCAGCGTACAAGGACGAAACTTTGTTGAATTGCTGATGCAGTTCGGCCTGATGAGGCGGCCTTGTGCAACCACATGAGGAAACGCCCAAAGCATTTGAAGCGAACGGGGCTGGTGCACCAGTTCCTTTGAAGCGGTTGTGGCTTGGCGAGAATTTGTTGGACATCGACATTTTGGCCCCAGCCAGCTGGGTTGCTGTACAGTTTTTTTCAGGAGTTCCCAAGGGGGAACTCGGGGAGCAATTTCTGGTTTCATTGAGCACTGCAGCAGTCTGCTGCACAAGGGATTGGAGCGAAAGCGACTGGGTCGGTTGGCATGGTGAAGTCTGCAAGAGTGTGCCTTGTTTCCTTTCCTGAACTGCTGGGCCTTTGCATGTTTGCGTGTGATATGCACTCGAGGATGTTCGATGTGATATGTGATGGCACGTGAGGACATGCCGCTTTGAGAATATGCGGTTTCCATCAACACGGTTCAAAGAGATGAAGGCACCGTAGAAATATGTAGAAATACACAAAGACTAGGTCCCCCAGTAGTGCCCTTTTGCCCTTTCTTGGGGGAGGGTTCCCCTACTAAAATAGACTACAGAAGAAGTTGGTGCCCTTATCCTAACCTCTCTACTGGAGGACCTAGAAGAGGAACACGAAGCACCCGTTGCGGCTTCCAGAATCAGATTCGCAGTGTGCAAGCTGGCACCAGAGTTGGATATCTGATAGCAGATGTGTGTTTCCAATGACTGATCCCCTTTGGCTTGGTATAGAAAGGGAACCAACAGGATGTCGACCATTTTGAGGTACCGGAACTTATTGAATCCCACCCAGATACATCGTCAAGCTCATTTGCTGCATTTATCGAGGCGTGGTATTGCCTGATTTCGGCATCGGGGAGAGCATGCCGCCCAACTGTTTCCATCTGATCAAGACTTGGCACATCCATTGATCCCTTGCGCGCCCTAGCTCCAAACCCTTTAATCTTCGAATATGTCCCGGTGTTGACTGCCGGAGACATGGGTCCACAGAGACCCACCTTTCGTGTAAAGAATCATAATTTGCAATGCGACAGAGAAAGGCTCGGATGCTGCGAAGCAGCGCATGCTTGCGCGCGCCAAAGAGGGCAAAATCTGGGCTCCATCTTTCTAAGAATAGGGTACAGCGCGTCCAAAATGGCAATTTTCCTTTAGAGTTCTTTTGATCAATATCCCTAACAAGTTGCCCTCCACAAGAGACCGGCTTGCAGGTTTCCCGTTCAAAAACCACCCGTTTCCTCATGTCACGCTCGCTGAAAGTCGGCCATCCGGCGAGTTGGACTCCGCAGTCTTTGGCTCCGGTGCCACCAAAGTGCAGCAATCATGGCGCCGAAGGCCGCGGAGCTCCGCGAATTCGCGGGCGGTTCGGGCGGTTCGGTTTGGCCTTTTTGTGCCGAAACCAAAAATATGTTCAGTACCCAAAGCCTTGGTTTCATGGGAAAGTCACATGCTGTCTTTGCTGCTGTTCCTTGTTGCTTATGATTATTTTTTCTCAGAAGCTGCGTTTGGATTTCAACTAACAGGCCGTGTGCTCGAAGTTTTTGCGAGCTAGCTGTTGCAACATACATGAGTCCCCCTGATGACAAGACTCTGATTCAGCGCCTTTGAGACCACGCCCCGCGCTAGGGTGTGCAGGGGAGCTCCGAAATGATTTGTTTTCAAATCGAGTGGCATCCGTAGCCCATGCATTGAATTAATTACTTGTCCTTTGTGGGAGGTTTGCTCGACTGCGACGGTTTTCTGGAGTCTCCATGACTCGAAACAGGGGTCAACTTTTTGTTTTTCCACCTTTTTGGTTGGCTAGTGACCCCATTTGTTCGATTGTACCTGTCTCCCTGACCCCTGGAACCTTCAGGCCCCCCATTTTAGAGGGTTCGGCACTCGACTCCCGCGTGTCATCCCTGTGCCTCGCTTTCAATGGGCTCAGGGGACGCCAGAGACCACGCCAGAGACCACGCCCGGCAGCTCGCCCAGGTGCGAGAGAAGGGAATGAGACGTGGAACCGGTAGGCTTGGGTCCCCAGAAAGGACACCACTCGAAGAATTGTCCATTGGATGTGGTGGAATCCATGTTTCCCATTCTATAAAAAATTAGAGGATATATGAATCTATATAAGATCAGCTGGATAGGGAATGAGTTGGAATGAGTTGGAACAAATTCCATGGCAAGAAAAAAAAACCACCAGGTAGAACCAGTGGGAGAATGGAATAATATTCACTGGGAAATGGGACCCATGGAATGATAACAATGAACCACCAGTTGGGATTTCCAGTCGATATGGTAAGATTATGTTTCCCATTTTATGAAATGAGTGGATATCTTATTCCTCACTCTGTGGGGAATGAACCGCTTGGGGATTCCCGAAAAAAGGAAGCCACAAGTTGGATGGTTTTTCCCGGGGTCATTCCATTTCTCATTGCCTGCTGAGCACCAGCAAGAATATTTGGGGGTTGAGTATTCTTCCATTTTGGGCTCCCAGTGTTGACCGGTAACTGTTGCCATGTGGGAACTATCATTTTTTCCATGTAAAGGACCTTTTGATCAACCCCCCATTTACCTTGCTTCCGTTTGCTGAAATGAAGATGCTTTTTTGTTGTTAAGTATTTTTATCCTGCTGGTTTTAAAGGGACACTATTTCACTACTGGAAATATGTTCTCATTTTTATCAGGGAACAAAAAGCAAATGGAAGCATGTTTGCAATATTTACCCACATCTAAGCCTAGCCAACACCCATGAAGGCCCTTTGCTGGTTTATTTCTTTGAGTAGCACTGCGGGTGGACGAAATCCTGCACCACTTTGAAATGGTTGAAACCATTGTTTGTTGGGAAGAGCGGATGAGTGGGGGGAAATCAGTTCGGCATTCTTGGCGATGCTTGCTCCCAAAAGCAAGCATGGAATTTGAACGCCGGCTGAAGCCATGAACATGGTAGTGAGGGAAGATCATACATACAAGTTTGGACCTTGGGGCCAAGTCACTCTAAAGCGCCTTCTGGCAGATGATTCGAATGCATTGTGTTTTCCCTGGGATGACCTGTTGTTAAAGCGTGCTCGTAGCGTATGACTCAGGCAATGAACTCCAGGCTGGTTTAGGTGATTTGCATCTGGAGCGGACTGTCTCCGTGCCATCATGATTTCACGTCCTTGAGAGGGGATGGCCTTTCATAGAAGCCGTGGCTATAGCCCAGGAGCTTATGTGCACTTGGGTGTAGTCTTGAAAGGAACCCCCCAACCTTTTGTCAGGTCCCCCCCCGTTTTGCTTGGGCTGACATGAACTGACCAAACACGGTAGCACAGGATAAGACTGAAACATCACATTGCCTTCTGCCGGGGAAGACTCAGCATACATGAACCGGCGTTTCAGGCAACACAACGTAGCTTGTCGTTCGCCGAACCAGCCACCACGGGACACATGATATGTGCCGGTGATTGCTGCGCCAAACCAAACGCCATGCACACATGAGAAGCATCCACACTTCTTTGAACACCATGTTAGTTCTTTCTTGGCCACACCAAAGACTACGGCGCCTATTTTTGTTTGTTCGGGCCATGTTTTCAGGGGAAGATACTAGATTTCTTCGGAAGGCTTTTTGACCTAAGCTGGATACGTGACTGGTGGAGCGTTTGGGACCCATTGGGGGATCGCCAGGGGCGAATCACCGTTCGATGAGGCGCGGCATGTGATTGGAAGGAAGGTCTCTGTTTCAAGAACCAAGGAGGACGTATTGGAGTGCTGCCCTTTTTGGGGTTGCTTTGCAGTGAGGCTGAAAAGCGCATTCAATCAGGCACTCATTTTGGGGGCCCTCGATAATGACACATCTATATATGCGAAATTTGTGCGTTTTGTTGAGATGTGTGACTGAATACTTCAGGATTCCTAAAGCTTCTTGATGTAGCATGCAGTTTTGGAGGAAGCAGCACGCGGTTGATAGCGCGGGATTGGTTTCTTTGACAGGAGGAAGTCTGGTGCGATGCGCTTAAGGAACAGACCGTAGGCCACATTCACGGCTCTTGACTCCCTCCAACTGTACTGTGATTTGCGAAGAACACAGCTCACACCCAGCTGCCATTTGCATCGGAGCCTCGTTTTCCAGGAGAAGTGATCGGACCCCACCCAAAAGAAACCTTCCCAGGCTGCTCAAACAAAAATCCCCAGAACGGTCCGGCAAATGGAAACAAAGACTACCCCCAGGAAAACGATAAGGGTAAATGATCTTCCAGGAGCCGCTGTGCAGGTTCTATACGTTTTTAGGGTAAAACCTGCGGTGTGCGGCCCCTTAATTTTGAGCCACACCCATTCGATCCGAGCCTAGGGCCGCGGTTTCCGAAGCCCAGCGGGTGTGTGAACCGATCGCTGGCCATGGACCTCCGTTTTGGTTTTTCGTTTCTTTGGACCCAGAAGCCAAAAGAAGGAATGGGGGTCCAGATGCACAGTTTGGGGGGGGTTCTTGTAGTCAACGTCAGTCACAAACGTGCACCTGCTATCATGTTTTGACGGAAGGCCAACGACGGTGTTGTTTCGTGCCAGACTTTTTAAAAGGGCCCAAAAACACGCTCGCCTTTTTGTCAACCTCCAAGAACATAGACACCCGCACCCAAGACAACTGCACACACACGCATACACAGACATGTACTTACATGTACTCAGGGATATGTATATATATATATATATACACATATATATATATATATACTCACGTAGACAACACGCATTCCTTACCTGTTTGCTTGATCCTTCGCGTCAGGAGGTGACCACCTGTCATGTGGTGGTCAAGGGCACCTTCATCGAACTCTCGGATGGATCCAGCGGCTTGGTGTCAGGGCAGGTAAACTTCCATTTGGTTAAGAATATTTCTTGATTTTCCCTGTTGGTTTTAAAGGGAATCTACCACTACTGGAAATCTATTTTTTTTTCCAGGGGACTTGAGCAAATGGAGGTAAACAGAAGCCCGCTCGAAGCCGAGCGTCCCAATTGGCGCATGTGGAAGACTGGCGAAGCAAGGGAGTCGAGCAGACGCTCTGGATTCATGGGCTATGAGGATTGTTTAGTTCAATGCTGAGGTGGGAAGGAGTGAAGGAAGGTTCATCCGGCAGCGGGTAAAACCTGGAATTGTTTGCCATTACGTACAAATCCATCTCTTCATCGTTTTCGCTCCCTATGTTTCCATTGTAGAATTGACTAGGTGGGGAGGGAGGAGTGAACGATGTCTTGATTATTTTCTCATTGCCGCATTCATTTTCTATGTTATTTTGCCTCGCGAAGAGGAGGATCCGCTTCGACCGAAAGCGTCCAAAAGACATATCTGGAGATATCTAGTTGCCAGAGGGACGTGGAACAGGCAGGAAAAAGAACTGGTGGGAAACAATAATGCCTGGAAACAGAGCTGTGGTGCTTACATCTCCTTGCCATATCTTTTCCGGCGTCTTTGTTGCTTGCCAGTTATCTGATTTCCAAGATCGACGAGAAATGCATGTCGTATGCCCCATCTCTTACCCGGCCAAGGACGGGAAAAGCTCCAATTCCTGGATCTTCCCGGGACCAGCCAAGGGCAAGGGTTTGTGTTTCAGCGTTGATCTCCATCTAGGCCTAAGAGGGGTCGCTGGCGACTGTCAGCATGCTTGACCTGCAATTGTTTACTTGGATTGGAACCTTAAATGGGGATGGAGATGCCTCTCAAAATGGTTTCCTGGACCCTCACAATTCCCTTAAGTATGGGTTATTGCCCCATGACTGGGGTAAATTCGATATTTTATAGGTACTTTAAAGGTCCAGATAATTATTTTCTGGCGATTCCTTCAACTTTGATCTTCCAACTTGATGGTGTTTTGGTGAGGTTCCTTCAAACAAGACGGGAGTGGAGATTCCCGGAGACAGACATGGGGGCTGTGGTTTTCGTTTTTGGTTTCCCTTGCAAACCCACCAACAGATGGTTCCCCTTACAAAAACAGATCCACATGTTGCTTATCCCTAACCAACTCTAAACCAACATGGCCGTGGGTCAAAAATAGGTGCCCAAAATGGAACCCTTCAAAGTGGAAATATGGACTTAGACCTGCGGTTCCCTGGTGGTTTTATTTTGACCCACACCCACGTGAGCCCACTTTAAACCAACCCACTAGCCCCCCCTAAACATGACGACAAGCAAGCGATGAGCGTGAAGCCTGCGCGAGGTATGATGAGCCGATTCAAGAAGTTCCGCAAGAGCAAGACCGATGCTGGGAGTTGGTTTGCTGGGGGGTGGGTTTGTGCTTCTGGGTCCCCCAGTAGTACCCTTTCTCACCCATTTTTTTGGTTGGGAGGGTTCTGCTACGAAAATAGGCTACGGAAAACAGGGTACCCTTATTCGAACCTCTCTACTGGAGGACCTAGGCTTGTTGGGGGTGCGTTCCGGTTGTCAGCATGCGTTGGCAGGTTGGGCGGAATTTCTCCCGTGTCCACCGCATTTGCACGCCGGCCTTAAGCACAAAAGGCATCAGGAATCTGAAGCCTTCGTGGAATCTTCTGGAGCCCTGCAGCGCGAGGTTGACAACTTGAATATTCTCTCCTGCCATTGTTGCAAGGTGAATCTACCTGGAACCAGGATTTTAGGGCGATATAAATCCTCCCCTGCAAATTAACATGGAACCCAAATCGATGTTGGGGCCCATTTCCAACAAGGGGTCTCCAAAAGCATGGCTGGTGGGTTTCATGTTTTTCGCTGGTTCACGGTTTTCCGCCGGTTCATAGCAACCTGCACACAGATAAGGATAATAATAACAATGCCAAACACATAGAATGGCTCGACGCAAGTCCACTTTTGTTTTGACTTTCAGGGTCACTTTCAGGGTTAGTTTGAAGAACAATTCTTTCAGGGTGAGTTTTTCTAGTCGGGGACGCCGGAACGAGCTGGTTCTTCCTCGCCCGGCTTCGGGTCCAAGGACTCCGCTTTGCCGGATGGCGACGAGGTCCGCGAGGTGGAGCTCCAACTCCCAGCATTGCCACAGGCGCCCCGCGAGCGGACGTGACGGTTGTGTTCTTTTTGGAAAGCGCCCACCCCGGTCCGCGTTTCTCAGTTGTTGGCAGGATCTCCGAAGCCACTTGCCCTTTCCACTCCGGGGCAACTTCCCAGTGGAAAGATCCGAAAGCCCAAGCAAGTTAGAAGCCATTTCATAGAACCCCTGGGTGCCATCAACCCCGCGCATCTCCCGACAGATCTTCCCGTGGGAAGCGAGCAACAAAGTATGGAGTGGGATGGGGCTCGGTCAGCCACGGCGTGCAAACTCTCCGAAGGAAGGCCGAGCGAGGAGGGATTCGTGGATTTTAGGCCTATGTGACAGGTCCTGCTTACAATGTGTTTCTATATATATATATAGAATATATCACATTATACCTCAACATCAGTGATCCTGACTGTGAGTTTTATATGTTGCGACTTCAATGACTTGCAGGGATGTGATTCCACCCGGCCCTGGTTCACACCCCATGGCACTTGAGGCTCTAGACCTTGTGGCTTCCATGATCGATAGTTCCCAGGCACCGGTCTATTCAACTACACCAGCTGGAAATTGTCTAGGGACTTCTATTGGTTGGAGAACATTCGTTATTTTCCCTTGTTGGTTTTACATGGAATCTATCACTACTGGACATATTTTTTTATTTTTTTCCGGGGGGCGACAAAGCAAATGTAAGGGAAGCTAGCCAAAGACTTGGTGGGTATGATCTGCGAGCATTGGGCACGGTTTGATTGAACTACGGAGCTGATGCAGAGGTCCTGTGGTCGCCTGGCATCTTGTGTGAATGGTCTTTGTTTGTTTGCTGTTTGCAGAAATGGTGTATCAAAACAGCGGGTATTTGTGCAAAAAGAAGCCCAGTTGGTATCCCCAACTCCGCAAGCCTTGCGGAGCCCAAAAACAAGAGATGCACGCTCCTCACCTGGAGCTGGGTGAACAAGCAATGGGTGAATCCCATCAAGCGCCCATTTACTCAAATGAATATGATTTTTTACTGTCCCGTGTTGGTTTTACAGGCTCCGGGACAGGGAATCTATCACTACGTTTTGTTTTTTTTGGCAGGGGGCTCAAGCAAATGGCTGTCGGTCAAAGATAGGTGCCCAAAATGGCTTGCCCTGGTAAATGGAAACATGGACTAAAAACCTGCGGTCCAATTCCCGGTGGTTTAATTTTGACCCATACCCAAATGGAAGCAAGGCAGCGGGCATCATGTATCCTTTTTCCCCTCAGACAAAGCGGCCAGGTCCAGCCAGAGAAGGCAGAACCTCAGCCGCTGGCCCAGGTTCAGCTCAGACCTCTGATTTGTGCCCCACTTTTTTGTGTCGCAAGGGTTTGGGGTTTAGGTTTGTGTCGCTCAGACCTCTGGTCTCTGATCTCTCTCAAGGTTTAGGTTTGTTTTTCTCAACCGCAAGTGTTTGGGGGGGTGGCTCCTTCTCTTCCCCAGAATTCACGCGCGATCCGAGAGCCCGGAGTGGCCCAAGGCGCTTACCAGAACATCCGTGGCTGGAAATGTGTCCATGTGGCTATGAACTTTCAGAGTACCTCAAAAGTGGTCGATGGACTCATGAATGATGTAACTCTGAATCCACCTAAATGATGTCCAAAGGGCCAGCAAGATTCATCGGCAGATTCGTTGCACCCCAAGGCCCAGTTCCAACGTTGCAAAGCGCATCGGGCTTCCTTTCAAGATACTTACGACTCGGCAGATTCTCCTAAGTTACCCCCTACTCCAAACACCCACTTTTTCTAGGGTATCTTTTGAAAAGCCTGGGTTTTCATGGTAAATACCTCTTTTTTTAGAGGGTAGACATCATACCCTAAAAAAGGCGGATATTTGGAGTAGGGGGCAGACAAAGTCGGTTCCCCTGGCAGTCGGTCGCTTAGAACCCGACCGCCGGCTGTTTTTGATTCGGGGTTGACCTCTGTCGTGCCGAGGGCTTCGCCGGTAAAGCGGGCGACGCAGAAACGGGCACGGACCACGGTGATGCTGCGCAACATCCCCAACAACTACACCAGGCCAGACGTGTGGCTGGACCACGGTGTGTATGTGTTTGTTTGTGTTTGTGTCTTCGGGTGGGGGTGGTGGGGTGGGGTAGGGGTGGGGTGGGTTGGGGTCGGGTGGGGTGGGGTGGGGTAAGTCGAGGTGGGGTGGCGTTTGTTCTTTGTTTCTTTTCTTGTTGTTTCTTTGTTTCCCTTGTTTTTTCGTTCGATGAGATGGGCGGGGGGGGGTTCCAAAATTGGGGGGGGAATCCAACAATTGACAGGGCACTTCATCTTGCCAGGCCCGTAGAGTTATTGGATACGGTTCCTGCCCTCGCAAGACAGGCAAAATCTTCCCTGCTGAGCTAACTCCGTGAGTAACTTGTACTTTTCTGAAGACCACAAGTTTGGATTGGCCAGTCCACTCGCTCGGAAGTGAGTGAACCAGACATGTATGTGGGATTTGAGCTTCGTTCCTTGTGCCCGTTGTGGCTATTCCTGTGCCTCAAACCGGCAGGTGCTAAGGCATTTCACCATAGGTTGGTTTCCCAACTTTGCGATCGATTGCAAGGGTAATTGGCACGGTTTGCGCATTTTTCACGCGCCGCTGAAATGTGATATGCACAGTGCCCCGCAAAAGTTGTGGTCCGGGGGTTTGCTGACAGGATACCGGGATCAGTGGGTCCACTTTGGCATCACTAAACGGCTGATGTTCCACGATGGTGCAGGGAGCCCTCTTCCCCCACCTTTTGACGCCCACCTTTTGACGCCAAATGGAGAAGGTATCCGCTAACCTCCAGAAAAAAATCCTGAAGACTACAGGCAAGCACCTCAAAGTTGCTGGTGCGATAGATAGGGAGTGTGGGAATGAACGGCTTTGGTCCCCCTACAGCCTTAAAGGAAACCACGAGGGATGGTGTATAGGGGTCATTCCAACTCATTCCCTGCCTATCGCACCAGCGAGCAAATCATCAACCATAACTTGGAGGCTCACAGCCATCCCCTTAGCTTCTTGGCCTTTTAGTGTTCAGTGCTAGTTCCCATTTGACCAACTAAAAGTTAAACTTTTAGCGGGGATCTGAGAGCAGCCCAGATAAATCCGCTGATCCAGGCAAATGTTTTTGGAGCTTCTGGACGACCAGGGCTTTTGGGGCAGCAACTTGGCACGTGCATCATGAGCAGGGCTCACTGCGGGTGAACGGGTGGTTAACCGTGCTACTGAGCCTTTGTGTGGGTCCGTGTTTTTTTTTTTGAGGTTACCCTCTTGATTGGTTTAAAGGGAGATCAAAAGGAAAACTGATGATCTTGGGGGTGTCCCAACAAAAAGGCGCAGCCGTGTACTTCATTCAAATCCAATTCTGACTTAGAGCTTCAGCACAGAGGGAAGTCGCTAGTCACGAAGCTCTGAACCCAACTGCCTGCACTGGCCTTTCAGTGACTTTGTTTGCTATGGCTTTGGCATTCTGCCAATTTTGATTCAAGCTCACCGGGTACAACGAGCTCACCATAGAGGTCCTTTACTTGCGGATCCCGTACAATTCGATCAGCTTTTGGAAGTATAGTAACATTTGCAGAGAATCGTTATGATCGGCGGGCAACTAGATCGTATTTTTTGTTGTGCAAGGTTGATCTGCACAAGGCCACCAGCGTATCCAGTGGTTTGTCACCAGCTGCCCGAAGCCCTGTTTACATGCGTAGCTCAGTTTGATTGACGCTGGTTTCAATTGGTTTCACCCGGCCGGCCTGTTTACGGATTGAGTAACATCAACTGGCACAAGGTGAAAGAGGTTGGAATCGGCACGCCATCTCAAAAGCCTGGGGCAACCACAAATCGTGGGAGCGTCTGAATCAAATTGCCTCACGGATTTTCGTGTTCAACAGGTGTCTACCCTTAGAAGCTTGGCTTCTGAATAGCGAGCTAACCAATGGAACCACCCGTAAGAAGCGAGGATGGCTGGCTTCCTACTATCTAGGAAACTGGGATGCACAAGGTAATGCAAAACGTGCTGCTCCGTGAACAAAGATGGGCGTGTGTCATAGGGAGTTGGACCCAAAAATTGATGCATCCAGAACAGGGTGCTAACTATTGGAAAAAAGAACGACACCCACCCACACACACACACACACCGCTTGGTGACCGACTCAAATTGATCTCTCGCCAGATATTTCTTTCAGTTGCCGCGCCGGCCCGGTGCTAGGCTACGACTTCGTGTATTTGCCCTGCGACTTTCAGCGGGACTCCAACCTGGGCTACGCCTTTGTGAACCTGCAGGTCGTGGCTCGAAATAGGGCCTCACTGGGTTCTAGGCCTTTGTTTTTTTCCGAAACCCCACTGGGCAACTGGGTATCCATTTGCTTGATGCCAATTAATGATTGATTATATCCACATAGCACGTGATATATGCTAGGGAAATGCATGTTGTCCAACCCCTAAACCTCTTGTTTAGCCCAAACAACGGCGTGCCCCTTTTTTTTTGGGGGGGGGGAGTTGTTTTTTGTTTATAATAATTTAAACATGGATACACTTTTTTCGCCTGAGTCAAAGGGCATCTGAGGATACGCCGTGAAGGATGTGCTGTTTATAACTTGGTCGGTTTGCCTCGGTTCCAATGAGTCGAGGATTCGGTGGACCGCTTCTGGGACATCTTCGATGGCTTCTCCCGGTGGTCCTTGCCCTCAGCAAAGGCGGGGCTCTCTGGCCCGGTGCTTCCGGAGCCATGTGAAGGATTTCTTCCGTGTGCTTAAGCATAAGTCTTATTTCTTGCAGGGTTCTAAAGGCAATCTATCACTGGAAATATTTGTTCTTTTCGAGTGGACTCAAGCAAATGTAAGACGCATCATGGCTCCCCTTACTCGCTATCGCTGAGCAGGGCTTCCCCTTAGCCTCGGGAATGAATCTGTGGATTTCGAACGGATTTCCGGGCGCAAATTTGGCCGCGCTTGTTTTCGGTGGCGCTTTTCCCCGCCGCCTCAGGTCCACTGACTTGGAACAAGACGGGCTTTAGGGAACATGGATTCCAAGACCTCAGTCAGGTCTGGCAACGTGGATTGGAGGTACCCTTAAGAGCTTGGATTTCCGAAGTGGTCCCTTTGCCTAAGCCCTTCCCTCCCCAAAACGGTACATGAAATGGTATACCCACCTTTGTCAACCCCAAAAATCAAATCCGAAAAAGCTCGGCGCGGCGCTCGGCTCTCTCTTTTTTCTCAGGTGTGCGAGGTCACCTGGTCTGGACCACACCAGGGGCTGAACGCTCACGTCGAGCGCTACCGAAACAGCCCTGTGATGCACAGGAGCGGCTGGCGATCGGTTTCGGTGCGACCGGAGTGGCTCCATCGTTTTTCACGCCCCCCAAATGGCGCAGCGGTGGCTGTTCCTTTCGGCTTCCCTGAAAAACGAGAAAAGGGGTAGCATCCTCAAAAAAAGGCCAACATGTCGATTTTTAAATGGTACGTGTTTCGTGATTAAAATCCTCAATTGACAACGGCGTTCAGCATGGCTCTTGGGAAGGTCCACTGGAACCGTTCAGTTTGTTTGACAGCTTGTTTGTGGCATTCGGGGTGAGTTTCAGGTGGTTAGGATATGAGGGCTCCCTCAGTTTTGCGCCACGGATACCAACAAAAGCAACAAGCGTCATGTTGGCTCAGAACAACGCGACCGCAAGCCTTTGACTTTCAACTTGTCCACTTCAGGGTGTGGGTCTCCAAAACCCCGCTTCATCCTGTTTGTTTGAAGTACCCTTTGGTTGCTTCAAAGTGAAAGGAACGCCAAAAAGGACCTCCAGTACTTCCCGCCATGTGTCCAAATCCTACCAACAAAAACGCCTTGCTGCCAGCCTGACAGGAGCGTTCCGCAGAAGTACAAGCCGATGGTCTTCGCCCAAGGGGACCCCGTCCCTTTCCCGCCTCCTACCAGGCGCTTGAAGGCTCCAACGACTCGCTGAGGCCGGCCGCGATCCGCTGCAAAAGACTCGTTTGGAAAGCCAACCAGTTTTCGGAAAACCAACCAGTTTTTTTTGTTTATTTTTAGTTTTTTTTCTTCTTCTTTTTTTCGGAAAACCCTGGGCTCCTCGTGATTCTCCCTACTTGCAAAAGCTGGCAGCTTCTTAGTGCAGGTCGGTGTCCGTGTCATTCTTCCTACCCAGACCTAGTTCCCGGGGCCTGGAGCATGCAGCATCGGGTCGCAGATTTGGCTTCCTTACGGAAATGGGATGGCCCCAAATTCGAGAACTCTGGTAACTCATGGTCAGTTCACTTGAGCCATAGCTGAAGGTTAAATCATCGCTGCGGATCTCCGCCTTGAGGGAAAACTATCGTAACTCGTCGAATTCGCCTGGAATTGGCACTACGGGGGGGGAAGGGGTTGGGGGGGTTGAAGCGTGGTTGGGGTTGCTGGCCAGTGGGGTGGGCGAAGCTGACTTTTCTCAGATATCTTTCTCAGACTTGACATGCTGCGGCAAAGGAAGCTCAACGGAGGCACCGCACTTTTCCAGCAAAGGCTCCGGATGTTGCCTCTGCGAATTCCCCTGGCAGATGCCAGCATTGGGACCCCCACAGAAAGCTTCTGAAAACGTTTCGATCAGAACACCTAGGTTCCAAGAACCCTTCATTCCCAGACCGATGTAGGAAGTATGTACCCAGATCCCTTCACATGTGCCGAATGTTGGTCTACAGTACCTAGTGTGAGTGGGACCTGGAGTTCCCCCCGGCCAGCGGCGAAAACCCCCACGTTTCCAGCTCGATTTCCAGGCGCTCTCTCCCGGAAGGCAGAAGCTGCCAAGCGACAAGTGTCTTGGTTGCAGCCCGGATCACTCATAAAAACCATGCCCCGATGAAGTACAGTGTGGTGTGTTTAGGTCGTGTTGTTTTGCGTTGCAGGCTTCAAAGGTAAAACATGTTGCGGGGAGCTGACATTCAGGCAGAGACCAAGGAGTGACTTAGGCACTTTCATGGTTGTTGTTGGGAAACATGTTACTTTTTGCTTATTGTGGTTTAGTGGTTGAAATCCAAATCCGCTTAACTGCTAAAACCCAAATAAGTCGTTGCTCCCCAAACGTCAACCCACCGACTTGTCGTTCTGTCTGATTTGTCGCCGGGATGTGTGACTTTGATCCAATTCCTGGGGCTTCTGAGAGTCGGATCGGATGGAGTTGAGGGATGGGAATCTTCAGCCTCTGAACAAAACGTGCCTGACATTCTACGCATTTGCCCGGCCTTGAGATAAAAACCTATCGCGCCTCTTTCTTTGGATGCGCCCATTTGGCGGGTTGACTTCAAACCAAAGGGAAACCAATTGTTGGGGGTCCATTCCGAGTCAGATCCAGATCTAGATTTGGTCTTGGCAGGCATTGCCTGACCAGCACCAACCCAACCATCAGCATCTTGTATTAATTGTTTGAGGGAACCCTGACATTTTTTTTAGTGGGGCAACGTTGGGCATGTTTTGACCGTCATCTACCGCGTGTTGAGTTCTTCATGGTGCCTCTTGATAAAGAGGAACAGAAGCCTTTGAGGTCTGGCACCCTCCGCCAGTTTTTGTGCATGAAGTGTACAGTTTGTAGCCATGGGTGGCCATGGGTCACCACCTATGGCTCCATTTTGGGGCGGATGAACACTCATGTACCACCTATTTTGATGTTCACCAGGGGTACAGGGTTTTGACCCACAGCCCTGTGTCCTGAAAACTGGTACTCCATGTTGTCAACCCTTCCTGCATCTCGCGAGTCTTGCTATGTGCTTGTTTGCATGTTCCTTCAGGGCTCGGCAAGGACTTCTCTCGTGAACCAGACCAACTGCGGAATGAGTGTCAAGCTCTTGTTTCGGCGCCGCGCGAGGCGAGGTCAATCCTTGAACAGAGGCCTCTCGCTTCCTTTTTCAGCAGCTTGGATGAAGAAATCCGCCCGAGTTCATGGGGTGGGGTAAACGCTTGGCGCTGCCCCTATCCCTCGCCGGAAGATCGGCCGGGAGTTTTGGTTAGCTTTGCCTTGAAGTGCATTTTGTTTTTCTCGAGTCGGCGCACTGCGCGAGCTGGTTTCCAAGATGGTGGGTGCCTTATGGCTGGCAGGCAGGCAGCAGATGAAGGGGCTTGAGGCTGAGATGTCGTCCAAGTTGCCTTCAACCGGGCCATTTGGAATGAAACAGCTTTAGATTGTCACACTCACTTGATCTTGCGCGATGTCCCAAGGTTAGTTGGCCATTTCAGCAACATTCCTGTAAAGAATGGGAGAGACGTGGAGTTTTTAAATGTGCTGACTATAATATATATATATATATATATATATTGCCAGGGCAGTTTGTTTCTTGATTCCCCGTTGGTGTTGCTATCAGTTTTGTCCCTTATTGGTTTCTGGCGGGAATTAGTATTGTCGGCCAGAGTCCCTTAGACGGTAGCAGACATGGCGATGTTTGGTCCAGAAAGTGGCACAAAAGGGACCCGTACCCCGCAGGGGACGCCACTGAAAGAAATCGCTGTTGAAGCGAAAGAGCAACGGTCCTGGCTTGTCCAATCACAGTGGGAGAGAAGCGCCAGCTCTTGTCACTTTGTAACTTTACAAACTGGAGTCGACCTTGCCACGCTGAGGACTGGCCGCCCCCTGACTTTTGAGAGCCTTTGTGGCACAGCCCCATCATGACATCCACGCGTGAGTTCTTCGGCATCAGACGCTCGGAATCCGAGCCGCCCATTGGTTTGGCAGTTTGGCGTGTTGGAAGCGGGGTTCTCGAGTTGCAAGACTCTGGTTTACATGCGCATGGCAACGCCCAATGACTGCAAAAAGTGACATTGCGCAACCCATGTATCTTGAGTCTGGTCATGTGTGCAGGGAGCCAGTTGGGCCCTCAGAGCACATCACAGCGCCGCCGAACCCACAGCGTGTCGTGGCGCGAAGTCGTGCGAAATTTGATGTCATGGGGGCGTGCTGGTTGGCTGACCTTTTGTGCAATATGGGTGCGTCCAAAACCTGGGCCCGCTGCGGTTTCCCGTGAAAATTCGGGGGACCCTCGAAACGCGCGGCTCACGTTTCTGATTCAATTTTGGAGACACCCGCACTGGTCCGCCAATGCACACAAAGCGTCCACACAAGGTTTCTTGTCGGAGGGCACTGGCCTTTGCCCGAGCCAGTCCGGAGCTACCGTCGGACCGCTCCGAAATTTCGTTTCGCCACAGCTGGTTCTGGTTCTCGAGGTTTGGAGTTGGAATGACTCACTCGAAATTCTCTGAGAACCATCGAGTTGACAGGCCAGGTGTTTTGTACAGCTGGAAAACACCGTTTTTCTACCGCTTTCCCGCTGCCAGAGATGAGCGTTGGGTTCAGCTGGCGCTGAGTGGGAATTTTGTGCAGTGCTCCAACAAGTGAGCGTTGGCCAATCCATCGCGAGATAAATTAGAAATAAGAAGAACTGCTCAGTTATTCAGTGGCACCCTTTTTCCTTTTTTGTTGGTGGCTGCCCCGGTAAAAATGTTTCTTTGTTTCCAGTGTCACTGAACAACTGAGACTGGCGTCTCATTTGCTTTTGATGCGTCACTTGAGCCATCGCGCCATGGACACATACTTTGTTATGAGTCCAGAAGGAAGAACACCAAATGACAGTCTAAACGCAACGGCCCGCTCACGCAGTTGATCACCTGGCGGTAGCTTAATCAAGCATGGCCAGGTGTCAAACATCGGATTGTAGAGTAGTAGGGTTCGCTGAAAGAAGCTTGCACAACCTGCCCATTTAGCTGTTTTCCCTTTTACTTTTGGAGGGATCAGCGCTATTTATGACTTTCACCCTGCCCCCCACCTCGCCGCAGCCCTTAATTTGGCTTTGCAAAGGAGGGGGCGGGCAGTTGGAGACTTGGCGTGCAAGAAACGCCGAACCAGGAGGACCAGGAGAAGCCGAGTGTGTGTTTTTTTTTTTGGCGGGGGGGGGGGGGTGGCAGGCCGTGTTCAGAGGCCGAAACATCAGGTTACCCCAAATTGGTGGTTTGGATTGGTGGTTTGGGGATTTGAACTAGTTGTTCTTGTAGAAGGTAAATGGGAAACTGGATGACCGCTAAACCCCCGATTCAACTCCAAACCAATTCGCGGGAAGCTGATTAAACAATTGCCCGGTCTGAATAGTCACCCAAGAGCCGAGAGGTTTTCACTGGAATGAACCTTTTGGAGATTCCCTGAAAGGTAATCATAGGGGATGGTTTATAGGTGTCATTCCAACTCATTCCCTGTTTGGCCGTTCCAATGGCTGATGGCTCGCCCGTCCAAAGGGCTGGTTTTCGGTCCGATGCGAGTCGGTGCGGTGGTACCCACTCAGGCGGTTTTCAACCAGAGATCGAGCTCAGCTGGGTTTGCTTGATCAAATCTCATCAAATGTAAGTAGAGGGCCAGATTGGGAGGGTCTAGATTGGGATGGTTTTTAAGACAACCCCAGAAATATATTTTGTGTATGTTTAAAGTGTTTTTTGGCAAGGTAATTCATATATTTGCAGATTTACTTAAATCATGGTATTTCCTGCAAAGGTATGGTTTGAGCACAGTGTAGTTTCTTGATCTATGCTGGCACTGACGGGCACAATGTGAGTGAGAGGCTGATTGATTGATTTGATTTGATTGATTGATTGATTGACTGACTGACTGACTGACTGACTGACTGACTGACTGACTGACTGACTGACTGGTTGATTGATTGATTGATGGATGGATGGATGGATGGATTGATTGATTGATTGATTGATTGATGGATTGAGTGGGCAGCTCATGACACATTGTGATTCTGAAGGCTGTGGAAGGTCATGTCAAGTGCATCAGAAAGCATGGTAGTTTGGAAACAATCAATTTGGCATGTCTCACAACAACACTTTAAAGGCAGGTTAAAGGCAGGGGCAATTTGGTTGGCCCCGAAAATATATCTCAAAAAATCTAACAAATCTCAACAACTGCATTGTTTGGCATTTTTGTCTTTTTATCTCAAAATATATCTTTTTATCTCAACACATCTCGGGACGAATATAGTGCAATAGTACTTTAAAGGCAGTGTCAATTTTGGGAACCCCAAACATATTTCTCAAAAAGTCTCAACAAGTCTCCAAAAATCTCGAACGTTCTGATTTGCTCAAGTAAAACAAGTGTCACGTATCTCCTGGATTTGTGGTCAGGAAGCAGCAACACTACAGAACAGTAGGTCCGATTCGCGCAGTCAAACCAATTTGTTAAGTCAAGCTGGGGTCAGCTGATGTTCAAACGTTTGGACAATCTGAAGCAACACAAGAGGCGGAGACGAATAGCTATACATATATATATATATATATTGAGTGGCTCTCGAATCGTACTGGAAAGTGAGCTGGAACCGATAGCTAGCAAAATGACAAGCAGTCAGCGGAATAGTGTTAGGCCAACCTGGAGTACAACACCAATGGGCGGAATATAGCTATAAAAAGATGATGATCCAAGTAAAAGGCGCTAGACACTTACTGCATGAACATACTGATTGACTTGAGAAATTGTTTTTATCCCTTTTTTCTTAGGTAAATGACAATATATTTGCATACATATGTTGTCAATGAGCAAATTCGTGTTTGGAAACCCTCCTGAACTAAACTCTGCTGATCTGAGCCTGAAATTCTGGTCAATGAAAATCAGCTGAGTTGGTAATGAGGGAGTCCTTGACATTCGATTTGGAGAATCCATGTGTCCAGGTGAACTGGCCATATTTTCCACCTGACTTGATGGCACGGGGGACGTCCCCAATGTGTTTTTGAACAATGCCCCGCGGCTCGCCGTTCACTTTACGGGTTGCTTCGGGTTGGCTTTTCATGGCTTGTGCCAAACCCCGAGGGGGCACAGAGAAACACATTTCTTGACCCCAGGGGAGCAAGTGCTCACGTTGCGCGTCGATGAAATCCACAGGAGAAAGACGAGATTTGCCCCTGGGTGATTAAAGGGAAACAAAGGGACTCGCAACGGCAGCTCTGCAGAGGGAACTTTTGCCCTGGGCTTCCCAACGCCCCCAGAATGGCAACTGGGACCCAATTTGGACGACACCCCTGAAGGGTAAAAGTATATAATGGTGGTTACATTAACATACGTTAACCCAACTCATTGTTTAATTTGCTGGTGTCCCTGAATCGGGCTGAGTCATGCAATTGTTGCCATCTTAGCACCCTATGTGTTGGTCACTGAACCCCAGTTCGCTTTTTTGCGACATGTTTTACCCGATCCTCGGGTATTTGCGCAGGACATGTTCTCCAGTGCTGTGGCGCGAGATCGATCTTCGGAGGAGCGAAGCGGAGACGGAGTTTTGCGGGATGGGGGGAGTGAAACGCGGGGTCCATCTCGCACGTGGGTGTTGCTTTGTGCAGGGGAGCCACCCAAAATAGGCAAAAAATGGTTGGTGTCTTTTTGGTTTGGTGTCGTTTTGGTTTGCCAAAGCAAAAAAAGGCACCCCCCACCTGCATGTGGCTTGGGTGAGACTTTTGGAGGGTACCCCTGTTTTAGGTTTGTTCGGAAATTGAGAGGGAAACCCACCAGCTTTGGCGCCGAAGTCCCTTTCAAGTCCTGCCCACTTGCGGACCATAGGCCAAGGATTGGGTGTCCACTTTCGGACCAAAAGGATCTCCTGAAACTAGGGGTTGATTGTCCATTGTTTTCAGCCATCGTCCTTTTCAAACACCAGCCATTTCCCCAGGGTTTTGGGTGATTTTCTAGAAAGATTCGGATCCCTGGAAAGAATGGAAATGGAAGTTACCCCTATCGTGTCCATGAAAAGCTGGTCAAAAAGACCAGCCCTGGCTGGTGCCGAAGAAGAGCAGAGCAAGAGGATTTTGTTGTACGGAGCAGGAGTCAAAAAAAGATGGTAGAGCTGTTGATCATAGGTGTCCCTTTTGGTTTGATTTGGTCGAAAGATAGAGGGCACTGGTGTACATGGTGGTTCAATCAACTACCAGGGCCATCGATTTTCCCAAAAAGGACGCCTATGCTGTTGATGCATTTCGACAAAGCCTCCTGAAGCCAGAAGCTGAGGCAATATCACACGCACCGGACACACAAAACTGTGATTTGCTGAACACATGTGCCGCGTGAGCAGTGTGACAAATGAGACCAAATTGACGTATTCAATTGTTGCTTGCTACATGGCACCCGCAAGTCATTCAGGAACACACGCATGCTGTTGCAGAAACGCGCTGCAGGGTAGTTGGTGAAAAGCACCCCCCCCCCCCCCCACAGGCTGCACCCCATTTTTCATCAACTAGAGTTTTCCGGTACAATGATCGCGGCAAACGCGGAAAGCAGTCAGAAAGCCACCATTTGCAAGGCAAATGAATTTGGCAGCTCAATCCTTGGCGCGATGTTTTCACCGGAAGTCATAAGCATCACATGTCTCGGAGCTGGGCTTTCTTCAAAGTGTTCATATTTTTCATCGGAAAAGCCACCGTGCATCAGTTTGTTTGTGCTTTTTTTTCCTCTTTTTTTTTCTCCGGAGGGCGCATTGACCAAAAGGAGTGTGCAGGTAGTACACAACTTTCCCATTGTTGAATGAATCGTTCGTATAATCGGTGGTTGCCTCCAAAGAGTGATCCAGATCCCATCTACACATGGCATGCACCCCTATCCACCACGGATTCTGCATTACCAACTGGGTTTCCAGCCCTGGGGCTGACAGAGTCCTAAAGCAAATCACGCGAATCAGCGCCTCACTTGCCCAGCACATTGTCGGCAAATTCATTCCGCTTAGCTGGTGAGTCCTCAAGAGTAGGGGCCAATTTATGCTCAAGAGTCTCTTTGACCCCATTCATGATTGATAGTGTTTGAGGGGGTTTCCCAGTGCAAGTTACAAGGTGAAAGACCAGCTCACCCATGAGGGTGCTTTACTAGGGGACTCCTTTCTTCCAGTTCGCAAGTTCAATCCACCTGTGTGAACAAAAGATGCATTGGAAACCCCCCCCCACGTGGGCAAGGGAAACCGATGAAAGCGGGGGAATTGCGCGTCTGGGTGTGTGAGTTTGTTTGAAGATTTCTGCGCGGAAAGTCACAATTTTAAGGTCCAGTTTGGGCACGTGTCGAGGTTGATGTGATTTACCCGTGGCGTCTTTGGCGTTTTTTGGAGTGGCAGATGACTTCGGGAAACTCTCAGTTGGCGAACTAGTTCTTGTAGAGTGTGAATGGAGAACCACTGGAAGCACCAGGTAACCTACCCACCAACCAAGCCACCAATCATGCGGGAAGCTGAATTTCGCGACAGGAGATGCACTTCCCCGAGCGAGAGAGCTCCCCGGAGGACCCGAGACCCTTGCGACTCGCTGTGCGGATGTTCCAAAAGGGTCTTTGGATGTCGGCCTGTGGCTCTCGGTAGGGGTGATTCTGACTCCCACTGTTTTGTGCCACAAACCAAGTGGGCTGTTGCTTTTCTTAAAGTGTCTGTTTGTTTAAGGCAACTTCTGGCATAACTGGTTTGCCTTTTTGCTTTTCTCGTCTTCAGCACTCCCAATCGGGAAATTCTCAGTCAACCAAAGGAGCCGCCATACAGTTGCCGAGCGAAAACGGGGTCGCCCAGGACCTCCGGCAGCAGCTCGTGGTGCAAAACACCTTCCTGGACCTCTCAGGCGGCGTGAGCCTGGCCCTCAGATCTACGGGTGGCGTCGCCCAAGTTTTCCCTGAAAGCCGGGCTTTGGTGCCCTGGAAGGGTTTCCCCGAGCTTGAAGTGGCTTTTCCGTTCAAAACTTGCTCATAGGACAAACCTAGACCTTTGGTTCAGAGGGGAATTGCAAGCCAGAATGATGGCAGAAGCAAAACCATGGGTGACTCGAAGCAGAAAGAATTCATTGCTGATTCGTCACGGGATTGGGTTCAACGTAAGCAGGGGAAAACACGTTGGTGCGTACACCTTCCTCGCATAGGGAAGTCAAGAGGAAACCACCACTGCGGGGGTATCAACAAAAAGACACTCATAGAGAAGCGCGTATCCCTCCACCTCCGCCTAGTGCATGGTGTTGGCCGATCCGTTGGACTTGCAGCAAGACACAAGCTACCAACACTACTGGACAAGGCATGATGTTGCTGGTTGGTTGGTTGGTTGGTTGGTTGGTTGCTTGGTTGCTTGCTTGCTTGCTTGCTTGCTTGCTTGGTTGGTTGGTTGGTTGGTTGCTTGCTTGCTTGCTTGGTTGGTTGGTTGGTTGCTTGCTTGCTTGCTTGCTTGCTTGCTTGCTTGGTTGGTTGGTTGGTTGGTTGGTTGGTTGGTTGCTTGCTTGCTTGGTTGGTTGGTTGGTTGCTTGCTTGCTTGCTTGCTTGCTTGCTTGGTTGGTTGGTTGGTTGCTTGCTTGCTTGCTTGCTTGCTTGCTTGCTTGGTTGGTTGGTTGGTTGGTTGGTTGTTTAGATCTGTTCAAGGGTTCTGGGACGCGTGCCAACGTGAAGATCCATCAGGTGCCATGGAACGGTTCACCCAGCTGCGGCGGGTGAGGTCTGCCGGGAAGCCTGATGAGTCTCTGAGAGGTGGAGGGCTGGAACAATCCGGGGAGAAGGCTACCAACGAAGACTTCTCTTCAACAAGGAAACCTGGGATTGTTCCAATTTGAAAATAGTATGGAGGGGTATTTTTTAAAGAGTGTGTTTCTTCTTTTGGCTTCTTGGTTTCTTGGCTTTTGCTTGTCTTTTCGGCTTCTTGGCTTCTTGGCTTTTCGGCTTCTTGGCTTTTTGGCTTCTCGGCTTCTTGGCTTTTTAGCTTCTCGGCTTCTTGGCTTTTCGCATCCGTTGCATTCCCAGTTGGTTTTTGACATTGGCTTCCCGCATCCTCAGCATCACCAGTTCCTCTCCGGCAAGTGTTCTTTATATTTATGTTTATGTATGTCTGCATGTATGTATGTCTGTATGTATGCACTTCTTCGAACATCATAGCGAAGCAAGCCCCCCCACCCACCCCCCCACCCCCCAATATCGCATCCTTTCTTGAACCTTTGCACCCCTAATTGAATCATCACTTTTAGAACATCATTGCCGGGGGATGCCGCCCCCCCAAAACCCCCCGCTACTTTTTAGAGTTTGTACAAAGATGTAATTGCACCCCTATTTGAATCATCACTTTTTCGATCATCATTGAGCCGCCGCCCCCCCCCCCCCAAACCCCCCGCTACTTTTTAGAACAAAGATGTAATTGCACCCCTATTTGAATCATCACTTCTTCGTACATCATGGGGGGGGCTGCCGCCCCGCCCCAACCGCCCCGCTACTTTTTAGAGTTTGTACAGAGATACAATTGCACCCCTATTTGAATCATCACTTCTTCGAACATCATGGGGGGGCGCTGCCGCCCCCCCCCTCCGCTACTGTCTACAAAGATTTAATTGCACGCCTGGTTGAATCATCACTTCTTCGAACATCATGGGGGGGGGGCTGCCGCCCTTTCTTTTCTGCAGAGATTTTATTGCACGCCTATTTGAATCATCACTTCTTCAAACATCATGGGGGGGAGGGGGGCTGCCGCCCCCCAACCCCCCCGCTACTTTTTACTGTTTTTTCTTTTTTTTACAGGGGTTGAAATGACCTCCTATTTGAATCATTATTTGTTCGACCCGTCAACCCGCCAACTACGTTTTGTTTTTTTTCACCCACGATTTGTTGGTGATGCTGGGGATGTTGGTTGGACAGGCAGGGGATGATGTAAAATACATTAATTTCGCAAGACAATGCTGTAAAATACGACATTTTACTGGCCAAGACGAAAAACGAAAAACACCACAAAAAATAAGCTCAGGTGATATCCCCCGCAGAACCTCGTGGAACCCCGGTGAAACCCTCGTGGAACCTTACATACATGATGGTTGTTTGGTGCACGTCGTGAAGCGGGGTCAATGGCAACCAACCCAAGCGTTTTGGCACCAGAAAGAAAGCGCCACCTTCTCGGCCAGTTTACATGGGCTGCCTTTAGAAAGTGTATGTTGAAAGGGGACATATATGGGTGTTCTCTCAAAATAGGGGACCCCTTTTTTGGATGGTCTTAAACGGAGACCAAAAGGACACCACCTTACCTGGAGGCTTCATGTAGGACCCTTGTCCCACTCCAGCCCACAAGGGGCGATGACCGAGCCAAGGACCCCACGCTGGCTGTTGAAAGCGAAGGCGATGGCGAGACTGAGGACGCGTGGAGGCTGTAGAAAGCATGAATCGCCCAGTAACTCGGGGTCTCTGTTTTGAGAAGAACTTCACATAGCCACTATACTAGGGCACATGTGGTCAAAATGTTCAGTACTCGATCTGAGAGGGACATGGGGTACTCACTAAGTTTCCGTCACAAACCAGGGGGACGTACGACAAGGACTGCAAACTTACTTTCATGGTTCTTCCGTGGTCCTATTTGTGAAAATCCAACCCCCCCGCATCTTATTCATTGAGCCGCCAATCTTTTACCCCCCATTTTTCCATGTCCCTGTTGACTATACGGCAGAAGAAAGGGTATCATCTCGCAGGAGGCTCCAGCTTCGGAAGTGCCTGAGATCGTCGAGAGGCGGCTGGCGAGCTCACCGATTCGCGGGCGAAGCGCGCTATGGTCGAGGTCCTTCACTTGTGAACCCCTGATTTCAGGTTTCGGACGTAACATTTTGCAGAATCATGCCCCGTTTGGTCAGTTTGGCTGAACATGTATTGAACACTGGTTTCAGGTCTTGTGGTCGTCATTTACAGTGAAATATGTATTTGTGCTAATAGGACACCTACGTAGGCATGCAGGTGCTATGTGTGCAATTGTCAGGACACCTGGCTTCTTGGTGTTTGCAACATGATGCCTTTCAAAAAATCATTCGCAGACTGGCCTGTGCAATCTCGATACATGTGGTTACCTGGTTGGTGAAAACAAATCCGATGTACTCATATGATCAATCTGAGAGGAGCAAGGGAACCTCAAAGAGACCGGACCGAGCCATCCCTTGAGGCTAGCAAGCCTGGCAAGCGAAGAGCAGGAGGCGCATGTACCAGAATCCTGGCGGGAAGCTCAAAGGCAACTGCCTTGAGTTTTACTTGGTTCGATCTTTGCCCTGTGTGTACATTATATTATATATACATAGATGTATTTATCTACACATGTGATTGCGAAACGGTTTGTGCGTCAAGCTGTTGCGAAACGGAGCCAATCGCCGGCAACTGGAGGCTTCCTTCATGGCCACTTGAGCTAAGGGGTCGACCTGGGTTGGTGTAAACGTCTGCAGGGCTCAAGGGGCTTCTGCACTTCTCGGCCCTTCTCGCGCCAACTTTCCCATCGAATCCGCAAAAAGGGCGCCGGAGGATCACGATAGACAGGAAAAAGTATCCCCAACAGCCCTACTGTCCGAAACCCTCTAGACCTTTTAGCTGCTCCGAACTCTGCGCACCGTTTTTATCCACCGCGAGTCGGATGTTGGGTCTTGTGACCGTGAATTTTGATTCGGTCGCTTCGCGCTGCGAGTTATAATTGGGAAGGGATTCGACGGGCTCCCCGACCGGCTGACAAAGCAACCTCAGCGCTGAATGTTTCCGGATGTCCTTTTCAGGGAAACCACCGATATTTACAAAAGCAAGGAGAGACAGGCACGGCAAACAGGTCAGCAAAGCTCCTCTCCCCGGGCATGACTCGTCAAAGGACCGTGTCCTCGAAATTGCCACGGTAAGGAGTTCAACGGAGACATGCGAACTTTGACGGGGTTGCTTTCATGCGCTCCTCTCAGATTCAGCCAATGGTGTTCCCGAGATGTCGAGGCATCCAGGTGGGAGGGGTGAGTTCTCGAAAACCCGCCCTCCAAGGAGCCGCGAGGGCGGACCACTGTGTGCCTGCGAAATGTCCCGAACAACTACACGAGGCGCGGGTGGGTGTCTGTGGGTGTGTGTGGATTGGAGGTTGGTTGGCAATTCTGAGGCCTGGGCTTTGGAGAATGACTGCAATCACCACTGCTTTTTGGACAGTAGGATGTGGCCATGGGGCATAACCTATGGCTCCATTTTGGGGTGGATGAACATCCATTTGCCACCCATTTTGATGTTCACCAGGGGTACAGGGTCTTGACCCACAACCATGTTGGACATGGGAAAAGTCAGTTGGGGGGTGGAAGGCACGCATGTGATAAAGATCACGTGGACATTTTGGCACGTGCACAAGTTAGCCACGCGCCACGGTTTGGTTGCAGGACGTAGAGCCGTGAACCCAACCGGGAGGGGGGGGGGGTAGACTGTTCGCAGTGCCATGAACCAAGCCATGCAGCTGATACCCCTGCGACAAGTTGAAATGCTGCAACTTGCCAAACTCCGATGGCTTCTGGCTGGCTGAGTTGCTTCATGCTCTCACTCCCTGAGTTACTTTTTGGAAAGACGCGTGTTAGTGGCAACCAAAGTGTTGGAGAGTGTTTTGGGGGCAACCACTCGGGAAGTGATCGAGCTGTTTTGTTTGGCAATAGATTCGTACCTGGAGTCTCCATGACCCGAAATAAAAATGGGTCCATGACCAACCATTTTTTTGGGTAATGACCAACCATTTTTAAAGGGTCATGGAGACTCCAGGTATCTCGGGAATGTTTCAAGCTCAAGCCCCGAGGTGCGGACCATGGGGCCACGACTTCATAACCTCTGCCCCTCTCAAACCATAGAATCTCGAGAAGGATCGAGACCCGGGGGAGGACAACTGGGGCAAGTCCATCTCTTTTTTGTTTGTTGGTTGGAAGTTTGGACCCTTCCCCTCGGTACATACGGGGATGTTCTGTGTTGTTCATATCATTTGCATGCCGTCTTCAAGGCGGCACCAAAGTGTGTGTGTGTGTGCCACGATGAGCAGTCAGGTTTGCCACTTGCTGCGCAGTACTTGTTGCACACAAAAAAGGGCGGGCAAAGCAAAACCAGCTGGGGCTCGTCGTCTTCTTCTTTCAACAACAATGTTCGGAAGCACGGGAGGGGGGGGGAGTCCCCCTCTGTTTCTTTTTGTTTTTCTCTTTCGTGAGGCAGATGTTTGTGGAGCTTTTGGAGAAGCAAGGGCTCTCCGGGCACTTCGACTTCCTCTACCTCCCCTGCGACTTTCATCGCCACGCCAACCTGGGCTACGCCTTCATCAACTTGGTGAACGAAGCGCCTCATGCGAAGCAAGTGCAAACAATTAAAAGAGTGCGCACCCCAAGGTGGTACCGGTATTCAATTCGTCTAGTTTTATATACCGTATATATATATAAATATATATATAAATATATATATATATATATCGTGTGGGTAGAAATAGATAATTATGGGTTCCACTGGTTTGGATAGGTTTGCTTATTGACCAGGGCCATCTTGTCCAAAAGGTCACCTATGTCAATTCCGTTTTGCATCCGGGGAAGCCGGCTGCCGTGAGACGCTGGGAGCTTGCCCTCCGGAATTCGTAGCTCTGGGAGTGCTTGAATTGATTCGTGCAGAGATCGACCGAAAGCGGAGGGCTTTCCAAAAGAACCCAGCCATTTGATGTTGATTCCCCGTTCTTTTCAACCAGCGTTCTTTCCAAAAACCGGCCATTTTCCCTGGGTTTCACAAGGTTTTCTAGAAAGAATGATCCCTGGAAAGAATGGGGAAGCTAGCCCTAGAACCATGCCAGCTCGTCCAGTCGGATCTTCACATGGCTGTATTTCTCATAAGCCGGCTGACCGGCATCCATTTTTTGGTGAAGTTGGCGACGACTTTCCGTCGCCCAAAATTTGGCAGTTCTCTTTTGGGGCGGGGGGGGAGGGGGCGGCAGCGCTTCTGGCGCCTTTCCACATTTTTTTCAAACCCAGCCTTTGGACTTCCCGTGGCTTTGAGGTAAGCCTTTTCGCCCAGCAAACCCGACGGAAAACCGAATCCGTGAAATTGGAAGCCCACATCCCTTTACATGGCAGAATGGGGACCCCCATTTTTTGCTGGTGTCTTTTGTACTTTCCAGAATCAAAATGGCTCCTGGCCCAAATCCTTTCGACACATGTCATTAAACAAAAATGGGGGCGGACCCCCCATTTTGGGGGGTGGTTTCTTTCCTTCTGCTTTACTTTTGAGACCACCCCAAAAAACAAAGAATGTCACGCAAGCGCCAAGGCCGGCGTCCTGAAGTTTTGGGACATCTTCCACGGCTTCACGGCGTGGACCTTGCCCACGGCCAAGGCGGCGCTTGGGTCTGGTCGGTGGTCCAAATGCCATGGATGAGCTCAGGGTGAGATTTTGTTGAGCCTCGGGATCTCCTGGGTGTTTTTGTTACTTGTTCTTTTTCTTTTTTAGCGCAGGACTTGAGGAATGGATATGGTCTCAACCGCATCAACCTCATGTCGAACTCTTAGCTGAAGGGTTGCGGGAAATGGACTCCACTTTTGTGATGCTGACTTGGGTATGGGTCCAAATTAAACCAGGATATGGAAGCAGGTTTTAGTCCCTTCCATTTACCAGGGCAACTCATTTTGTGTACCAATTTTTGACCCACAGCTGGGCGAAGTCAAGTGTATGAGGAATCGGTGGCAATTGACTTGATTTGAGCGGTTTCCTCTTAGAGTCATTTGAGGATTGAAGTCAGAGGAAGAAATATGCAGGGGATCTCAGCACCGTTTTTGCCTTACCATTTTGAGCAATCCTTCGAACACGGCACGTATCAAGTCTGGAGGGATCTAATGCTGTGTCAGGGCTCAATGGTGCCGACGGCATCGGTCTGCATGGAAACCCTCTGCTTGGGCGACACACAGGAAATCACGCACGGTGTGGTTGATGCGTCGGCCGAAGCCTTCAGAAAGGGTCTCGTCAACAGAAGAGAAGTTGCAGAGCAGTCGGCGGAAGCAGTCGGGTATGGTTGCCGGGATTCCTTCTCCCTGCTGCTATTATCGTTGGGTGTTGCGTTTTTGAGCACTCGTTCCGGAAGCAAAGGGAAACCAGCCATTACATGGTTGCCCCATGTTGAGACAAACATATTTGAATATTCAAAAAAGCAATAGCTTGGTGTGGGAGTGACGCAACAGTGACTTTTTCCCATCCTCACGGCAGTCTAGGATGTTTGCGGATAGGTTGAAACGGTGGGTGTCCATGTTACATGGCGACGGTCCCCCCCAGCCCGACTATTCTGATTCCCTAATCAACGCACCCTTGTAATAGATTGCATGTCTCCCAGCCTGCTAAACCCCGCATCAGGGTGTTGACTACCCCAAGGTTTTCCTTGGACACGGTTCATTTCCTCGAAAAGAGAACCAATTTGTGAGTTCAAGTCTGCCTTGTCAAGAAGAGGAACCCTGCTCGCACTATATAAGTCTAAAATAATCTAAATTGTATCTATCTCCCTTCAGGTAACCGAGGCAACCTCTTTTTAAAACCTAGAACAACCGCTTGTTGCTTACGGGGTACCCTTCCTCCCACTATATGGGTATGGGTCAAACAAAATCACCACCAGGAAAAAACAACGCAGGTGTTCATCCATGTTCCCACTTACCAAGGTTCTATTTTAGGGTTACCCTATTTTGACAACCACTGCTTCAGGGAGGAGACCTGGGAGATCAGGTGCCATGCAACGGAGGGTTTGCACCCGGGATCCACTAGGGCTCCTTGCACCCATGAGAAGAATGGCCGGGGATCCAATTTGGAGGATGAAACACCTGAAGGGCAAAAAAGTGTGGTTATGTTAGACCAACCTTTGGTTCTGGTCATATATAAACATATAGTTAACCCAACTTTTTTTGTGGTTTTAGTTATACTAGCTCAACCGTTGTTTCTGGTTATATTTGCCCAACCTTTCGTTCAAGCTTTGTTTTCAGAAGGCACACCTGGCTCCAAGCGGCTCCGCTCCGCCGGGCTCCGGGCTTGCCGGTTACCGGTTTTCGGTGTTCGGTTCAGGTGGGGCAGGTGAGCTTCAGCGGGCCGCACCAGGGCCTGCGGGCACACATCGACCGCTACAGGAACAGCCCGGTGATGCACAAGCGCCCGGGGACGAAGTCATTCACGTCGGAAAATGGAGCAGCAGCTGTTTGGTTCTTTTTTCGGCGTAAAAGGGGGGGGGGAGGGGGGGGGGGCGCTGGGGGGGGGGTGGTTTTTTGGGCTAGGTCTCTCAGCTAGGTGCCAACTTGTACCGATGTTTTTTTGGGGGAGGGTTTCAAACTACAAAAATAGACTACCCTGGATCTTCCAAATCATGGACATTTCACGTAAAATCCGGAGTCTACCAGTTTTTTGAGGGTCTCAGTGAAAAAACACAGAGTTTTCAAACTCCTGGTTTTTGAGGTAAAACTCCTAGAAATTGATTGTCGCTTCTGGAAATGGTTTGCACACCTGAAACCCCTAGAAATCGCAATTATTCGGTACTTGACGGAAGGAACTCTCCAATTCAGACATATTCTGAATCAGAATCATTCACCTGAATCAGAATCGTTCACCTGAATCATATAATTATATTTATTCAGAATTCAGAATTATTCTGAATTCGGAATTATTGCCTTTGGGCGACAAATTGGCAAAGCCGGAAAGCACCACACCAAACTCAGCGCAAATCACCCGTAAAAAGCCCGCGGAGTGTGCGTAGTAAAATCAGTGGAATACCCACTCCAGTGCAGAGTTGCATAATTGCTGGGAAAGCGTACAGAGTTGCACAATTGCGCGCCCAAACTAGGAAGAAAAAAAAACAATACTTGAATCCAATTGTTTCCCCCAAGAACCACTCCTAGTTTTTGATGTTCACTCCTGCCTTTTGCAAGCCACTCCTGCTTTTTGATTCCTGCATTGGAAACACCTGAAACTCCTAGTTTTTGGAGGGTCTCCTGGAGATATCCCGGAGAACGGAAAAACAGAGAAATAACCCGGAGACGGAGGACCCAGGACAGAAACAGTTGGTACCCTTATTCTAACCTCTCTACTGGAGGACCTAGGTGTTATTCGGCGGTTGGGGGCGCTGGGGGTGTTGTTTGGTGACAAATTCAAAAGCAGATTTGAATTGGGGCAGCTGGAATTTGGGTGACTTTGTGCGATGCAAAGGGTTTTTTTGGGGTGTGTCTTAAAATAGGGGAAGCGCCAAAATAGGGGTTTCCTTCTGGTGAAACCTCAAACCGGTATCTTAAAACAAAAGCGCGCCCAAACCGTTTGAGTTGTCAAAATTAGGAGTGTTTTCGGGCTCCCCTGCGTACAGCCGGAGGCGCCAAGCTGAACGAAGACTCCCCTATTGGATTTATCAAGCTGGCGGATTGATTTGATAGGAGCAGTTTTTTCCCCAGAAGCGAAGTACTACCTCAATGTATCAACCAGAGGTTCACTCATATTTCCGACCTTCCCACCCACAAACCAAGGAAACTGACAGATTGGTCCTTTCCAAAAGGTGATATCTGAAACCAAAAAGGAATGGGCAGAGGGTGTTCGATTCAATTCGATCGATCAGGATTCTTGGATTGTCACAAGATAGCAACCCTGACGATGAGTGGTTTCCATCCCATTCACGGCATTTTCCCTAACGCTCAACCCCCATGTTTGACCCAATTTGGATGAACATCCTTGGGTAAACAACGGGTACCCCAAGCTATCCTTCACGTTTTATTCGGTCCATGTTGGACAAGTACCTCTTCCACGGGGGTTTTATCCGCTCGCTCGCCTGAATCACTCTCGTCCGAGGAGCGTGCCGGAGGAGTACAAGCCGCTGCTCTTCAAGTCGGGGACTCCGCAGCCCTTCCCTCCCCCCACACGGAAAGTGAAGCGCCCCGCGCCGGCGAAGCGCCGCTGAGCGGTTTTTGAGGATTGAGCTCCAGCGCCTCGGATGGACAGTTGGAGAGCTCTCGGTCTCGTCGTGTTTTTTCTCCGTTTTTTTTCTTCTTTTTTTCTCGAGGTCGTTGGAGAGCTCGCGATTGGTTTGTGTCCCCACCAACACGAAGAGACCCTACAGAACGAGAATCGGTTCGGCTTTTGGAATACGTTTCCAGGAATCCAGACTTTCTTTTCGAGCCAACCAGAGATTTGCTACTCTCTGATTCTGATCGGCCAGTGCAAGCACTGTTTTTTTAGGGTGAATGTGGGAGGCCCATACTTCTTACTTTGGACCCAAAGAACCGGTCCAACCTTTTGTCCGTTTTGTCTTGCCATGATTTTCCGAAGTAAATCCCAAGAAAAGCCATTGAAATCCGCAAATGGCTTTGGCTAAGGAGCCCAGAGTGTGTCGGAATCCTGACAGGGTTACTTCCTTTTCTCCCTTTCAGCCCACTCAAGGGGCTTCAAATCTGTACAGGGTGCTTGGAGTGCTGTGGAAGGCTCAGTCCAGGGCCGTTGAATACTTGGGATGCCGCCGTGGGGTGCTATTCAGTTTGGTCATGGGAAAATAGTGTTTATAATCATTCAGCCCTCGCCATATATGTGTTACAAGCAGTTCCATCAACTTGTGCCCCCATCTGTTTGCGCGGGCATGTCCGCAGTCTTCCGAAGCAAAATTCCTGGGATGTTCGCGTGTATTTACGTTTCATCCATGGCAGAAGGCTTCAAAAGCTGGCATGGAACCCAGCAACAGGCTCCGGGCATGGGTCATTCAGCCAGGTTGAATCAGGTTGTGGGAGGGAATTCACCCAGCCCCAGATGGGTTCCTTGGTCTGCTTCTCTGAACATCTGCCAAAGCCGGTTTCCGTTTTTTTTTTGTTTGTTTTTTTTTTTTTGCTTTTTTTTGTGATTTTTGCCACGGGTCCGGGTGGATAACTCTCTCCGTGGCTCTTAGGCCGCATTGCCAAGTCTTGTACAGGGAGCCGATCGGCGGCCCAGAGGCGGGGAGTTCTTGGGTTCGGGAACCCACCCGTGCGCGGAACCGGAACCCCAGACACCGAAGCTCGAAGTTTTGCAAACATATCAATGGAGGTGCACTTTGTGTCAAAATAAATCAATTTGCAAAAAGGATCGAGGTGCACTTTGTGTCAAAATAAATCGCACTGGCGATGCGTTGCAGAATTGGTTGCAAAGCAGGCATGGCTGGCGTGTGCAAGGTGCGGTATAGCAAGAAGGCTTGTATGTCATTTTTATGCATGTGGTGTCTAGTGCTGTGGCTCCCTATGCACTCGGGTGCGTCAGTACTGGAACAATGCCATGGTGAGAGTTTGTCACCTGCGCCTTCTTCGCCCCGCGGCAGTTCCTTGTTTCAGCTCTGCCTCGAAAGGCTTCATTAAAACTCAGATTCACAGGGCTGAAAAAGACCTAAGCCGGACATTTGAATGTCTGTGTTTTGGTTAGTGTGGAGCCTCCAAATGTGTGGTTCTGCTTTTGGTTATCCTTTAAACCCCACCAAGAAGCGGGTAATTGGCCTCAGCAAAATTTGACCGACCCGCACGCATCTTCCCTGCAGGCGGCTTCACGTGGGACCGGGCCACCCGCGCCCAGTTTTTCAAGAGCCTGCCTTGATTGAGACGAAGCTTGCGGTGGGATTGACATTAGGACACCTTGGGCAAATGAAGCCGCGACCTCGCAAAGAGTCGCCGCCGAAGACAAACTCGAAGGACCTTATGGACCCATGTAGGTTGTTGATGTTTGTTCTTTCCACCGACAGCTCGCAGCTGCGATCTTTCAAATGAGGCAAGCTTGTTGCAAGTTTTGGTGGCCGGACAACTGTCCGCCTTCGCCAATGCGCGACACTGTCGCAGCCGGAGGTTTCTGCAGCTCAACGTGTGACGCTTGCCACGGGGCAGTACAAGGGTTGTTTCAAACTTGGTGGCCTCCAGATTGGTTTCGCTCAGCTTTTTGTTTTTGGAAGGATGATTCAAAGAGGGATTCATATTTTATCGACCAAACGGTAGCCGGGACTTGAACCGTGAAATGCACGATGGTCGCTAGAGAACTCCTGCATGTAACGTGATCTACGGGCCTTCTCAATATTTTCTATGGGCCTTGGGCCCACAATGGACCCACATGGACCTTCAATTGAAGATTGGCAAATGGTAACTGACCACTAGGCAATGGCTTTTCGTGCTTTGAATGGGGCTTGCAGATATTTTTCTCGTTTTTTTCACCATCTCGAGGCACCTACCCCCCCAATTAATTCCGGTTTTCCCTGCGGGCCCAGAGGATAGCTGGGTGGGGGGAGTTTTGGTCCGAAAGCGGGCTGATTCTGGTTCATTTCAGGGTTGACACCGGCCCCTATATGCATAAAACTGGGGTTGATTCCAATATGGGGTCAAAATTATTGCGTGACATTCGATCCATTGCGTCCAGCAAAGTGGCCAACGCACCGCTACCGCTGGGCGCAAGTTTTTGTGTTTGCTGCAGATGCTGGCGCCTGCGGCAGAAATCCCTAGATGCCTTTCCAACGAAGCAGCGGCCAAGACGTCCTTGCCCAAAACGGATTCGACGTCATCGGCCCCTTAGCAGGGGTACACGATGCACACCAAGGTTCCTATGTACGTACACGATGCACACCAAGGTTCCTAGCCTCCCTTCCGGTGGACTGTCACTTGAAGTTTTTGGGGATCCGACCATAGCGGAAAATAGGACACAGACTTGGAGCTTTGGCTAAGCCGTTGGCTCTGAAGTCTACAACTTGTCCCATTCCCCAATCCTCAAGAATCCCAAAGCTTTGACCCTTAACCTCTGTGTTCTTCGTAGGTGAGAGGGCTTGTTCTCTTTTTTGGAATCGGACCCTCCCCGGCCAACGCAAAAGAAAGCGGTTTTCCTTTCTCTTTCAAACCAACCCCAAAAAGGCCCTCTCGAGAAAGAAAGGCCCACGTCGTGTTACCCCCCCCCCCCCCAAAAAAAAGAGAAAGAAACAGGAAATCGTTCGAAGCTTGGCGAGATAAACACATCATGGGGCGCAGTTTGTTTGCTTTTTTGGGGGGTGGGGGCTGGCAGCCAAAGACCCAAAACTCTTTGGTTTCTGGGAGTTCTTTATTTCAAGAGGGTGTAATACTAGGATTCCATCAGACATCCCCAATGGTGGGCTTCAACATCAACCTGAAGTGAGTGGTCAGGGTGATGCTTCGGGCCCGCGTCCACGTCCACTCACTCCAAAAACAATCTGTTGCTTTTTGTGGTTCGCCTTCGATTTGGTGGCTGCTTCTTACGAAAGCGATTGAATCACTTTAATCCAGGAGTTTTAGGGGGGCCAGGAGCGTTCCTGAAAACGACGATTCCTGGCACCTCTTGATCTCGTGGCATTCGGCTTCATGGGCTTTCTGTACAGTTGGCCCTTGGCTGGCGTTGCAAGAAATTTGGCGCTGGCACGCGACATGAATCGTGGTGCATGTGTATATAGTGCAACGCCGAGCAAGTGTTTTTGCTTATGGGGCTTGAGATGAAGTTCCCGAGGAACCTTAATCGAAAATGGCTCGCCGGGACGTATGACGCGATTTGACCCGTGTGTGTGTTTTTTGGGAGACCCTTCAAAATGGAGGTTTTTCTCTTGGTGTCCCTTTAAAACCAGCCAAGCAGATGATGCGGTATGATACGCTTCTCGCCGCTGCTTTGCTTGGCAAGCATTTGTCGTAGTGCCTTATCCCAGCCTGTCGCCTGACTTGATGATGTTCGGCAACGTCGAGCGCGAAATGTTCGCCCGGTGTGAGTTCGCCAAGTGCGAATCCATCTTCGAGCGCGAAGAGACTTCAACGAACAGCTGCAAGCAACACGAGGACTGATGGGCGGGGCGGGGCCCCACCACGAGACGCGTCGGAACTCTAGCTGCATGTGAACGAACTGCACCCTCTGCTAAACAATGGCTTTTGCGACCCATGGAAAAGCACCACAAAATGACTTGAGCCGTGATTCTCGCTTTTCGTTTTTTACATCTCCACGCTCAAAGAATTGATGTCCCCTTTCAGCCTGGGCTGTTTAGATTGCACAGGGCCATGTGAGAATCATGCACCCGATCGAAGCCATTACCCACACGGGTCACCCAAACGGATCGAACGGATGCCAACAGTTTGATCAGTCTCCCGTTGAAAGAGGCTCTGAATCCGGGTGATTTATAGCAATTCAGGATAAGCTTGGTTATTGGCACAACATCCTTGTACTTGGATTCCAAGCTAAGAAAGCACATCATTGGAGAGGAGTATGTTCAAGAGCTGACTGTTCAGGTTTTCGTTGGGTTTTCCTTGCGGCCCTTTGTGGTTCTTGTGTCTTTGACAGGCTGCCACTCACAAGCCCCATTTTGTGTGCCTGGCAATTGGTCGCCAAGCAAACGGGAAGCCCCACAGCCAGCACCTCCAGGCGTTTGGGCAATGAATTTTGATGAACCCCAACAGTTGGTGGACATCAATCGCCGGGTTCACTTGAGAATTCATACCATGTCCACCTTGGTCTCTTTTCTTGAAACAAATGTTGTCGTATTCGAAACTGCGTCCTGTGAATGATACCGGTGGGTAGAAGCGTGTGTGTGTGTGTGTTCCCATTTGTCAAGAGCTTCTTGGGTTCTAAATGCTGACATACGCCCAGCCGCACCCAAAGATTTGTCCTTCTCCCGGCCGCGCCTCGGGCCGCTGGATTCATGGGTCCGAGAGGATTCCAGCGATGGTGAGACGACGACGTCTTCCGCGCGAGGCAGATGGGTAATGTTTGAAGAGTGATGGCAGAGTGTTGGATCCACTTCAAAAGGACGGTTGGATTCCCCTTTTCCATCGAACAGGCGGTGGGTTTCCCAGCACAAAAAAACCAAGGTGACGCATCATGCGGCTCCCAGGTGTGGGGGTTTGGCATTGAGTTGCTGCGCCGGGCAGTTTTTGTTCTTCGTTTTTGCTTTTTGGGGCGGCTCGTCATTTTTTAAGATTGGACCCCCGAATTGACTTTCTTCCTCTTGGTCTTCTTTTCTGAACCAGCCAAATAGGGGGTGCTTTTCAACTCCAACACAAGAAGAGCCACCCATTTGATTTTTCCCAGTATTGGACTAGCGGCTGGTTTCCTACCAGCTGCTTTCTGTTTCGATGTCCAAAGTCTCCTACGAAAAAGCTTTGCAGTCGGGTGATAGTAGTTTCTCCTATCTTGCAAGCCTTGAAGTTTCAGTTTAAACCTTCTACAGACCTTAATCTTAGCTAGGTCCCCCCAGTAGTGCCTTTTGTTTTTCCTTTTCTTTTTTTTTTTTTTCGGGGGAGGGTTCCCCGACTAACATAGACTACAGAAAAAAAAGTACCCTTATTCTAGCCTCTCTATTGGAGGACCTAGATAGGACACCCCAGGAGTGCTTGGGAATGGATGCCCTTTTCTCTTCTTCTTTTTTTCTGGTGTGCGTTGGCGAAAAACTCCCAGAGCTCAACGATCGGCTTTTTCCCTGCTCTATGATAACTGTCGCTCACTCACGTGTTTCTTGCTTCAGGATGGTGAGTTTCTTGCCAAGAAAGAAACACACACAGCGGTCTCCGTGTTTGCGGGGGGTCTTTATTTTAAACTGATCCAACCAGCAAATGTTGGTGTCGTCCCGCTGAAAGCTGGGTGTAGACAAGCTTGTGATTCGGAGACGTGGCAGGTTCCACCTGCACCAGCCCTTCCAGTCAGGACCGTCCGAACGACGGGCCTGGTCTTTTGTATTTAGGGGGACGTGCCCCAAAATGGTGGTGTTTCTTCCGGTTTCCCTTTTTAAAGCCACAAGCAAGGGGCTATAGTAGCTTGGCTGCTGTTTGCTTAGATATGATCTGTCCCACTCTGCAAACACGAAAAGGTGTTTGGACAGGCGGCACCAAATTGGATGCCCAGAAACTGGGTCCGCGCTATTCCCGATGTCCAGTTTGCCCAAGGTAAAAAGGGTACCCTCACACAATGGAGGGCAGATGGAGGGGGTCAACGGCAACTCTTGTTACGAACATATAATATGGGTTTGTCTTCAAATAGGGGAACCCCCCCAAAAATGGGTGGTGTCTGTTTGGTTTCCGGAAAACCAAACCCCCAACAAGTGGTACCGCCAAAGAAAGGCACCCCCATATGGCTTTGGTCTAAAGTATCGGAGAGCCCAGTTTGGTGCTCTCATGAGACCGTGTCCAGGTTTCGATTAAAGCGGAAGCGTCTTGCTTCGCTTTCAAATTAATTGCTTGTCCAACACAGGACCTGACCTTTTGGTTTCCCCTTGTTGGTCCATTAGTCAAGGTCACAAAAGGTTAGCCTTTCATTTCTAGCTCCTTTGTGCAAGTGAGCTAGTTATGTGGTAGAAAAAGACTTAAACCATCTTAAACCTATAGGATAATCCTGGTATCCCTAGGTTTTCTGAGCTTTGCCCATTTCAACTTTGGAAAGCCAACAACTGCTCCTCCAAGAGTGCTTCAGATCCCCTGTCATTTGGGTTGAACCTGGGAATCCACTGGTGTTGTGCTACAGGGTTGCGGGTTGCCCAGGTTTCACTGAAAGCAAATGGTCAGGTTTGCAGAGTTTCAAGCTCCGGAGGTTCTTTCAGAGTGGACCAATGCTCTCCGTGTTTCCAGTGGTTGTCATTGCTCACGGTCAATCGTTCCTGCTAATTACAGTAGATACCAGGTGTTTTCCTAGGTTTCAACGGTAGGTAACTGGAATCTCCTGCTTTTGTGTTGGTTTCGGTCGCCATGACTTCCCCCCACCTGTTCGGTGCTGCTCTTTTCCAATGTTGGCAGTTCTCCTGAAGGCAAAACCCAGTTGCCCAGTGGTGCCCCTTTTTCCACTCTTTTTGGTTTCGGGCTCCCCTTTAAACTCAACCAACCAAAAAATTGGATGCCGATCCTTTTTTCCCCATGGAAATCCACTGGGCATCTGAGAAAACCAAGTGCTTGCCTCCAAGCCGCGAGGCTCAGGCGGACGACGGAGGCGAGTGCGTGGTGGTTGTGAAGTCCACTTTCATTGACGTGGACGATGGCAAGCGACGCATCAAGCGTGGCCCTCGGCGGTCGCAGTCTGCCAAACGCGTGCATGGCCTTTGGTGGAGGTGCTTTTTTTTTTCTCCGGGGGGGTGTTCTTTTGCGTGAAAACCAAAAAACACCCACCCACTTTTGCAGGCCCACCTTGGAGATGCCAGATCTGCCTGGAAAGGGTATTTTTCAGCAGCGTCCGGTCCGAAAGCTCGTCAACTCTTGGCTGCTTTGGCAACGCCTGGCGTTGTTGGCCTCAGTTCTGTTGTTTGCTTGAGAATATGTGTTTACCTTATTTTTCCCTCTTGGTTGTTTCGGCCAGCTACCGCTACTGGACATATTTTCGCATTTTTACATGCGGAAAAGCAACTGGAAGAGTTAGAGTTCAATCGTTTTTTTGTGAACATAGCACAACCTCGGCCGAAGCAGTCCCCAAACCGATCTAAGTGCTTGCCAATAGATGCTTGCTCGCTGCTGAATTGCTCGGGTGACCACTTGAGCTGATGTGGGAAAACTGCAGAGAATCAATTGCCTCGCCTACTAAAGTGCTTGATATGGGCCATTAAATATGTGAGACTTCTAAAGGGTTCCTTCAAAAGCCATGAGCGTAACTGCACGCCGGCGACCCCTCAAGGTTTCCATTCGGATGTGTCCCCATACCCGCAAAGGCTCGGACACAGGCTCATGGCGGCAGGTTTGCGAAAGAGCTCGTTACGGGGATTCTTGCCCGACCTTGTGATTAAACAAATAAAGAGCAAATCTCTAATAGGATTCTCCTGCCCAACCGTGTGATAAAAAAAAATAGAAGCAAATCTCTGATAGGATTATCTTGCCCAACCTTGTGATTAAAACAACAAATCGCTAATAGGATTCCCCTGTAACCCAATCATTTGATACCTGGGGCGCCAATTCTCGCGAGGCAGGCAAGCCGCTCCTTCACGGAGCCGGCCGTAGCTGCTGCTCGGACGGACAAAAGTCTGGGCCAGTGTGCATATGGGCCATGATCATAATATGCCAGCGGGTCCCAACTAATGTTGACCCCGGATTAATAAACCCCTGGTTGATTAATAGGGGGGTGTCCCCTTGTAGTGGGGATTCATCACTTTTGGAGGGAACACCCCCCTAATAGTGGGACGGGTTTATTAATCCTGGGTCAACATTAGTCACTGAAATGTTGTTTTTGGTGACCGTACCAACAAGGGCATTTTGAAAAAAGGGCAAAAGAGCCGAAAAGTTGGAACCCAGGTTCTGGTGGGTGTGTCTTTTTGTAGGCAACCCAAAAGGCGAAGCGTTCAGCCAAAGGAAGTTCCTGACTAGAACCCCACCAAAACTGTATGCATTGGCCAAGGCTGCTTGGAGCAGGGGTTGCGATGTTTACAAGCACCAAGGGCGCTCAAAGATTTGTTTCAGCCGCAAACCTGACTAGAGGCGCGACCCTGAGTCATGTTAACCTGCACGCTCACGGTATCCGTTTTGAGATGGGCCCTGCACCAAACGAAACACTTGACCGCAATTTCACTGGGTTGGGCCCAAACACAGGGGGCGGGTCGAAAAAGTACAGGGTCCCCTAGAATAGCGTTTGTTTGTTAAGGTTAGTCTTTTGGGTGTGGCTGTAAAAGTAGAACTGAAAACCACCCATTTTGAGCCTCCCTATTTTAGCATGTATATATATATATATATAGACCCTTGATGTGCCAGCTGGGGGGTTCCTTGCCCAGAGTTTGCAATCAACAGGCACTCAGGCGAACCTCGGATACGTGTATCATTTTTACCAGCTACTTGGAGTAAGCGACTTCTAGCAGATGTGTTTTGGTCTATACAGAGTAGTGCCGACGTAGACACGTTCTTGTAGTTACACATATCATTGATCTGCATAGGCTGTTCAGTGGCAATCCTTCATCATCTTGGGGATACGACAATAATTGGTTGTGTGTTCCCAATAGGGATCCTGGAAACTCGGATGGGCCAATCCTCTATATTTTGTCATTTCGATGAATCCGGTGTGTCATGGTCCCCGCATATATGAACTTCTTACTTTCCCTTGATCAAGTTCTCCAAGGTGTCCTGTTCCATTTCACCATCATGTGTCGATCCCTTTCGACCTCCATGTTGAGAAACTTTCAGAAATCGCCGTAGTCATGCCGTGTCAGCTTCCGCTGAAATCGGGGCTGAGGTTCACCCCATTGAGACGGGCCCACCCAGTTACGAGCCAGGGAAGTTCAGTGATGAGCAGGCAGTCGACGAGTCGGAGTTTGGAAGCCCCCAGCCCACAAGAGTTTCCCGAAGTCTTAGGTCAGTTTCGGTTGAAGAAAACCGGACCATACTGGTTTGTGGATTTGGCCCAGCTTGCAAATGAGCCAGGAGTTGCTTGAGATTGAGGCACTGGGGGGAAGGAATCCTCAAATGTTGCAGAACGTTGCACCGAACGCCTTTCTTTAGTCGCTCCGACTTGTGGTATTTCTGTAGGTGGAAGCCTCAAAGCCACATGCAGCCAGACCTGTTGAATTTGCCCATGCAAAGGAATTGTTTCGTCAATACCCCGCTTTGAAAAGGTCGTGGATGAGTTTCAGGGCGAGCATTTTGGCCATGGCAAAGAGGCTCGAGGAAAATGGGACGAGAGGCCCCCACCTTTTTCAACCTCATGCCATACATTGAGGAGCAAGCCTTGTTGGTGGGTTTCACGAAAAACGTTCAAGCCCGCCATACTGTGTCTCTTTGATGCGTGAGTGAATCAATATCCACAACAGAACCAACAAATTGGCTCTCTGAACATTATACTTTTGGACAGTATACTTTCTACCTTTGGACATTAAAAGGGTGGCTCTTCTCTCATCTCTGGACATTTTACCTTTGGCTTTCTGGCTGTTCCATGTTTTTTAGAGGGAAGCCGACAGCCTTCAACCGCTTGAGAATGCGCAGCTTGAAGGGAGCGGCTTGTTTGGAAGCTGGACCGTGTCAAAACGAGGCACCCTCCCCCCAAATATATATATATATATATACACATACACATAATATTATAAACAAATGTGGAGTTCAACGGGACGGCAAAGGAAGACGGAACACCTCCTGCGATCCATCCAGTTGTACACAGCCAAGCTCGACCAAAGCCTTGAACTCAACAACAGGTGCACAGGCAGACAATTAATTCTGCCGGTCTGTTTTCTCAACCTTTGAGGGCTGCAGCGCATCTCAACACACTTTGGTCTCTATTCATCAGCAAGCGTGGTGCCCCTTGGATGTCTTCGTTCAAGGTTAAACACACAAAACGTCCAACCGGGTGACGCTAATCTGCAGGGTACCACCGCCCACATTCCACCGCGTGACGTCCGCTCCGTCCGCTCCGTCCGCGTCAGGCGGAGGCGGAAGAGAGGCAGGGTGGCGGTGCCGAGGGTTTTGTTTGGTAGTGGTCTCCGGTTTGCGGTCGGCTTCAGGTTTTGGACCAAAGGAGCGGTCACATTCACGGAGCCCGTCGACCCGGATTCCATGTCGGTGAAGAATTCCCTCGTAGATGGGACTCATACATCTTCCGGGGGTTTGTGAACCTGGAAGCTGGAGCGTTTGTTTAAAGCTTTTCACCTGTGATCTTTAAGGATTCGCTGGAGGATTGGAGCATTGTACAAGCACTAGGCATGTGTTTGATTGCATCTTTGGGCAACTGATTCCCCGCGGAACCTTTGTTTCTTTACGGTTTAGGGTAGGTGTTCTTTCAGGCTTGGCACGCAAGCTGCAAATTAGCAGCTTGAAGTTCCCACACCAGATAGAGCTACAATGAAAAAGCCAGGCAGCTACGTCGCATGGGCCAATGGGTGTTTACATATTTTGCTGTTTGAGGGTCTAGTTGGGGAGTAAAACCACACCTACTGACATTTGTGCCCACGGGCAAAAGGACCTCCCTTTTGCTCATTGATGTATTGAAGGGGTACCTTCCAACAAATCAGAGGAACAGAAGGGGAGGGAATTCATTCCGGATAGACCATAGAGTCCCACCCCACCAACCCCCTGGCCCCTAGTAAGGGTTTCAGAGTCCAGTGTGTTTTGAACGTGTGCAGTGTGGGCATTGTCTTCGAGGCTGTGTGAAGCGTATTCCAAGTTCTTCAGGTTCCACGGTGAGCGTTCTCCGCTGTGGGCATTGCTTAGTTGCGCACTATAAAGCTGTGCTGGAGAGAGAGAGAGAGAGATAGCGAAGGAGGGGGAGAGAGGTGGAGATCAGGAAAGGGAGCGAGGGAGGAGAGAGAAACAGGGAAGCATGGCGAGTGTGATACTTGCTTCATACACCGCCCATGCCCAAAGGACCTGGACACTCAGGTCAGACCCGGCCAGAGCTGGTGGACTCCCAACATGGTGGGTGTTCCTGTTGGTTTCCCTTCAAAACCGTCCAACAGGGCTACCTTGGCGTACCATCAGAAAAGACACACCCATACTACATAAATCATCCAAAAAGAGGTACCTTACCATCAAAAAACGACACACCCATTCATAACTTTAGGCCTACATTTAAATCTAAAGTTTGTCCCGGAGCCTAATCAACCGAATCCTGGATCAGTGGCAGCACCTTCGCTCCGAGTTGGACCCACGCTTTGGTTTTGGAAGGATGACCAGTTTTTTGTAGAGGGTAGAACCAGTATGTCATCTACATCCATGTACTTTCCCTTTCTCCACATTGTCCTACATCATCCTCATGCATTTCCCCTTCCCTTTGTAGTTTCTGCATATTGTCCTGCGTGTGGGCATTGTTTTTTTACCCTCAAAGTAAACCAACCGAAGGCTTTTGTTTCGTCTTCGCTTTTCCCAACCCCCTTATTTTAGTATTTCAGACACCTCCAATCTCCCCCGCAGCCGGCAACTGAGCTTCCGGTCACATCGCCAGGGAGCGCATTGAGCAGGAACTCGACGCCTCGCAGCGATCAGTCAACTTGGGGTGGTTTGTGAGGGGGGCGGAAAACGAAAAGAGGGCCACCAATACCCCCCCAGCCGCCTACATGGCTGTGGTTGTCAAAAACCCAATGGAGTCTCATTTTGGGGTAGTAGGTGCACCACTTTTTGTGAGGATTGGGATGTTCACTGGGGGTACTCGCTTTTGACCCATGGCCACATATACCTTGCTCTTTAACTTGCCTGGATCCATGAAAACCTGCACAGGGAACCAAGGGAACCGGCCTTTACATGGTGGGGTAACTGTGATCCACGCTGGCTGGTCCAAGAAACGGACGGCCATCATGGTTTGGTTCTCCAGTTTGTCCGTTTCGCACGTTTGAAAAGATGTCCGGCCCGTCCTGTTTGGCATTTGGGATGTCCCGACAAGAGAGGTAAAGGCGATGCCGGCAAAGGGCTCCTGACCGCGTTTTGTCCAAGACCTCTAAGGGCTCCTTGCCTTGTATTCCTCAAATGCCCATGATACACATATGTATATATATATATACACAGAGATATATCATATATAAGGTATACATCAGTTTATGTACACTTTGTTTTGTTTCAGTTCTTTTCTAGATAGCCACAGCTGGGAGTGGTTGGGTTTGTGTTCAGGCGACATGGGGCTTCCTCATCCCCGATCGCAAGCCCTGCGAATTGGCCAATTCGTCGTTTCGAACTTCCCCAAAGCAAAGGGCACCAGGGTTGCGGGATCAAGGGGTTTCTCCAACCACTTCTGTGACACAAGGGCATCTCCCCCTGAGGGGTTGGTCTTTGGGAAGCCCTTTCTTGTTGTATCACAGAAGTGGTCATTTTACACAGCCCTGAAGGGCACAGCACTTGTTTTACTTGTTTTTTTCTCCAAGACTCCCTATTTGATCTGTTCTAGATACGTGAGCAAGGGTTGGTAACAAAAAGAGAGCCTGGACATGTCTTGGGTCTTGGGGCATCGCCTTTTAACTTTTAGCAGGGCTTTGCTTTTTTGTGTGAGATGGAGGCTTGAAAGGTCGCATTCTGAAGCCCAACAGCAAACAAAACCAACCGTGAGGCCTGTGACGCTATGATTTCTCCAGGATCCGTTTGCCCGAGAGAATCTCTGACAGCTCACGCCAAGTTGTAGACTCGGCGTGCTACGCAGATGTTGCGTTTCTTAAGGTTAGCTCCCACAGGTCACCGCAATGGTCATGGGTTCTAAGATAGGGCTACGAAGTCGTATGCGACCGAGAACTTTAGGAGTGACCCCGTGAAAGATCGGGTTCCGTGAGTGAGCGACCCGGTTGACCCCACTGAGATTTATGGTCCTGTTGGGTCTGTGAACATTTGTTAACATTCATAAGTTACCCATGGTTTGTGGGCCCATTGGTCTTTGGGTAGAAAGGGGCCCGGGGAGGGAGCTCATGGTGGTAATCCCCAAATAGGTTTCCCCTTAAGGCAACCCCCAAGTAGCCCAGGCTGCGATCGGAACCGTGGAACCTTATGGCAAAATAAGGAGCCCCAAAAATGGATCTCAGGTTTCCGGTCGGTCTCCCTTTTAAGCCACCCCAAAAAGTGTTCCACGATCCTCAAAGCGTAATGTGGCTGAGAGCACGAGCCGACTGAGAGAGTGTTTTTGTTTGTTTTTTTCCGTCTGCATCTCAGGACACGCAGGGTCGAACCACCGTGATGATGAGGAACCTGCCGAACAACTACACCAGGCGGCGAAGCTAAGATGGTGTCCAAGCCCAAACCAAGGACCCCAAGAAAAATTGGGGAAAGGTTACCCTGCAACTCACATGCCACCAAAAAGGGGGCTAAGAAAAAGCCACCTTTCTTTTTTCCTCCGGGTTTTCATCGTTCAAATTGGGTCCTTGCCCATTCTTTTACCGGGGGCAAGAAACTGTAGGGATTATACCTATCCCATTTTATGGGATTTGCCATCGAGCGAATGAGAACCTCCGCGCCCGCGAGGGAATCTTTGAGTCAATTTGTTGTACGGTTGCCGAATGAAGGGCTCCATTTCTGAAAAGCTACAAATGAGCCACAATCAAAACTCGGGCAAGTGAAGGTTGGTAAGGGACAGTCCCAGCCAGAGTTAGTTGCGGCCTCCTTTGTGGTTCTTTACATTGGTTTGGGTAAGCAAATGGAAGTAATCCAGCTTGCGGTTTTCTGAATTGGTTCAAGCCCAAACTCACATGAAAATTCCACTTCTGAACACTACGGTGTCACCGTATGACTTGCAGATCTGGGAAAACGTCAAAAGGTATGCATGCCTTCAAAGAAAGTCAAGCTCTGAATTAATAGCACACATATATGGCACAATTAGGCACATAGGCGCTAAGGCAAAATACTTGCCAACAGAATTCACCAGCGACCGTGATTTCAGGAGGACTGTCTTACTTGAGTCATAATCCAAACCTGGCATTAGAAAGGTCTACCCAATCCAGTTAAAGAATAAAAAGGCGGCCGCAGCTATGTATTGTTGAAACTGCATCTTACTATCCTTCATCTACCCAGGTTTTGATTGTGGCCCGCTTGTTCTCCCTGAATGTGAAACTGCGCTCTGACTATCTCTCGGATTGTGTATGCATGTGTGAACATCGAAGTCTTCCTATTTCCTCCTCACATGAACCATATTGATTCTCCCATCGAGGAAACATCTTTGGATGTGACAACGCGCCAGTTTGTAAACCGAGCCTTTCTTAGCAGTATCCTTCGAGATGTTTGAGAAAATTCCATGGAATATCCCCAAATGATGGAAGCCAAGCCCTGATTTGAGTTACAATCAAAACATGATATTAAAATGCTGTAAGAATATGTTTTTGTTTTTTTTTGATGCGTCCTTTTTGGTAAAGTGAATCTATCACTACTGGACATATGTATCTTGTTTCTAGGGCGCTTAAGCAAATGGAAGGTTGTGGTATGCTTCTCGGCAAGGCGCATTCTTTGCTCGCGCGGGAGGGAAACAAAAGTTTGGGAATGCCTGTTGATACAACGGGCAGCTTAGCGTGGGTTGCTGCCTCACGAAGGCTCATCGTCTGATTTGGGCTGGTGAATGATGACACAATATCCAGATAGCTGGGGTGAAACTGGCAAGATGCGTACTTGCCGCTTTCGACCGTCGCCCATCGAGGTATGGACTGGAGGCTGCGTTGTTTTGTTGTTTTCCATTCGTTCTTTATTTCTTTCTTTCGTTCTTTCTTTCTTTCATTCTTTCATTCTTTCTTTCTTTCCTTCCTTCCTTCCTTTTGTTGTCTCTCTCTCACTCTCTCTCTCTCTCTGCCTTTGCACGGTGTTTCTCTCCTTTGTCTTGAACTCTCAACTCCTCCCTCCTGCTGCACCACCCCTCACAATGCACAGGGTTGTTTGCGTGCTTCTCACCGGTCCATGGCCGGCGCGCGCGCTGTCAAAGGGACAGAACAACCGATTGGCAGCTCGGCTTTCGCAGGTTTGGGCAACCACCCATCAGTACTCTCGACGGCTCTAGGGGATCGTGGGATGCCGATGGGCCGCCCGGATCGCCAGGGACATGTTCCTGAACATGCTCAACTCCAACGGCTTCGAGGCGCCCAGTCGGCGCAAAAAAAAAGCGTCAAAGAGCCGTTCAAGTCATTTGCCTGACGCGTTGCTTTAAAGTTTGCCTAGTTGAACAAGGGACAGGAGCATGATATTGGTAGTTGATTTGTGACGCCAAGCAGAGATCATGAAGGCGGCAGGGATGCGAAGAAAGCCCAGGGGATCTATACCAATCGTACAGGATCGGTCTCGTTGCGTCCGGCCATGCCCTTAAGGTTCTTTGGTTTTCCTTGCCTTGCCGTTTACCACTAAAATGGCTTCCATTTGCTTAAGCCAGGTAGAAAAATGAGAAAATATGTCCAGTAGGAATACATCCCCTTTACAAAACCAAGAAGGGAAAATAACAATCCTTTTAAGCAAACGGAAGTTGGTATTGGAACATTCTATGCTTCTCCACCCTCCGCAAGGCGAAGCTTGGGCAATGCCAAGCTAGTCCCAAAGTGAGAGCGCTCTGGTTTTCGGAGAGCTGGGATCTGTCACATACCACCTGCAGTTGATGCAACCGTGATAACGTAACCACGATAGTATGTGAAGAAGGCAACACTACATTCATGCCGGATGCGGATGAGGTGGTTAGTTTCGGATTGAGATGAAGGGGATGTTGGTCCAGTTGGCCATCAAAACACATATGGATATGGTCTAGTTCCCCCAGTAGTGCCCTTTTACTCTTTTTTCGGGGGAGGGTTTCCTGCTAAAATAGACTACAGAACAAAGTTGGTACCCTTATTCCAACCTCTCTACTGGAGGACCTCAGTGTGCTGGTGTGGTCCACGAAAGGCCTTTCCGGGCAACCCGCAGGCTCGCTACGACTTCATCTATTTGCCCTTCGACTTTGGCCGCTACGCCAACTTGGGCTATGCCTTTGTGAACCTGGTCGACGACAAGGCGTGAGCCTGTTGGATGACACGCGAGCTAGGAGGGTTACGTCCGACTTTTCTGGGTGGCTCCCAGCCATCCGGTTCCTTAGCTAAAAGTTCAGTGGTGGGATTTCCACTTAACCTACCAAAGGTTAAACTTTTAGCAGGGTCTCTGAAGGCAGCCCAGTTTTGGAGCTGGAAAGGAAAGTCAGATGTAGAGAAGCTGAAGCATTTGTGCTACGTCCTAGCACTGGTTGCTAGCTATGCCCCATGTGGTGGTTTCAAGCATCACCTTTTGCCAATGTAAAGCACATGTCCTGAAATTCGTGGGTTTTTCGTGTTGGAAGTATAGGCGGCTATAGGGAGCCCTTGAATCAACTCCAAGTGTGAAGCGCTTCGCTTGCAAGGCTCCGAGATATTTAGGTTGTGTTGGCTTCAATTCAAGGCATGCAAAAGTGGGAGGGCTTCCCATGAATGCACTTCCTGAATGTCTAGGCTCGTATGGGAGCCAGTCACGCACTTGCTTGGCGTATTTTGGCGCACACCAAATACGGCCATTGGAAAGTAATAGTTTAACTTTGGGCAATTCGCAGAGGCAGGGGCTCAAACAACTTGTTCCGACGAAAGCGCCTCAGTCTGCATTCCTTTCACAGGTTTTTTTCCACTTGATGCTACCCGGCAGTATCGGTTGGCCATGAGCGCCGACTCTTTCAATTCCTCTTGTCCCAGAGGTTTGCTTGTTTTGACTGTTTTGAGCTCCGCCGCTTTTTCCCATTGCATCGAATTTGCAAAAGGGGACCACTTCCGCACAGGGGGCCACTTCGGCAAATGGCGGTGGTGCTTTTGGCTTCCCTCTAAGAAGGTGACAAGGCCAGCCTCAGAAAACCGCCCTTCGGATGTATTGCATGCCATTACTGAAGACAGGCCTTCCAAGGGCTGTCAGATGGCTGGATCGAACTCAGACGTTGGTTCTTGAAACGAGAAGTACATTCCCCTCACTTCCTGGGTTCCTGGCCTTTTCAGCTTTTTGGCATTGGACCATTTTAGGTGGTAAACAAAGTTTAGACTGTTTTTGGCACACCCACGCGATCGGAAGTGAGAACCGTATGCCAAGGGTCCTGTGATTGAAAGGTCACCTTGGCCCATGTTGATTGGGGTGACGACAGAAGGAAGAATGTCAGGAACGGTTTATTTCTTGGGCGACCAACCCAGAACATAGTGGAAGAATAACCATATCAGCTGTTCTTAGCACACCGCCAACGCATTTTCCCCAGTTTGGTCTATCATATCGGTTTAACACGCTGCCAAAGCAGGGACCCTCATTACGACGGCAAATAATGCTCGTTTTGCAAAACCGAATAGTGGGACGCTGTTGTTCATCCCCCTGCTTTGCTGACCCTGTGTTTACTTGGCTTTCAGGTCCACAAAGGAGCTTGGGGTCAAACTTGGTGTGTGGTTTCCTTTTGCTTTCTCTACGATCAAGCGAGTGTGGCCTGAAACCAACCAAACGATGTGACCATCCGGGCCCTTTGTCCGACGGCCGCGGAATCGGGGAAGCCAAATTGGGGACCCGGAGGAGAGTCTGCAAGTGGGCGAATTCTTTGTTGGTCCTTTAAAACCATCCATCCAAGGGTGCCTGCAACAGACAGGACCCCATATTGATGATCCAGGAATGTGGGCCTTTTTTCTTCTTGACGCAACCGCATATGTATTTTCTGACCATGAAAACAAGCACCAGCCTAGTGGTTTCTACACAACTCCAGGCCTCAAACCGGGAAGACGTCAACAAATACGTTTCTACAAAAGCAAAGAAGTGCAAACCAATTGTAATTGGCCCCTGCCTGCTTTCCACGCCGCCAAAAAGGGGGGGGCCTTTTCCCGGAGAAGCGCGCTGATGATGAACAAATCCGAGCGGCTGACCGCGCGCATGACAGGCGGTGCGTCAGTTCTGGCGGGTCTTCCAGGGCTTTACGGACTGGGTGCTGCCCACGGCCAAGGCCTCCCTCGACTCGACTCGATCCGGTTGGCTCGATTCGTTTGTTTCGAGGGGGTCAGGTAATCTGTCAGCTTGGTGGATTTGGATTTGAAGTCTTGGTTCCTCCCTCGATTCGAGGGGTTCAGGAGACTCCGTCAGCTGGGTTTAGGATTTAGATTTGGATTGGAAGCCTTGAATGGTTTTTGTAGAGTGTAAATGGGAATCTAGCCCTTAACCACAAATTAGGAGGAAGCTGAGGGGGGGAATGAGTTGGAATGACCCCAAGACAAATAATCCATGGTTTCGTGTTTTTTTTCCTTTTTTTTCTTCTTTTTTTTTTCGGGAATCCCCAAACGGTTCATTCCCAACACCCGGAAGCTTGGTCATTCCCTACCTATCGCATCGGTACCGAACCAAAGAGACTTAGGACATGGGAAAAAGCAGTTAGGGGGTGCTGGTAACTGTGTCTTGTCGGGAAGGTATTCCTTTTTGTTTTATAAAGGGGACGAAAAGGAAAAACATCTATGTATATATATATATACATATATATATATATACACATATTTCGGGGGGAGCCCTGAAAGCTGACATACCCACATGGGTTGATCAAAGGGTCAGTCAATATGGGATGACCATGAACCCGCCATACCCACATGGGTTGATCAAAGGGTCAGTCAATATGGGATGACCATGAACCCGCCATACCCACATGGGTTGATCAAAGGGTCAGTCAATATGGGATGACTATGAACCCGCCATACCCACATGGGTTGATCAAAGGGTCAGTCAATATGGGATGACCATGAACCCGCCATACCCACATGGGTTGATCAAAGGGTCAGTCAATATGGGATGACCATGAACCCGCCATACCCACATGGGTTGATCAAAGGGTCAGTCAATATGGGATGACCATGAACCCGCCATACCCACATGGGTTGATCAAAGGGTCAGTCAATATGGGATGACCATGAACCCGCCATACCCACATGGGTTGATCAAAGGGTCAGTCAATATGGGATGACCAGCAAACCGCCATACCCACACGGGTTGATCAAAGGGTCAGTCAATATGGGATGACCATGAACCCGCCATACCCACATGGGTTGATCAAAGGGTCAGTGAATATGGGATGACCATGAACCCGCCATACCCACATGGGTTGATCAAACGGTCAGGTCAGTCAATATGGGATGACCATGAACCCGCCATACCCACATGGGTTGATCAAAGGGTCAGTCAATATGGGATGACCATGAACCCGCCATACCCACATGGGTTGATCAAAGGGTCAGTCAATATGGGATGACCATGAACCCGCCATACCCACATGGGTTGATCAAAGGGTCAGTCAATATGGGATGACCATGAACCCGCCATACCGACATGGGTTGATCAAAGGGTCAGTCAATATGGGATGACCATGAACCCGCCATACCCACATGGGTTGATCAAAGGGTCAGTCAATATGGGATGACCATGAACCCGCCATACCCACATGGGTGATCAAAGGGTCAGTCAATACGGGATGACCATGAACCCGCCATACCCACATGGTTTGATCAAAGGGTCAGTCGGGATGACCATGAACCCGCCATACCCACATGGGTTGATCAAAGGGTCAGTCAATATGGGATGACCATGAACCCGCCATACCCACATGGGTTGATCAAAGGGTCAGTCAATATGGGAGGACCATGAACCCGCCATACCCACATGGGTTGATCAAAGGGTCAGTCAATATGGGATGACCATGAACCCGCCATACCCACATGGGTTGATCAAAGGGTCAGTCAATATGGGAGGACCATGAACCCGCCATACCCACATGGGTTGATCAAAGGGTCAGTCAATATGGGAGGACCATGAACCCGCCATACCCACATGGGTTGATCAAAGGGTCAGTCAATATGGGATGACCATGAACCCGCCATACCCACATGGGTTGATCAAAGGGTCAGTCAATATGGGAGGACCATGAACCCGCCATACCCACATGGGTTGATCAAAGGGTCAGTCAATATGGGATGACCATGAACCCGCCATACCCACATGGGTTGATCAAAGGGTCAGTCAATATGGGAGGACCATGAACCCGCCATACCCACATGGGTTGATCAAAGGGTCAGTCAATATGGAGGACCATGAACCCGCCATACCCACATGGGTTGATCAAAGGGTCAGTCAATATGGGAGGACAATGAACCCGCCATACCCACATGGGTTGATCAAAGGGTCAGTCAATATGGGATGACCATGAACCCGCCATACCCACATGGGTTGATCAAAGGGTCAGTCAATATGGGAGGACCATGAACCCGCCATACCCACATGGGTTGATCAAAGGGTCAGTCAATATGGGAGGACCATGAACCCGCCATACCCACATGGGTTGATCAAAGGGTCAGTCAATATGGGATGACCATGAACCCGCCATACCCACATGGGTTGATCAAAGGGTCAGTCAATATGGGAGGACCATGAACCCGCCATACCCACATGGGTTGATCAAAGGGTCAGTCAATATGGGATGACCATGAACCCGCCATACCCACATGGGTTGATCAAAGGGTCAGTCAATATGGGAGGACCATGAACCCGCCATACCCACATGGGTTGATCAAAGGGTCAGTCAATATGGGATGACCATGAACCCGCCATACCCACATGGGTTGATCAAAGGGTCAGTCAACCAGGGAAGACCATGAACCCGCCATACCCACATGGGTTGATCAAAGGGTCAGTCAATATGGGAGGACCATGAACCCGCCATACCCACATGGGTTGATCAAAGGGTCAGTCAATATGGGAGCACATGGGTTGATCAAAGGGTCAGTCAATATGGGATGACCATGAACCCGCCATACCCACATGGGTTGATCAAAGGGTCATCAATATGGGATGACCATGGGTTGATCAAAGGGTCAGTCAATATGGGAGGACCATGAACCCGCCATACCCACATGTGTTGATCAAAGGGTCAGTCAATATGGGATGACCAGGAAACCACATGGGTTGATCAAAGGGTCAGTCAATATGGGATGACCAGGAAACCGCCATACCCACATGGGTTGATCAAAGGGTCAGTCAATATGGGATGACCATGAACCCGCCATACCCACATGGGTTGATCAAAGGGTCAGTCAATATGGGAGGACCATGAACCCGCCATACCCACATGTGTTGATCAAAGGGTCAGTCAATATGGGATGACCAGGAAACCACATGGGTTGATCAAAGGGTCAGTCAATATGGGATGACCAGGAAACCGCCATACCCACATGGGTTGATCAAAGGGTCAGTCAATATGGGATGACCATGAACCCGCCATACCCACATGGGTTGATCAAAGGGTCAGTCAATATGGGATGACCAGGAAACCGCCATACCCACATGGGTTGATCAAAGGGTCAGTCAATATGGGATGACCAGGAAACCGCCATACCCACATGGGTTGATCAAAGGGTCAGTCAATATGGGATGACCATGAACCCGCCATACCCACATGGGTTGATCAAAGGGTCAGTCAATATGGGAGACCATGAAACCGCCATACCCACATGGGTTGATCAAAGGGTCAGTCAATATGGGATGACCAGGAACCCGCCATACCCACATGGGTTGATCAAAGGGTCAGTCAATATGGGATGACCAGGAAACCGCCAACAAAATATGTGTTGCCACATGGGACAAGTTAGGAATGGGTATTTCGGGGGCCGAAGCTTCGGCAGATTGAGGCCCCAAGAAGTCCGAATCATGTTGGCGTGGGGAATGGTGCCATCGGTGGTAGGGATCAACTTCAGCCATACTGTGGATGGACGAAATCCGTTCGCACCACTTTGAAACCATGGGAAACCACTGTTTGGTGGTATTTACAAGGGAATCATCATTCCAGGGTTTCTTAGGTGGTGCAGGATTTCGTCCATCCACAGTATCCATTCTTCCCCAGAAGTAGCTCCCCTTCTTGAGAGGTTTTTTGCTTCTTGTTGTTTTTTTTCTGGAGGGCTTGAGTTCATTTGAGTGGATGCAAACAACTGCGGCAAAGTGAGGAATCCAGGAAGCCTAGACTTTGGGATGTCGAAACTATGCTGAGGCTGGTGGCAATCTGTTTCAACAGGTGGCACCAAAGATGTAAAACAATCTCACACACACATGCACAAAATACACTGAGGAGACGCGCCCCGTGTTTTCATCTAAAAAAAAGGCTCAGACACCCGCTGGATTGACTTGTGGAGTGGCCTCCTAACACAGGGGTCGAAAGGATACATTCAGGCCAGTTCACAAATCACTTTTGCCCTCTGTTGGGGAGGCTCCGAATCCTTGTAAAGCAATTGTTTCGGCATGTATCCTTCAATTGGGTTGCTCCGAGCTACACACATTCAAGGCCCAAAATTCCCAAAACTATCTGCTGTCCTGTTGTTCCCCTGCCAATTTTGTGCCAGGGTCGGAGCAACCCTACTGAACCCCTGCAGAACGGCACGTTTTTCAGCCATGAATCTTGGGTTCCCAGGTCCCCCAGTAGTGCCTTTTACCCTTTTTTGGGGGGGAGGGTTCCCCTACTAAAATAGACAGCAGCAGCAAAAATCGGGTACCAACTTATTTTTGAATCTCAAATCTGGAGGACCTAGGTTCTGCGCGCTGCCGCGGACCCGGCGGATTCTTTTTTGCCTCGCTCCGCGAAATCGGCGGATTCTCGGATTCTCGGAGCCGCGCGCCGCGGGCCGCGAGGTGTGCGCGGTCACCTGGAGCAGCCCACACCAGGGGCTCGAGGCCCACGTGGAGCGGTACCGCAACAGCCCGGTGATGCACAAGCCCGGGCGCCCGGAGAAAGCGCAAGGGGGAAACCGGAGAAGCAACCGGGAGGTAAAATGGCGGCGGTTAGACCCTGGTTGAATGCCTTTTGGTTGGTAGGTGAATGCACCACCCCTTTTAGAACCTATTTTAGTGGTTGGATTGGGATGTTCACTGAGGGTACGATTTGGCTTTTGACCCATGGTATTGGTAAATGAACTAGGTCCCGCAGCAATTGGTGCAAACTTTTACCCTTTCTGTTTTGGTTGGGAGGGTTCCAAACTACTAAATAGACTAAAAGAAAAACATGGTCCGACTTATTCTATCCTCTCTACTGGAGGACCTGGGGAAAAACACCCCTGCAACTCGAAAAGAACACTAACTAGGCGGCCATGGCGCTGTTTTTTCCAGATGGCTTTGTTAGCTCTTTGTGGGAAGCTTCTTTCGCATCACAGAACCTTGGTGTTTCTGAAACCTCTTCCTTTTGCATTCTGCTTGCGACGGGCATTATGTCTCAGAATCCGTGGCCTTTTCCCCAGAAGTGTCCCTTGCCCCCCATGATTTGACATTTTCCAGGAACCCCAAACGGGATGTTTGGTATGTTTCTCCGGACCTATTCAGCACCCAGTGGCTCGGCCTACAGTTAGAGCTGATTTCAAGAGATCCAGCGGCGTGCTGAGGAGCGTGCCTTCCGAGTACAAGCCCTTGATTTTCAAGGAGGGCAATTCCGTGGAGTTTCCTTCTCCCACCAGGACCTTTCGCATCTCGGAGCGTTTCGCTCGCAACGTTTGCGCCATTTGCGGCTTAGAATATTCGGATCGATCGGATTCGCTGAACATGGGCTGTTTATATCTACATACATATATATGACACATATGGGTATGTCTTTTTTTTAGGGGGAACCCCCAACACCAATGGTGGGTGTTCCTTCTAGTGTTCCTTCAAAGCAGACCCATATATGCATATATATATATATGTATGTGGTACCCCCCCTGGAAGACTCAGGTTTTCGTTCAAACAGTTGTATGTGTGCTGTAACAATGTATGCAAAATGCACTGTTCAGCTTCTAAGAATGATGCTCAGCATCAGTACTTAGTGCAATCCGGGATGTGCTGGCACGTGCTAGGAAATCCTGGATTGAAGATTGAAGATTGCAGATTAGTTGACAACTCTGGCTAAGATTCTTCAAATTTATACTTGGGCGAGTCCTGAATGTGCTAGCTCGTGCTAGCACATTTCAGTTTGACCTAAGTATGAATGTGAAGATTTCCAGAAAAGTGGTCTGAGAATCTTCAATCTTCTATCTTCAATCCAGGATGTGCTAGCACGCGCTAGCACACCTTGGATTGCCCGAAGTACATATTTGAAGAACCCCATAAAGAGTTGTCAAAGAACCTTCAATCCTCAATCGTCAATCCAGGATTTGAAAGCAGATCCTGGATTGCCCCCTGTTTTGAAAACGTTTACAGCTTTTGTGCGACGTGAGGGCAAACACACTTGGTTAGAATGTAGATGGAATTATGTACAAAAAACGAACTAACATGTACATGTAACTGCGCAAGGACACGAAGCACTTTTATGTTTGATTTGGATGACAGTGTTGCAAGTAGGATTGAGCTCCTTTCCCCCAAGTGGATGATTTGCCAGGTTTCCTTGTAAAGCAGAATTGATAAAACCAAACAGCTGTTACAGGCACGATGAAGCTGCCAAAGCATTCTTCGCGTACTACTCTTGTGCTGAAAGTTGTGCCTTTTTTTTTGAGCTGGGGCTGCCAAAGCGCGCTTCGCAGACTCCAACGTGACTTCAAGTGCACTTCGCGTTCGAGCTGTTTAACCAGGAGCTGCTATTGAACGTTGAGCTTAGCGTCTGCTTGGTCTGACTTTGCATGGAGTTGTGCGTCCTGTCAGCTTAGTTCAGAGCGTCCCCAGTCTGGCAAAAACTTGAGTTCTGGACGAAAACCTGAGTATTTCAAGCGGGGGTAGCATATATGTATGTATTATGTATATGTATATGTATATATGCATATATGTACATATTTATATATATGCATATATGTATACATGTACATATATACATATGTATAGATGTATACATGTATTTCTGTTTTTTGTGTATACATGTAGATATGTAAATATTTATATAGTATACATGTATTTCTGTATATATGTATACATGTATATATGTAAATATTTATATAGTATACATGTGTTTCTGTATATATGTCCATATGTATATACGTATGATTACATTTGATACTCAGGCTAGTTACCAACCCAACGAGGGTCCCCGAGCTTCAGCTTCTGTAGTGCCCAGCAAGGAGGCCGTAGGCGGTTCCGGTAGATACTGCATCGAGCCTTGGTGTTGGACATGCAAAATGCCTTGTCATCACGGGACACTTGATCAAGCTGTACTCAAGAATCTTGAATACCAAGTGGGCGGTTTCATTTGAGACCCCTGGGCCATCCCTTGAGTCTCAGGGGTAGGGCTCAAAGTCTGACTCCCTGGATGGGCTTTCCACTTTGAAGGGGTGACCTCAAACAAGTTCATCGCACGCATGCGGTTTGGTCCCCTTTCCCACTTCTTTGACAAGAAGCAGTGTTGCGGTGTTCTTTGCTCTTTCGTACCGAAAAAAGTCGCTTTCCAAGCGGGAGAAAAGGGCTACGCGCTTGCGGTCAACGTGACCAAGTTCGCTTGCGCAGGAGGCTAAGAGAGTTCTAGCTTCCCGTCCGGGCCGTTGGCAGAAAATCGATGGACGGATTCGGGAACCTTGCCCATTTAATTCGTGTCACACGACTGCTTGGCAGCTTCCTTTGTCGCAAGTTACAACGCCAAGAGCTCGGAAGTCCGGAGATCTCTGAAGAAGATCTTTATTTGCAAAGGGACCAGCGCCCTCCAATGACCATTCTTTTACCTTGTCCAAAGCCTGTCGTCGAAAATCAGCTTGCAGTTTGCAACGCCTTGAGCCAGCGCAGGAGGCTGAAGACGCCATGCCGAGTGATGGTTCTGGGCTGAGGCCAGCGAGCGTTTCGCGTTGAGGCATGAGTCGAATGTGTCCAAATCCCAGTTGGCTATGTGTCATAGGGGGGCCCGAACAAAGATTAGTTTCCTTTTGGTCTGCCTCTGAACCCATCAAAAAACGGGGCACCTTCAAAAACACACACAAACACACAAACACACAAACACAAACACACAAACACACAATACACACAATACACACAATACACACAATACACACAATACACACAATACACACAATACACACAAGCACACAACACACACACAACACACACAAACACACAAACACACAAACACACAAACACACAAACACACAAACGCACAAGCGCACAAGCGCACAAGCGCACACGCGCACAAGCGCACAAGCGCACACGCGCACAAGCGCACAAGCGCACAAACACGCAAACACACAAACAGACAAACACACAAACACACAAACGCACAAACACACAAACGCACAAACACACACAAACACACACAAACACACAATCACACCAACACACAAACACACACACACAGACTCACAGACACAGACACAGACACAGACAAAGGCACAGACACACACACACACACACACACACACACACCGCACACTGCACACACCGCACACACCCCGCACACACCCCGCACACACACCGCACACACACACACACACCGCACACACCCCGGACACCCCCCGCACACACCCCGCACACACACCGCACACACACACACCGCGCACACACCCCGCGCACGCACCCCGCGCACACACCCCGCGCACACACACACACACACACACACCCCGCGCACACACCCCGCACACACCCCGCTCACACAGCCCGCTCACACACCCCGCGCACACACCGCGCACACACCGCGCACACACCGCGCACACACCGCGCACATACCGCGCACACACCGCGCACACACCGTGCACACACCGCGCACACCGCGCACACACCGCACACACCGCACATACCGCACCCGCACCCCACGCACCCCACGCACTGCACGCACCGCACACACCGCACACACCGCACACACCGCACACGCCGCACACGCCGCACACGCCGCACGCGCCGCACACGCACACGCACACGCACACCCACACACACACACACACCTGCACACACACGCTGCACACACGCACACACGCACACGCACACACGCGCACACACACACACACACACACACCCACCCGCCCACCCACCCACCCACCCACCCACCCACCCACCCACCCACCCACCCACCCACGCACGCACGCACGCACGCACGCACGCACGCACGCACGCACGCACGCACGCACGCACGCACGCACGCACGCACGCACGCACGCACGCACGCACGCACGCACGCACGCACGCACGCACGCACGCACGCACGCACGCACGCACGCACGCACGCACGCACGCACGCACGCACGCACGCACGCACGCACGCACGCACGCACGCACGCACGCACGCACGCACGCACGCACGCACGCACGCACGCACGCACGCACGCACGCACGCACGCACGCACGCACGCACGCACGCACGCACGCACGCACGCACGCACGCACGCACGCACGCACGCACGCACGCACCACACACACACACACACACACACACACACACACACACACACACACACACACACACACACACACACACACACACACACACACACACACACACACGCATGCACACACGCACACACCCACGCACGCACCCACGCACGCACCCACGCAGGGACGCACGCACCCACGCAGGGACGCACGCGCACGCGCACGCGCACGCACCCACACACTTGTGTCACGCACTCAGACTCATGCACCCAGTTAGTTTTTTAGCTTTCAGGGTTTAGTTGGGGTTTCCATTTAGGGTTTGGTGGGGGTTTCCATTTAGCCCACTAAAAGTTTGACTTCTAGCGGGGGATCTGAGGGCAGCCCAGTTATGCAATTGAATTAGAGAACGGCCACTCATGTGGAATTCAATCCAATGCGAGCTGCGTCAACACCTCGAAGGTGCAGCGATTCTTCGAAGGCAAGACTTGAGTGGATTGCAACATCTGAACTTCCAACCAGCACCCAACCACTGCATGTTGGGTTTGGATTTTGGACATCGTGGGAAAGGCAGGCAAGTTGGGACCCGAGTGCCGGAAGCGTTCACTAAAATCTGGCTGCCGCAAGCTCAGTTAGTTTCGGGGGTAAACGGAGAGGGATGTCCCAAAAGAGACCGACGGGTTGCGATCGGTTTGTTCTTCTTCCTCAAGAATCACACCAGTTTGTTCCTTCTCGGATTTTCCCTGTGTATAAGCTGAGGCATGTGTGCTACCCTGGGAAGTTGGCAGGCATGTGTGCTATACCCAGGCAGGCAGGTGTGCTACCCTGCTCAAGGCCTTTCAAGGGCAAACCCAACAAGATGGCATGTGATGTTTTTTTTTGAAACGAGCATGTCTGGCACCTTGGTATCTGCGTGCCCCAATGTCAATGTATCCGGCAGGACGCCAATGGAGTCCCCCTGCGGGGGATCTGCTGGTGGCCTATATGGTCTCCTACCGGGCTAAAAGGACTGCACAGTGTCCGCCGGCCCGGTTTTTTCGGTTCCAAGTTCGGGAGAACCAGGTCTTAACATCCATTGACTCATTGACACCAGGAGTTTAAGGAAAGTCCTGGTCGCAAGACCAAGACAGACCAAGAAAGACCAAGTGTTTGTTGTTTTGCCGTGTTTTTTTTTCTTTTTCGAGGCCTCGTGCTCCCGTGGTTTTCCCTGAGTGTATCCGCTCAGCGGGCCTGCGGTGCTGGCAGTACAAGCGCACCGGGTTTCAAGCCGGATGCCCCGGACGAAATACAATCGGGGGCTCAAGAGTCTTGAGCGCCGTTTTTTGTTTGTTTTTGTCTTTTGCAACTTGGCTCACTGCACTTGAGGGGGGTCCCCCCTGAAGGCAAACCCAGCCAAATCTTCCGGCCGCGGCGCTCACTCTTGAGGCACGCCCCCTTAAGACATCCACGCGTCGCGAGGCTTTTTCCGTCTTCGCGAGCAGGCGCCAAATTCACCGGGTGCTCAATACCCCGCAAGTTGTTCCGCAACTTCCCAACAAAGAAAATATGGTTTTGGGTTGCTCGTCGCTCCGAAGCCCTTTGGTTTTGCTACACCCGCTACCTGGTGGCCGGATGTGGTGAAGTAGTCGCCGCCGGCCCAGTGCAAGGAGAAATCGGAGAAGTCACAAGAGGGCAGTGAAATCCACGGGAAAAACCGACAGACTTTGAAAGACGGTGGTCGGAATCCACCCATGTGGCACATAGGGTATCAGGCTGCCGTTTTCTGCAATACCACGGGAATCCCCTTTAAGTGGAAAAAAAAAGACGACTCATAATGGTATCAGAGAAAGGGTGGTTTTCCACAACGGCGGTGAAGTTTTAATTCCAACTGCAAACGCCTCACTCTTGCCGACCCAAGCGAAAGGTGTCCCGCGAATCTGGCGACTGTCCATTTCCTCTTGAGGCTATGTTGATCTTTTGCACAGCTGCGGGGTTGCTTATATTACTTGTTTTGATGAACACCAATGGGGCCTTGGAACTAGAGACTTCTTTTGGCTGGGTTAGACTTAATTAAGATACATCTTACATTTTACCAGTGACTCAAAGGGAAGGCAACAATTACATAATCATGTTGGGGTGTTTTGGGGGGAACATAGCAATCTCCGCTTTCCCTTGCATTCGTCATGTGGGCCGCCACATGCTCAGTTCCTTGGACCAGGTGAGCGCCTGTGCTCCAAGCGAGCCAACAGCAAATATGTGATGGTCCTTCGAGGCTCATCATATGAACAGTTTGAAATCCAATTCTCAACAACTCCATGGTATTTTGTTGATTCCCGACCCGACAGGTTTGGGGTTGCTAGGTTTCAAGTGACGTTCGACCGCCGCAACCAGCCATAACCAGCCCCTGCAGCGACAGACGGAGCTGCAGTCCGAAGCTCCCCAGTGGCCAAGCTTTTGCAACCAATTGAAACATTGACATGGCTTTTCCCACCAAAATAAAGGAAACCATCATTTACAAGGCAATGTTCAGGTGTATAATGTAAGGATCCCTGATTAGCCTAGGCGACTCAGTTGTTCAGTGGCCCCTTTTTTTCTTTTTCTTTTTTGTGGTGGCTGTCCCACTAAAAATGGTCTTCCCCAAGAAGGGTTCCCTTTTTTTCCAGGGGCACTGAACAACTGAGCTTCTTTCGAAGCCATGCTTGAGAGCTCTGAAACAGTTACTTACAGGTCTGGAGGTTGGCATCTTCCATAGGGGGTCTCATGCGCAAAGTGAACGCTAGGTCGCCCTACCCTTTTGCCAAGTTTTGACCCGGAAAGAGGAGTCACAACACAGCTGGCCCTCCAACAGCGAATCAACGTTTGTGTCAAGGGTGAACTTGCCAGTGAGACGTATTGGGGAGCCTGTATGTTTGTGCAACCATGTCTTGACTGTCAGTTGTGTTGCGCCTGTCAAATTGGCTGGCACTCAGGGATGCCTTACGAATCAAACCAGCATGTAAAATTACTGGTTGTCAATCATGCAAATGGTGTTCTTTCTGCTAACAAACATGAATGGGTTAGATTTTGTATCACATGTTTAGTCATGCTAGTTGAGACATGTGGCCAGCTCAGTGCAAGTTGGCCAGACTTCACGAGAAGGCCCATCACTCCCTGAGGCGATCATTTGGACGCATCAGCAATCAATACAAGTGGCCGGATTTGATTTGGCCGCGCGCCATCTTGGCACACGTGCACTTTTACCACAGGAGCTTGCGATGCCAAGTTGCGAGGTTGCAAAATGCATAAACCCACCATGTTCCTCGCCATTTTATGTGTTTTCGTGTTGTTTCTCTCCAGATCCCAACCGTTTGGATTCAAAGGGCTCGTCCAATCCCACGGGTTGCTTTGAAGTGAGGGATGCGGCTTCCCCCCCCTTTTCCCCCACCCCCCCAAGTGCGGGTCTTTGGTGATGGAGGGAGGCTCCAAATCCACCCTTGTGTAAAAAGACAAACAGCTTGACAAAGAGCTTGGGCTGAAATCGACTCCTTGATGACCACTAACTGAGAGCACTAAGATGGCGTGACGTTGCAGGCTTGAACCGCAAACATGCCAGCATAGCCTCTGGAACTTACTCATGAACATGGTGCACCGACTAGATTTGAACCATATGCCCAATCTAAATGCTTGTGAGACGTTCGCGGGAAAGGCGGGTGTCTACAATCAAAAAGCTAGATGTCCGATCACTTGCTCGGGGACTCCTTGTCTAACATCCAGTTTTTTGTTTTTTAATGAACCCTGCTGTGTCTTTGGTAGATGAAGGAATGGATGAAGTAAGCGCTGAAAGATTTCTTCGACGCATGGGTTCTCTGTTGCCCAGCGGTGCCCCGTTTGCTTGTTTTTTTTGGGGGGGTAAGGGTTCCTCTTTGAACTCAACCAACGGTGCCGATTCGTTTTTTCCCCATGGCCACTGGGCAACTGAGGGTTGTTTTCATGATCTTTCCAGCCCAAACAATGTATTGACGGGGAGCATCGCCAGGGCCCCTCTCTTTGTGCCAACATGCTACGGAAAACATTGGCGGAAGACCCTGCACTTTCAGTTGAAGGGATGATATATGGGTGTGTCTAAAACATGGGGACCACACGCATGGTGGAGTTCCTCTTGGTTTCCTTTAAAGCCACCCCAAAAAGGGTACCCTGAAAAGAAGACACCCACATGTTATGAAGACCCGGAACTTGGTGTCCATTTTCCGGCCTTGGCAGAAGGCATGTTTGTCACGCCAGCCAGAAAGCTAAGAACTGCGCGTTTGGGGAGGATGTCTCCTCGTTCGCCTAAAGGCACGGTGTCCGTGCCGAGCGTGACGGCAGGCTATTGGACTCTAAGAAAGAAGTCGTTAGGTTGTGCCTTTAGAACCAGCCTGATCATATCTTCTTTCAAAGGCTGAATGCATACGCCCATATATGAACCGCTAGTATGAACCCCTGGTTCATGGGTGAATTAACCCATAATAGTTATGGCTTAATTTCGGCCCCCAAAGGGTCAAACATGGTGATGGGTTCACACATGGATCTATACAGTCAGCCTTCGATTCTTTGCACACACCTTTGTAGGCGGACGAGGTCCTGCATCACTTGGTTCTTCGTACTCGTAGGGGATCATCCACCGGACATAGTGCTTCTTTTTTTCTTTTCGAGTAGTAAGTAGCAAGTAGCTCGTTGCGTTCTTAACTTCCCGGCCTTGGCCTAGATGTTTACTGGCGTCTCGCTGCCACAACCGTTGTCTACGCTTTGTTTGGCGGGTACAAGTGCACCAGAGACATGCTTGATGTTGCAGCTCACGTAGTGAGATCTGATTTATCACGCTTCGCAGCTTTGTCCAAGTTGTGGATGTTAGCATTCGGTGTCAGAGGAACATTTGCAGTACGATCACAGCACTGTCGCAAGTCGGTAGGCGGTTCAGATGAATCCAATGCCAAGCGTTGTTGGGAGAATCCCATTTCATTTTGTTGTTTTAGGGGCAACATATCGTTAAACTTGCGGCTGTGTGTGTCACTTCGCTACAGTCCAACGCGCCCGCCGGATGAAGCGCATACATGTTTTTCACTTGGCTCAAGTGTGTTTCGGCGGGGCAAAGCGGCGTCAAGTTCTTCTGGCTCAGGATTTAGGATTTAGCTGTGGCTCAAAAAATGTACCCAAAATGGCCCCTAAGTTTACGGAAACAAAAACAAACACCTGCGACACCCTACCTCTCAAATTTTGAGCCACACGCAAATGTGACTTGCATAAATAAACTCACTCCCCGAGTTTGTGGAGGACTTTATTAACTTGGGAAGTCCATCTTAGTGGTAAACAAGCAGTCACAGGACTTTTTCTGGCGAGTTCACTCGATCGGGTTTGTGAGCTGCCAAGGTAACGAACCTCTAAGGACTTTCTTAGACTTTGGGATTACACCCTAGCGGAATTGCCCCAAACAGTCCCAAAGAAACCAACATAGCCAGGCTTTATCTGGAAAAGGGCTCCCCAGGCGGATGTAATTGGAAACCCTTGGAGTTTCTCAGTTCGAAGTCTATTTGACTCGGTTCGTTTTCCGCGGAAGGGTCCGTTTCCAGAGAGGTTTGGGCGGTCTTGGATGGCCCACTGGAAACGGACAAAACAAATGGGTACGTCTTTCAACGGGGTTCCAAAAAAAACACAGGCAAGGTTTGGGTCAAGACGTCCAGTCGAAATTCTATGGTCAATTTGGCAGTGGCATCTGAGACAGGCGATTCATCGGCCTTTCTGGTTGTCCCATGTCCAACTTCAAAAAAATTGAGCGAGACCACGTGAACTTGACCATGGCTTGTCTCTTCGCGGACTCCCACGAACTTCGTCTGAATTGAGAAAAGAAAAAAGGACGGCCCAGGCACAGCCATGAAAGGAACTGGAGTTTTGCGCTTCTTTGCCGCCGCTTGAGCAGTTCCGAAAGCCCGCAGGTCCCAACACTGTACAGCCCGTTGGGGCCCTGCGAGAAAGCCACAAGCACAGCTCCGGTCGCAATGTTCCCCTTGCGAAGGCAAGAGGCGCAGACTACCAATACATATTTTGACCTTGGCAGCCACAACCTTACGGTTTGTCAGTCAAGTAGGCGAGTGGTA